GGGGGAGGGAAAGGGGAACACCACGTCGTCTTCCAGCGCCTGTGCACCCGATGGAGAGGTTCGTGGCAGTGTTCAGCCTCAGGGTACTTCTGCTTCGGCGAAGGAAGGACGCGCTCAGGGCACATTGTTTCCCAAAATAAATAGCTCGCTTATGAGTCTGAATTGGTCGGATATGTTAGGGGTCCCTTGTTAATGATATCAATTATTTTAATTGTTATCGACACGGGCGTGCATGGTCCCGCTTTTCAACATGCAAGGCACGCACTTGGCCCGAGCTGCGGACAACCCAACAACCTTATCTACTCCAATTCAGCATGAGTTGGTGTTGCCTGCAATTGGAGTCCCGCAAGGCACTGACCAGGAACCCGATCTGCAACCCTGCATGAGCGTTCGCTTTGTTATGTGCTGATATTGGGTCTAAAGGAGTGCCTGTGCCTCGCCGCTATTGGACCCAGCTCCCGGATCTGATAGATCTCACTGCAGCAAACTCAAAGAAATTAAGGTGCCAATTTCCTTTACCTTTAATCGCTCTGGTTTCATGTCAACCAAGCACGCTATCCCGCGTGGTATCCCTGGCCAAAAACTCAAGAGCAAGGCATCTCGAACCGAGCCGAGTTATGGCGGCTGCAAGAATTTCGAGATTAAACTTGATTCACGGAAGCAAGGGATAAACAGTCAGCTCCGCTGTCACAAAATATGTCCGTTCATAGTTACTGCCGTTTTATTGCACCGATGGGGAGAATCTGGCGGCCGCAACCGAAGGGGAATGCACTGTTCCCATACAGGCCGCTGATCTTCCCTAAGTGAAAGAAGCGATTCGATATGAAACAGCTTACTGGATTCCGGAGAATTAAGCTCCTTTTTCTTTTCCCCCCTCCCCTCTCTCTTCAACCCCTCCCGTTGCGGGCGCACGCTGTCCCGTGTTCTCGACCCCTGTCCCAAAAAGACGTCAAGGTGAATGCCTATGGCTGTGCAGGGCAGGAAAGCTGAAACATTTACTAGATGTTTGGTTCAGCCTGACGCCAAGGGGCGGCAACAAGGTGACGACAGCAGCTGATGAGGCCTCTTTTTGGCGATCACTTCATATGGAAGGAAACTAATTGACAATCGGCAATTGCCGACAACTCATTGCCCTGCTAGAGACATGTTTATGATCGCTCACCAGGTTGGTAGTGATCCATGTCTCATCAATCATTCGTATCTTCAATCGTTCGACATATTGACCAAGGACCGTTAATAAAATTACTCCTGCCAAGCGTCGAAAATTCTGGTGTCCGGTCAGCAGACGCAGGCAGCTGAAGCTACTCATCGAGGAAAAAAGCAAAAAGAAGAAAAAAAAATTTGAAAAGGGCTAGTCAACGCAAAGTGCGAGAATGACCGGAGAATGACCGAGGATAGTGTTGCAGTCCAGGCTCAGAAGGCTTCAAGTTTTGTGCTCATCTGCATATCGGCCATACTGGACCGTGCGGAAAACGCTTCGCTCTAATCTCTGCCTACATGATGATGTTTGCTGGATAGCGCCAGCACCCTATTAGATTAGTGCGTCCTACTTCATCGGCCTAGGCTTACGTACATTTCTCCTTCGATTTTTCGGATTTTCGATTTTCTGATCAGATTGTTTATCTTGCGCTAATGCATATCTGAAGGCGATCTCATGACCCGGCTCTAGATGATCTAGTCTGGTATGCAACGCTCCTAGCTCTATATTGCGCGGAGATAACAGACCGGTTCTCTATTGGAATCATCTGCCTGTCTTGACTAGCAGATATTGAAGGGATAAAGAATGTAGTCAGTACTTGTTGAGACTCGAAGAGGTTGAAATCACCTTCAAATAATCACCCCCTCTCGACTAGAGCGTCTATAGTCTCTCATGACCCGTTTCTCATGCTCAATTACAGCCATGCCCAATGGTGGAATCCTCCCCACGTGTCACACTCATGGTCCCAGCGGGTCTACGCCACCGATTTTGGCCGCTGACGCTACAAGTTCCTTGATCTCTTCGTTAAGGTGTCCACCCATCCGAGACCAATGATGGTACACTGACCATGAGAAACATCTCTTGAATACCACTAGCCGAGGTCGGACAAGTCTTGTCGCCAAAGCTAGGGATGCAATCAAGTAGCCAATCTCATCGTGTGTTACCATATCAAATGATAGGATTGGCCCTGTATAGCGTGACAGTGACTTTGGCGGAAGTCTAGAGCTGCTGATGCGGAATGCAGCAGATGTGGCACATTTATTTGACACCCGCTGTTACCGCCTAAGTCACGATTGCTTCTCTGAGGTAAGACGAGCTCCATGGCTCTTGAATGCATGTTTTCTACCCTCTTTTCCCTTTCACCCGGTCGAGAACAGAGCAACCGTGTCTGATCGGAACTTGGCACCAATCTATCGGGATATACATGTGGAAGAGTGGGATTACAGCCGTTACTCCTTATTGAACGATAAAGGGGCGAACCGGAGTTGAATCAGCGATATCCCGGTAATCTTCCGAACTTCAGGGGAATGACAGATTATAAATGTCATATAACGTCCCATTTAAACAATTCAATAATTGGTATAGGGAATCCAATGTGCCCGCAATGATCCCGTCGGAAATCACCCATGCAAGGGAGGCAAAATCAGAGATTGATAGCTCTTGTTCTCAGTTTCCCGCAGCTCTTGTGAAGATTTCGTTCATCATGGGAGTACACTTCAATCAACTTGAGATATGTATGAAAAACATCCTTTTGTTATCTGGTAGGGATGATAGTGGCCTGTATTTCGTCGAAACAGGAAATGCTGGTACCCGCCAGATACGCTGCGAAAAGTCCCGATGTTTCAGCTTATTGGGCCCTAGCAATCGGCCTAATGTTCTTACAACGCGAGCGAACTGCTCTGATGCTACAAGACGAGAAAATTGCATTAGTGTTGATCTTTTTCACTGATGCACCGCCAGGACAAACGAAGGATAATCTGTAAGGCAAACGCGAAGGCAACCACGATGGGTCTGATGACGATCATCCGGTCAACAGATGAGCTTGCGTTTGCGCCACCTTGATTCAGAATCACTCAAATCAGGACAGAAGCAGCAGTGTTATACGTCATGGCTACCCATCTGAGTGTAAGCACTGGCTGGTTTTCAACAGGATACGCAAATTGGTGAAAGTGGTACTGCTTAGGCCAGCGATGTACCAGCAGGGAATATGTGAAGATACTTGACAGTGACACAATAATCTAGGGCGAGGAGTTATGATCTCTAGACACCAGCCGTATTCTCCTACAACGTCCGAGGACCGGCCCCAGTTGGGGAATAGAGTTGACGAGCCATCTGACTGTGGTCAGCGTACTAGTACGTATACTCTATGGAAACATTGTCAATCCCTCCAGTTCCTCATTACCCCTCGTTTATACTAAATCTTGATTTACTCCCGAGGTGAAAATGAACAGAATAAAACCCCGCTATTAGATCGTTGTTTAGAGATCGAGCTGTGACTAGCTGGCGCCCCGATGATTCCAGGCCCCTGCTTTTCAAGCATTCCGCAGTGATAAACGTATTTAAAATGAGCTAGCCAAGTAAAAGGGAAGCAAGAAAGGATATTGTATGAGAAACGAAACGATAAAGGGTTCATGGCAAGCCACTGAAGCGTGGCCCGATCATGGTAGACGTTAGTACTGGTTAGCTCGATTATACCAAGGCCAACGGGAGATTGTGACCTGCAACTGAAACATTGTAGTTCGTATTCGTCGATCTCCTTATGCTATTTAAGGACCTTTGAAGAGAACCGCTAGGTGTACGAGCTGAACAGGGGTTCTATACGAGGAATCTAACGTATCTTTGCGGCGAAAGAAGGAAAAGTGGCCAACTGAGTCAATCGGTGATAGAAGAATGAATCCTCCGGTATACTATCATTACCAATTAATGGTGCGAGATTGTGATATGGCTGGACCCAAGTTCCGGTACTTATTGTCCAACAGTCGCCTCAGGCATGAATCACGTGCCATCCCGATTGGGAAGCCTTCCGTCTCCAAACGTTTTGAGCTGAACTTCTCATGCATTTCTCTATGAACTTCACTTCTGAACACTCACTATCTGTTAGACTGAAAGCTTTGGAATATACCCCCTGTGCGATTCATTTCTTTAACATAGGCAGTGTGCAACGCGTCTGTGGAAGTGATCCCTTAACCATGGTGAACTGATAGTGGGGAAGCGACAACATCTCGAAGTCTCAGCTGTAACGTGTAGTTAGAGGTCGCAGTTAATCCTTATAATCAAGGGACTAAATTGTGGTATCCATGCCCATGCTGTATATGTATCGGGCAACATGCTAACCTCGCGTAGTAGAAAAGAAGCTTAAACTTCTACCATCGAAACAAGCTGACAAGATGGAAACGCAAGCAACGCTCAACAGTATTCAAAAAGCCGTATGGGACGGCAGGTTACCCTTACAGATTAGACTTGCTCCATCAGAAAGTCGGATATATGATCAGACAGACCCGTATCTTGTATTCTCCGCCCTCCATGACCACCGTGATACCTCGTCGGCCAATGTTAATCCCGCCTAGATCTCTTATCCCCGAATCTCATATCTTCCATCGCTACTGCCCAGACTGAGAGCCTTCTTCTCACCCTCTCTGATAAACCCTAATTCCCAGGCCCATGAGGGATGGTTCTCCATCGAAGGTGTGCCTCTCAAATGGCATCTTCCCGTCGGCCTGCTATATGATCTCTACGCGGGCGCTGACCCGGCATCTAAGGGGGCAACCGTGCCGGACGACGCAGGCTGGGACATCGATAGCCCAGACAGCCCATTACCATGGTGCCTCACGGTGCACTTTAGTAACTGGCCGGATGAAGAACTTGTCCGGCTGGACGCGGACGGGATGGTCATGAACGACGCATTCATAAACAGCGTCAAGGAAGCGGATTTCCTGCGAAACGGGACCGCAAAGGGTATCATGAGTCTTTCGAAGGAGGATTCGTCCGGGTTATGGAAGTCTGTTCAAGACGGTATAATTTTTCCTCAGCCCCTGCCACTTTTATAAAGTATATTGGCGGTACAATATTCCTAACAAACGCAGTGGACCTCCCCTCCTTCCAGCGAGTTTCTAATATCCTTCTCCCCCCTCTCAACCAGCCTTTCCGTAATGTCCCAATTCGCATCTTCCTCCCTCTCCCTCCGGACTCCGGCTCCCCCTCTCTCAAAGTAGTTCAATCCCCGATTCCGCCGTCGATTCCGCCCTCCAGCGTGGCTGCTAGCCAATTAACCCTTTCACGGAGTAATATCACTGTGCAAACGCAGACGATAGGCACGGCCTTGCATGCGCTACTCCCAAACTTGTTTCCCAGTCGGAGGACGCCCGTGTTAGCGAAGCCCGTGCTGCATGGTGCCGCCGTGCCTATGTCAGCACCGGTTGAAGAGGTGGTCAGGAGTTCGGCGTATGGAGACGGTTGGTTGTACATTGTTGTACGAATGATGGGGTGATGGGCTGGATGGTTATATCAAATCCTCCGTTGGGGACTATGCGCTATGAACTGTGATGTAGCGGATTTGGTTTCCAAAGAGCGATCGAATTGAAAACTATCATGCTATTTATATATACTACGCAACCATTGTATTAGTTCATCTCTGTATCATACGCCTCCTGATCCCCGCGAAATATATATTAAAGCCACATTCATGGACCCTCGACACCCACTTTCACGCCATTCTTCTCGTTCGCCTCTAGGCTCCCCTCGGACGGTGCCCCAATGACAGGAAAAGGCTGATCTCGCCACTTCCGCGCCGGGATCCCATTGATAAAGAACCAGTTGATCTCCTCCATAGAGCGGCTCGTGACCTCGCCGACGCAGAAGTAAACATACACAAAGGTGATCACGCAAAGGCCAGTGTATACGAAGCCGGTCTTAGGGCCGAGGTTGGCAGAGTAGTATAGGTAAGGGAGAGTGAAGACGATTGCCCAGACGGTTACCTGTGATTTTGTTCTGTTAGTGTTTGGCGATTCATGGAGACTATGGGAGTGGTGAGCCTTACCCAAAAGCGCGCTACGGCAACGGCGTAGATCTTGTTTCTATTGCGGCCAACGGCCATTTCGGAGGCCTGGTGCAGTCAGTAAAATAAACTCGTAGAAAACTGAATATGTGTGAGTGCTTACGATTGTCCAGCCCAAAGGGCCCCAGGCGAAATTGAATGCTGTGATTTCGATGATAACGAAGCTGATGATCACCTTACCAAATGTGTGAGATACTTCTCCGCCTGGAATCCCCAAGCATCCTACTATGAAGATAGAAACACCCATAATGCCCGTGGTGATGAGCAGGAGAGGGCGTCTAGGTAGTTTGTTGGCGCAGAACACGGCGCACAATACGACAACAACTTGGATAATGAACACGATTAGCGTCATTAGAAAAGGATCGGAGAGTCCAATGGCTTTGGAGAAGACTGTGCCAAAGTAGTAAAACCACTGAATGCCATTCACTTGTTGTGCGATGAGTGCTCCTGCGGAATAAATGGTCTTGCGTCGCTCAATGGGATCCAGAATCAAGTCCAACCAGGATGAGTCTTCTGCAAGTTGTTTTTCATTATATACATCCCGCTGTAAATTAGCCAGGTCATCATCTGCAACGTAAGTTTTATCATCGCGATTGACGCTCTGCAACGAATTTCTGGCTGCTTCGACTTTATTTTTACGTAGCAACCAGCGTGGAGACTCTGGTATCCACCAGAGGAAAGTAAGAACGATCAATGGGAAGATCAGCTGTACGCCCATCGGAACACGGTAGGCCACTGTGCTATCTATTCCTTGTGTACCGCGGTTGATGGCAGCGGCAACAATCTGGGAGACCGACAAAACCAGCTGCCAGCACATGAGTAACGGGCCACGGATTCGAGTAGGGGCAATTTCCTGCAATGTTCATTAGTAACGATTGATTCTACTCGAATAATGGTAGAGCCAGCTCACTCCAATGTATAGAGGGGATGTTGCTGAGAAGTTCCCTACACCATATCCCAGCAAGATCCGGCCTCCGATAATCATAGAATGTTTGTGATCTGTTGCCAATTGTAAGATCACACCCACCACGACCATTATTGATGCAACAAAAAACACTCCTTTGCGACCAACAACGTCATTGAGTGGCGCTGCACTCAGAGAGCCCACCAATTCTCCGATGTTGATGACGGAGGTCATGAGAGAAAGACTTGATGCTGCAATGGCATACGACCCATCGGACTGCATTTCACCAAAGTGTTCGATGAAGGCATCCATAGCAGATACACCAGTAAAGTATACACCATCATAGCCGTAGAGACATGCGCCTAGTGCGGCAAAGGCACCAAAAAGCCGGGCATAAAGGTGTTTGATGGCACACATGAGTCATGACGGTAAGCAGTCTTCTTCAGAGCTGGCCAGCGAACTTTTGAAACAAAGCATAACCTGTAGTATCAGAAGAGAAAAGAAAACGAAAAATCCGCATAAAAGTAGGATTCAACTATTTTAGCACATACTATGTATTAATGTAACTTACGTTGGTTATGTCGTACTAAAGCTGCAGGTTAATGTTTAGACCGTGACAAAATGCCGACGGCACGTATGAGAAGTTTTGGCATGAGTTGTCACGACACGAGATCCGTAAACTGACCATAAAACAGTGGATGGATTTCTATACGGAAAGAGCGCTACTTCGCATTTCTTTTAACTCGAAAAACCGCCGTTGCGAACTGACAATATAATTCTCATCGTGCTCTCCCCATGGGGCACGGGCCGCACAGCACCCGTCGATGATCGATGCCGATTGGCTGAACTGGGTGCCAAGGCGGCATCTCTGGCACATCGTACCGGAAAACGGCCGAGCCGGCGGCAAAGATGCAGACGCCTGGAATGTATAACGTGTGTGATTCGAATTGCAGGTTGCATCCGCAAAGATACTAACGGCTTCCGCATGATTTAAAAGGTTGCTCTCCCTACCTTTTGCTCCCATCCAAGTCAACTTCCCTCAAATTTCTGCAAAACACCTCAGTTTCAACATGGTGTCGTTCTCGGCATTATCGCCGTTGTCATCTCGACAGCCCACCCAAAACCAAGGATCTGCTGACGTGACCCCCATCCTTGTCAATGACACTTATCATCTCTTCCATTTGACGTCGCCGCCTTACCCTGTTCATCGACCAGAGAGACGTCGTTCCTACTGGTCACATCTCCGCTCCAAGAACCTGGTTCGATGGAGCCGAGATAACTCCCCAGCCATTGCTGTGGACAATGAATCTGTAAATCATGATGCCAGCGGTTCTTGGACCGGCTCGGCAGTGATTGGGCCTGATGGGAATATGCATATTTTCTATACAGCATATAACCTGTCCCAGGATGGCAAGCAAGTGATCATCCATGCAGCGTCCTCTGATATGGAGGGGTCATCATTTGTAAAGTTCCAGGAGCCGATCTCTATCAGTACTGATTCAACGGAAAACCTTGCCTCATTTGATGATGGTGACTTCCGTGATCCATATGTCCTTTTCAATGAGTACGAGCAGCAGTACTGGATGCTGGTGGCTACACGCCTGTCCCACGGTCCTTATTGGACCAGAGGATGTCTTGCATTGTTGAAATCGACAAACTTGAGTACCTGGAACTTGGAACCAGAGCCGTTCTTTGCTCCAAATGACGTATTCCGCCCTGAATGCCCAGAGCTCTTCTCACTTCCTAATGGTAAATGGTACCTCGTCTACTCGCGACTTTCTTCTCCTCACGCTGGGACTGTGTACCGGATGTCCGATTCTCTGTATGGTCCCTTCCGGAAGCCTAAAGATGGTTCTTCCGGGCGTTGGGATGGGAGAAGATGGTACGCAACAAGGTCCTGTCCCAAGGCCGGGGATCCGTCAAAGCGCGTGTATTTCGGTCGGATAGCCGATCGTTGCGACTCGGACCAGAAGTGGACGTGGGGAGGGGATATGGCGTACCCGCGACAAGTGTCCGCTACTGCTGATGGATCTCTCAGGATTGAGCCAGTCGAGGAAATCCTGTCAGAGTTCTTTCGTACAGAACCGGTTTTTCAGCGTTCATACGTCAAGTTAAACTCTCATGGGGCAGTCAAGAAGCACTTTCTGTACCCTTCCTCAGCAGATAACGGGTTGCCGACTCTCATGTCGTTCAAATTCTCCTCGAGTGATGTAGCATCCTTTGGTGTTCTATTCCATGTCGATTATGATCTTTCCGGCTATTGGCTGCGTTTCAGTCCTACACAAACAGGGTCGGGACGACCAATCTTTACCATATCACTATCCCTCTGCCCTCCTTCACAGGATGAGCATTGGAGTGATCAGTACAGGCTGTACCTTCCCCCCCAAGAGGTTGATGGCCATGAGCTAGTCCGGCATGATAATGTTTCTATCGAACAAAACGAACCTGTCAAATTTCTCATGGTAGGAGATACTCTAGAAGTTTTTGTGGGTGGGAGAGCGATCAGTTATCGTTTTCAGCCGAATCGCCACGGTGCTAAAGGAGGAAACCTGAGATACGGGCTGTTTGTAGATGACGGCGAGGTCATTTTCACTTCATTTTTCTCAGTTGTTAGTAGTATTTTATCACCATAACATGATTCTCATCTTTTCAAATCAATTCATAAGATACCAAGTACCGCGGGGAAACGAGGGGAGAAAAAGAAGAAAGAAATAGAACAAATCAGAACACCAAAGACGGATGCTGAAATAAAGTCACATGAGAGTCATACATGAGTATATGACATACATGCACTAGGCCGCGCCTATTATTATGATATGTAGCTGTAAGGCTGAAAAAAATGTCGTCATGAGAGTCTCATATTATTATTCATTTGGAATATTTTCTAGGAGTTCTGGTACAATCCGCACAGCCAAAGCATGTTCCATTCCTCGCAGGATTGCTCCTTCAAGGCGATTAACTGCATATCGCATGGGCTCGCTGCCTTTACCCATAATACGGAGGGTCCATAGGTAATTATTGAGGCGTTCTCTCCAGTGGTTCTTCTCAGCTTCTGAGCGGGACGTCACCAGAAGCAGTGTGACAAAAGACCCAACTAAAGAGAAGCTGAATCCCGATGCTTAATGTAAAGAATACATTAGTGAGGAGGGCACTCGCATAAGGAACCATGGGTTATAGATAAAAACGTACAGAAGAACCAGAAAGCTTCTAAATGATCCGGTCGTAAAGTGCGGACGAAAACCATTGCAGCTTCGACGGCGTCACTGGCTAATTTACGAGTATCATTGAGGACAGTAATATTAGAACAAATAGACACAAGTGCGATAGATCGAATAATCCTTCGCAAAAGTGTCAGGATAAGACTGTGGTAGGACAGGTGAAGGGAGCCTGCCACTTGTTAACTCTGAAACGTTGCATCAGGACAATATAACAAACCATTCGCACAAAGCCGCCGAGGGATCTGCCTGTCCATTAGCAGTGAATGGGGAATATTCACACGCCAAATGTGTAGTTTTTCGAGAATTGGAATCGCCCTGTGGTAAAGCTCAACAGTGTCCTGTGACTTACTAGCGCGCAGAGAAAAGAATTCAGTTAATATCTTGCTGAGAGATTTAGAAAGTGTGATCATTTCCACGAATCCTCTTCTCCCCGTCTGAATATCATTCATGGGGACTTCGTCGTTTTTGGGATTCATGTTATCATCAACATCGTAGAGATCGCTATCATCAATGTCTTTGACTCCCCAATTGTCATCATGGATATGGCTGGGCCGTCCATGCATCAATGCAGTCCATTTATCTTGCATGTACATTGCCCAAGAGAGTCTCTTGCGTAACCCACGCTCCCATTCAGGAATCTCCCAAGAGCTTGCATCCAAATGCAATCCTAGTGCTTCACCGATTGACAGTGCTTGGCTAGTATATCCCCAGGTCCACGTGTGATCCGGGTTCAAAGCATCCTCAGGCTTACACTGCACCAAGAGTAAAGTAGCCTCGATCGACGATAGCTTAGGCCTGTGGTAGCTGTTTTGAATTGCTTGAATAACTCTTTCTCTGAGTAATGTTTCATTCGGTGCTGGTTTGTTGTTAAGCTCGCGGTCATAAGTCCACCAGTTCAAAGAAATGAGATATATTGCCCCTAAGATCGACGCTTCAATCTCACGGTAGGATATTGAATATCGCTCCATGAATTTTCCCTTGTTTAAGATAGGATAGCATGGGTGGACTATTCTCCAAAAGAGATCAATGAGACTGGAACCGTACGGTGCAACACAACGCTCAATCATATCTTGTTCAACATGGTTCTGGTAGCCAATTGCCTTGTCGTCTCTTACAATGTGAAATGTTACTGGGTACTGTATGCCCATGTCTTCCTGCAGCACGCGCCGAATACTATGGGTCTCAAGACGAAACTCATGTGACTGAGACTCATACGGCCGATGTCGCTGAGCTATTGTTAATGGCCTATTATAGGGGCAGTTGGACTGATCTTACCATGAGTATGGGCTCCATGTCGCTCGTAAGCCCGTACAATTCTGCAAATTTCGACCTCGCAAGACCCAGCGAGCCATCGTTATCTTCTCCATCCCTTTGGAAAGCATCCGTAGGAGGTACAGCCCGAGAGATCTCTACTCCGGTTTCATGCCCTTCCGCCAAATTCTCCGGTTCTAGGGGACTTTGAGAACTGGATGTAGACGAGGAAGCGGGAGACTGGTCAACGGCGGGGCTGGCATTGCCCACCCTTGACTGGGCCGAGGCTGCTTGACTTCCTTTCGTACTAGGAGCCAGGCTACGATATACCTGTCTTGAACGCGCGATCGTTTCATCAGATTGCTGTGGAAAATCACGGTTCCTGCCGGAGTGCGCACGTGAAGGCCGAGGTGGCGGTTTCTGGTTAAAAGTACAGGCTGTTTGACGAGCCTCACAGACCATACAGCATGAAAGCCCTGGTGGAATAACACATCGCGACTTGCGTACACGGCACAAGTCACATGGCCGAATGGCCCTTCGAGGGCGCGTGATTTTGGTGGGCTGTCTGTTCGCTGTCACATCAGAACTAGTAGATGATGCCATTGTAACAAATGCACCCAGCACACGGCATGGCTCCTTGATTATTTATCCATAGTTTACGACGGAGCTATGCAACGGGAACCACTCAGGGCCGCTGAACCGGATTTTGAGACCAGTATGCACTAGAGAGCATGTGATGTACTGTACACATTGGATGGAGTGGAGAGTGGAAAGGCGGCAAATCTCGGCAGAAGGGCCTATTTCTTGGCACGTCGATAAGTAAATCTGTAATTTAAGGCGGAAAGGTTTACTAATTACTAGTAATTGTACGGAGTACAGAGTACCCTTTACCTACCTCCACCGCCGCCACACGTTAGGCGTCTGATCTCTCTATCATTGGACAGTCTGCACCATCTTGCCAGCAGCTTAGCTTCACACCTTACTCTACTATAGACTACCTCCTTTTCACGAGGAATATATGGTTCATATCATGTTAAACATCCAAATTGTAGCCTAGACTACCTGACTAGCATTGTATATATATGAAAGACCGACAAAAGAAGAACTCAAAGGCCAGAGGAAGGGTATTTCGGGTATATGACTTGGCCGTCCTGCAACAATATATCTGAATCATGTTCATGCAGTCGTGACAAAGGAAATCCTAAACAATATGCGATGCCGAAACATCATGAAGCAAAAAGTGAAGACATAAAAGCCACATATGGGATATGGTTAGAAATACATGTAGGTCAATTTGATCATGTCTGACAACAATCTGAAACGGGCGTGGATGGAAGAAGAGGAAAGATACAAGACCAAGGGCTTATGAAAAATGAAAAAAATGAGTCTAAATAAAATTTCCATTGATTTGCATCGCGGCGCCGCCTTCTTTACCCTTTCTGAGGGCTTTGGCAAGCATCAACTCTCGCATCCAATCAATGCGTTCGTCTCGGGTCTTGACCGCGAAATGGTGGCTCTTGACATTGCTGTTCCCAAACAACGCCTTTTTCTCATTCTCCTTTGTTGAAGGTATAAGGGAAAAGGCGAAGGCTGTGTCATCTTTACTAGCATGGTTCCCACTGCGTAGAACAGAGCGTTTGAACGCGGCTGTCAATTTAGAACTAGTGGCCAGTGAAGAGCAGGCAACAGCATAATCATCAACGTCGATCATGTCTAGTGCTTTGGAATTGCGAATGGCAGCGAGCTCATCCTTGTGCATGGCCAGGTTGGTCCCACGCAATGTAAAATGTGCATCTTGCCATTCGTGGCGAAGGAAACGGGTCTGCTTCCGCTTCTTCATATATCCACTCCTGGTCACATCTGGGTCCGAGGCGAGAGACGTGTTCGAGGAACTGTGGTTGTGGAATCCTATACGAGGACTTCGCTTCTTCAGGTCCTCAGGGTCCTCAATAGGAGTAAGAGGCCGTCCTAGATAGGCGCGACGAAGTGGCGGGCTAGGTTGAGGGCGTAAGAAAGCGCCGCGCGGACCATTCTCCTGGCGGCGAATTTGCATACGATTCCCGTAGCGCATATCTGGTGGAACCGATTGAGAGACATCCCGGCCAACAGGGTCATCCGGGATAGCGGTGATCGGGGCATCCATCTCGGAAAAGGGTGTGCCCTGGCGATAAGTGTCCGTAGGTCTCATAGAACTAAACGGACCGTACTGTTGGATTACAGTCGGAGAACCGTAGGCTTGAGTTGCCACGGATGGGGTAATTGTTCGGTTGGTCGTAACAGCTGTTGTAAGCTCATCCGAGTCATAATCCGTAGGAATTTTCAACTTCGGGAGGTTACGAAGATTCGCAGCCATATTGTTCGTGTGGGAAGTCGGAGGCGTCTGCTCAGGTACGGTTTTTACCAGCTGAGTGACCGCGGGTGCTAGCTCTAGTTCTGGTTCAAGATCGTCACACGAATCCACATGCTGATAATTAAGGAAGTGTCGAATACTTTCCTGTGGATCGACTCTCTGTAATTCATCCAGCGCTTCTTGGCAGAGCTTGGGAGTTCCTTGGGCTGGCCCAAAAATGTCCGAGGAAGCGACAACTGAGGGCTCGGCATCTGATTTGGGACGTAGTAAGTTCTGTGCCGTTTCTGGGTTCCCAGGATTCCCGGTTAACACTGAGCTCCCTGGCAGAAGAACAGCGTCAGGAAATTCTGCAGCGATTTTCTCTAGCTGACGCTGGCGTCTCCTATACTTGGGGCAATTTTCTCCCTTGGAGCAGTTATGAGGTTTAGGAAGAACCTGCTCGATACCGACAATGGAGACAGATTCCCCCGCCACGACCTGCCGACTGCCATCTGCGCTAATGACATCCCTGGAAAGCACTTCTCCCGTCGGAGATACAGACATCGCATACGAGCGCCTGTGATCAACAGGTATTTCAAGGTCTGGTGACCTTCGCATAGTTTGGCGTAAATGGTCAATTGAAGTCATCAGTTGATGGCGTTTCCCAAACGATTTTATCCCGAGCTCCTTGAGGTCATCGATTTGGAGACTCAGCAAAACAGAGCCAGTGATGTCGTTGATGATGAACTTGTCGATAACGTTGTCGTCATAACCAGCAATGTACATCCAGTGTGCTACCTGGTTAGGCATCCAGCCTCGGATCTCACTCTCCTCCACCTGCGAAACGTCTGGATGCACGGTTACAAAAGCTTTAGAGGTGTGTGGAGAGTATTGGAACCTATTCATTGATACCTCATTCTCAGAAAACTGGGACTTGGAGCCTGGGGTCTCGGAGAACTGGGAGCGAGTACTCCTTATCTCAGAGAGTTGAGACCGAGCACTTGGAGGCTCAGAAAACTGACTCTTTGAACTAGGCGTCTGAGCAGCAGAGAACTGGGGCCGGGTACTCGACGTCTCCGAGTAGAATGATCGAGCGCTTGGAGGTTCAGAAAACAGAATCCTTGAACTAGGAGTCTGAGCAGCGGAGAACTTAGACTGGATGCCTGACATCTCCGAAAAATAAGTTTGGGCACTTGGAAGCTCAGAATACTGGTATCTGGTGCTCTGAGTCTCCGAGAACTGAGATCGACCGCTTGGGGGCTCAGAATACTGGTCTCTAGAACTTTGGGTCTCCGAGAACTGTGCCCCAGAGGCTGTGCTCTCAGAGGCAGAGAATTGAGACCGACCGCTTGGGGGCTCAGAATATTGGTATCTTGTGCTTAGGGCCTCCGAGAATTGTGATCGTCCACTTGGTGTTGCTGTAGGGGCGAACTGGGATTGAGTACTTCGGGTTTCGGAAAATTGAGTCCCAGAATATGGGGTCTGGGCGAGCTGAGACTGAACTGGCGATCTCTCGAAGTAAACATCAATCTCGGCAGTTGACGGTACAGACCCATAAGAAGCAATAGAAGATCGAAATAGATGAGGTCCAGAAGGTCCCTCGATCTTCCTGTCAAGCTCAAAGCTAAAGGGCGCTTTCGGGGCATGGTCCGGGGTTGGTAGCTCTGGCGTAGAAAGAGAAGAACTACTATCACGACCAAACTAATCAAGCCAATCAACAACTCCAAGCCTTGTTTAAAAATGGTTGAGGTGAACCTACTGAACCCATGCTCATGCGTGGAGACTCTTCGTCTGAGGATCCATATTCAAAGTCGGTGTCGGCAAAATTGGTCGACTCCGATTGACGCTTTTTCACGACAGTCCAGGCTGGATAAAATTGCGTAGTGCTCTTTACGTCGAGCGACGCAGGCGCTGCCTTACGTCGACTGCGCAAAGACTCCTGCACCAGGTTGAAATTAGAACCTCACGGATCAATTATTATAGGGTGCTAACTTACCATAGTGTCTTCTATGCTGGCCCGTGCAAGATTCAAAACTGAGTTTATCAGAAGCAGCAATCAAATCGAGAGTTAGTCAATAACTCTGTGAGATGGTGTAGCACCTCATAACAATTACAAGGAAAGAGAGGAAACAAAAGGAAGGTGACCAGGTATCACACAGTGACACATAAAACGCAATGAGGGAACGGCAAAAGAAAGAGGACGGGGGGATTTGGAGAGTTGGGCTGCTCCGAGTATAAGTATAGTGGGTAATGAACCCGACGAGGGGAAAGGGGGAGCGGTGAAACGGTAGCACAGAAACGAGGTTGGGCTGAATGATCGAATCACTCCCTATTGCATGGAGGACTAAGTCCGTGGCATGCAGGGATAGTGAAACGTAGTAGCATTGTCTTCACAAAGAAATCATAGTAAGTGGCTGGGAGCTGCAGAGAAACTTGGATGAGAGGTGATTAGAAGTGATCAACTTGCAGTAGGTTGGACCCCAACGCAGAGAACGACATTGTTCCTGACCAATAAATTGCCGCCGAGGGAAAGTTACCGTCGATGGGGAGGACCGAAATAACTCATGGAGGGCTGGGAGAGGTCGAGGAGAGAAAGTTTGTGGTTCCTCCACGCGCCGAGATGGTGGAGTTGGCGGCCAACAGGGTATGGTGGCCTGTGACTGGCGGAGCGGGTTAGCGCCTAGATTCCTTCATCTATTCTAAATATTGTACCGCTTGAGCAATTGAACGCAACGCATAGCCGCCGACTCTCACGGATCGTTTCGCTTCCTTCCTTCTTCGTCCAATCGCTCTTCTGATAGCTCTCAGTGACGGTGCGGAGAAGAGATCACAGAAAAGTTAATACGAGTCATTTCCCCTATACAATTGAATGCGGTCTGCTAGATATTCTAAATTTGGCCTCAATCCCTTGAGAACGTCCTAGCCAACCAACCCGATATCAGTCTATTTTCTGTGAGCTCATAATCGGCCACAAATAACCGGAAATAACGTCCCATGGCGCTTCCCTCGACCGTTCTATATAGACCGGTGATCCCACCCTTTCGGAGAGCGGAATTCACTGCGGTAACAAAGGATGATGGTCTTCTCCCACCAACCGCCTCGTGATTTATTTGTTGGGGACTTATGCAATGTCGACTAGTCTCCCTCGCTGTGTCTTTCCCTTTTTTTTTCCTTCCCAGCATCTATCTTACAACCTTTTATATCATGGCAGCCCATTATCTCGTCAATTGCTCTTGGGTATCGAAAATTAGCCGTGCTTATGGTCTTGGAGTTCAGCCTTAGATTCTTTTCATTCCTTTCTTCTGTTAGTCCAGAAGTGCAGAGCTACTGTACCGTGACATGTGAACTGGCTGCATTGCATGAGCCCATGTACCTATCGTGAGCCGTTGGATCTGACCATAATAACATAGAGAACAGGGATTAACGTTATAATCGTTAGAAATATATTAAATAACCTTTTGTATACTAACTACCACTCCTGTTCTTCCGTTCTTAGATCATGGACAAGTCCAACGTCCGTGGGTTACCGATGTTATGTGATCTACATTGAACTACATCTCGTTGTTACTAAGTTGCACATGACCAGCATGTTAGGAAGTAGCAAAGATCCAAAGAGTATTCATAAATATCTAACCGAAAGGCTCGTCGAACATAGATTGATTCGGAAGAAACCTGACAGAGAGAATGCTGAAAGAGATAGAATGAGGGGACGGCGAGGTCAGGTGATGCTGCAGGAAGCGGGGAACTGTGTGATTGTGACCGTCACATTGCGCTACATATCTTAGTATGGGACGACAGCTCTTAGCACAGGTCAACTGCGGGTACCTTGCACTGTTATTGGCTCTATAATCACTTTTCTAGCATAATATATCTTATACGTGGAAAAAGGTTTCTTCGAACTGGTGATGACGTTAGATGAGTTTTTTTGAGACCTCCAGGTAAAGCCGTCGGTATCAAAAAGCGAGTACGGCGTAGTACTCAGAATCGCAAATGATATGAATAGCAACAACAAAGTCAATTATAGACCTCGTTATGCAATGTGCAGCGCTTCGTTGTTGCGCAGCCTTACGGTTAGAAGCTGCATATCGTGTATACTAATTTAAGATTGTTGGTAGTTTAGTGTATCTCGTAGTATACCAAGTATGCCAAGTATGCCTATGAATAGGATCTCGGAATTGCATTGCTAAAATATTCTATTAAAAGATTTTAAGATGTTCTATATCTAAGTATCAAACTATGGAGAACTACTTTTTTTAGAATTAAAGATGCAGCAGTGAGATCTTAGCGATGTTGGTGATACCGCAGGTAGGGCAACGGTGGAAACCGATAGAGTGCTTGATCATCTATATTCAGTAAGTCGAACAAAAAGGAGAATAGAGTAATTGGTCCCAATTCGGCATCCATCTTCTTTTACCCTGCGCAGAGCAGTTCCAGGCTTAACTATTGGCTTTTGTTGAATGTTGTCGGCGGTAGCGAACTATGCAAGCCTTAGGATATACCCCGCATCCCAGTAGTTCAGGGTTGCTAATTATGACAACTTCGGGAGTTAATAATAGGATATTGACGCTAAAGTAGTCATTTAGCTAAATATAAACATACTTAAACTGATCTGAACGAATGAAGAGGCCTGATTAGACGCCGATAATTGCCATATCCTGTAGTATTGGCGGTAAAAGTGTTGCTAATTAAGGCTTGCCGTATGCACGTTATCACGTCCAAGCGTCGCCGATCCGCCCCGTTGCTGCACGGGCCGAGACCCACTCTATCTTTCCGGCTCTTGTCATTGGACATCTTGGGCAACTGTCAGATTATCTCTGCTCTTATCTGAACCCAAATTTCAATGGCGACTAAGGAAATCAGGGCCTCAGCATGGTATTCTACTCGCAGGAAAAATCGGGGGAAAATCAGAAAAATACCAGGAAAGTGTAAAAAGATGATATAGAGGAAAGGAACAAGTAAGGGGCATATTTTGAGTATTGCGGATGTAAAGGTCCAAGTTCAGCGATGAATTTTGGAGCTCGATACGTTGCACGAGTCAAGATGATCTAAAATCCGAAAATCTAGGGTAATTGCCATTAAACCACCAATCAGGGTTCTTAGCGACCACCTTTAAATTAGACAGCCTTCAGACCCTTGCAGGAACATTAGCCGTCCGCCCAGTGTGATCCTGGCTCCTATCTGGTTTAGTCCGCGGCTAACATAGCGATGTGGGTGATCAACCTCACAACTCCAGGAACCATGTTAACCAACACTTCTAACCACCACCAGGCATCCCGACAGAGGGCCTCCAGCCTATCCGAGTGCACGATGGCAAATCTCGCTCGTTGCTCGGCGTCAATCTCCACTCGAGGTTCGATTGTTCTAGTAAAACTTGAAACAATATCCTCGTTCGGATAACCCCTGGTTTGAAAAAAAATAGAAGCACGAGGGGTATACACCTTGCTTGAGGACTAGTCGTTGGATCCAACATAACTCAGGATACCAAGGCCAGATGGCTTCATAAAAGCCCTGGCCATCCTGCTTCAACCTGTCCCTTTGTTCTCTGTGCCATCTTCGCTTCATTCAACGGCAGAGATCACTATTCTCTATCTCTTTTACTTCCCAACACAGGCAGTCAAGAAAGCTGTGGCCCGTACAACTATCTTAGATGGTTTCAAAGCTTCCTATCGTCGTCAACTCTTAAGTCAACTGTGCCAACTGTTTACCATCCTGTCCCAAGTTTTCCGGTCGGCACCACAAAGATGTCGAGCTCAGCGCGGGCCTCCAATCGAAAGAAAAAGGCTGCATTGGACTCGACGAATGCTAAAGAGAGCACGGGCAGAGCTGGACCGAAGGCTCACCACAGATCACGATCAGGTATAGACGTTGAATTCCCAGACAATGTTGCCCCAATCGCAACTGTCTCTTTGTAAGGGACCTGCTAATCCTGCGTATACATAGGCTGCTTTACGTGCCGACTGAGAAGGAAGAAATGCGATGAAATCCGTCCAATTTGCGACTCGTGTTCAACTCACGCTCTGAAATGCGAGTACAGACCACCTCAGTGGTGGGCCACAAACGAGAAAAAACGCGGTCAGAGGGAAAGGATCAAAGGTAGGATCCGGCAGACGAAGGTCATGGAGAAAAATGGATGCTTGCAAGGTATGTCAAAAACCAGTGACTCCAATGCTTACCTTTGACCAACGCGGTCTTTGTCTCCAGAGTATATCGATAAAATCAAGACTCTATGCGAAGAAAGCCCAGCATCGGAATTCGACCCCAGTCGCTCAGTACTTCCAGAGCCAAATCCTTTCGCGACCCCAGCTCAGAATGGATTATCTCGAGAATTAGCAGCCATTCCAGGAGCACTTATCGGGCAAGCAATAGAGCCGAGGCCTGCACCACCAGTACATCTTACGACGCCTGTCATTCCGTATGACATCAATTTTGGAGTCGGCCAACAGATGTTCTTAAACAATAATCCTCTGCAGAGTAACCTAGGGTTGTCGGACTTCAGCGCTATGAGTCTAGCACAGCCTCAGATGCCAACTGCACCATTGGCCAGTACCGACTGCTTCGCGAACACGTACAGCCCAATGCAGCCCTTCAACTTAATTGATTCTCAGGGAGGCCCTGCATACTCAAACCAGTCTCTCTCCACATACCTGCAGATGATGATGCCTGTGGATGAAAAGGATCGCCATCTTCTCGAAAACTTTCTTGACAATATGATGATGTTGATATTCCCCATCGTGGACGCTCATCAGGTGGGCCCTGCCCGGATCAGGGAAATTTTCGGTCTTATGCAGAATAATCGCGCGTACTTCCATTGTTGCCTCAGTTTCGGCGCAATCCACCTCAAGAGTAGCCTAGGCATGGATGACCAGATGGATCATGACATTATGCAACATCGTTATGATGCAATTTCTCACCTCTGTCGCCTTCTCAGCAAAAGGAGTGGCTATATGCAGGTGATCGATGCAACACTTGCATTTATACTCTTCCATTGCTCCCTTGGTACGCCAGATGATTATCTGCCCGATGTTCCATGGACTTCCCATTTTCAAGGAGTTGCACACCTAGTTAAGAATCTCAACTATGCACCCAGTCAGTTCAACGTCACCCTCATCGCATGGATTGATATTATTGCGGCTACCATGGCGGGGTCGACACCGCACTTCTCTCACACCTACCGGGCGAAGCATCTCGGTGGCCATACGTCTGGCCTACAGCAACTGATGGGTTGTGATGACCGTGTTATGTACCTGATCTCAGAGATTGCATGCCTAGAGTCCTTAAGGGTAGATGGGCTTATAGATGACATGACTGTACTAAGCCACGTCTCAGCGTTGACGGGCCAGATCGACTGGACGGAGCCAGCTGATCCCAGACTTGAGGTGCCTTTCACATCTTCCGGGGTCGTCATCCCGGAAAAGCTGACCAAGATCATCACCTCCTTGTACCGTATTTCGGCTCGTCTTTATCTTTATAGCCTGCTTCCATCGGTCGATTACAATGACCCTGCCATTACCATCTGGTTAGCGACTATGATAGAAATACTCAAGTACATACCTGCAGGTTCCAGTGGCTTTGACCGCTGTCTCGTCTGGCCCTTGTTCATCGCGGGAGCATCCGCGGCGCCATCCAGTAACTTTCGGAAAGTTCTGACCGAGAGAATTGCTGCTCTCGGGTATTTGGGAGAGCTTGGTAGTTTCGGCCGGATGTACCGTGTCTTGAAGGAGGTCTGGCGAGAATCTGGAGGACCGGTGCCATCAATTGGAGATGACGATGCTCCCCACGACCCCGAGGTGCCTTCTAATACCAGTGGTGTTATCATTACCTGGCGGCTGGAAGACTCGTCACAAAAGCCTGAGCAATCACCGCCGCCACCCGTGGGACGACAGATCCATTGGCGCGATGTCATGAAACGCAACAACTGGAACTTTTTGTTAATGTGATGTAGCCTCCTTGCCAAAGCACCCAGTATCTGGAAAATCGACTCCAATCTGGTGGAGGACACTTGTGCAAACACGCAATGCGATGTGTCTTTACGGTCCATATCAGCACGTACTTGATGATAGAGGTGGCAGCGACAATTTCGAGGTGGACTCCGGACTTGGTGGTGCAGGTTTGAAGAGGATCTTTTCATAATTTGATATTCCAGCCAGTATTGTTGATTCTTCTTCGTTTTTTGATTCAGTCTCTCATTCAACTCCCCAGCCCTTCCCTATTGCTTTCTGCTGTATTTCGGCTTTCTGTGTCCATTTGCCTGTTTTCTTTGATCATTCAGTCACTCTTTAAAGTTATTGGTTTGTGCACTGTTTGAACTTCCTGCTGGTATTGAAAGCCTCTTTCCCCCTTTTTTCGCTTCTTACCCTTGTTCACGCTTGATATCATCGTGTCCACTCATTACACCTGACACAGTCTGCCATTGACCATAACCATATTGCCATTTTCTGTCTGCTGTCTGCTGTTTATTGTTGTTGATAATTCATTGAATGCAACTTTTTTGTTCCTTTCTTTAACCTTTCTTGCAGAAAGGTCATTCGACTCGAGTAGATAATTGTAGCTCTTGTTAAAGCACCTCGTTAATTCAACAGTTTCTTAAGCAGAGATGGGACCTAGCAGTAGTTAAGGACCCCTTCAGGCCAACAGAATTCACATACCTCTTTCGTCAACCTATAAATATCCTTCATTTCATTCCTGTTATGTCCCAAAAATAGAATATCCTAGTGTTTCAAATCCACAGAAGATGAAACCTGGCGCTTGCCCCCGTATTTATTTTTGAGGCCCTAAGTAACAGCTACAAGAGCTTCTGCAATCAGAATCGGGTTCTGGATCTCTGGGCGTTGAATACCTTGGGCCCTGGGGAGGAGGGACGAGTCCGAACATATATAGTCTCGTATATGTATAGACCTCAGTGTAACACGCCTACTTACCGCTTCTCCGATGATTTTTTTACTCGGTGACACTTGTTTTATTTCTGTATCTTTCCGCTGGGGCTTATTCTGCAACAGCAAAAGTCCTCCGTAAGATGCGTAAGAATGTCACCAAACAAAACTACCGCTGCTCACCGATCCTTTCTACCAACAACCATAGGACTACTAGTACGATATGATGAACCAATGGATGGGCTGGACTAGCCTACAGACCTTTGGGAGTACGAAAACGGAACCCGCAGAAAAGCAACCAGGACCAAACAACGAAACAAACCAAAGATTCCGACAAGCAACTAAGCGGCTGAGGCTTCAAATCCTGTTCAATTAGCTTCCGTGGGCATTTTCCTGTTGGACTGTTGGTTACTTATTCTGCAGTATTGGTTGGAGGATCGTAGCTGAGCGACACGTGGAAAGGATGGGATCCTTCAGGAGTTCGGATGCGTCTAACAAGTGTATTTTGGGGGCCATGGCGGTCCGAGCCTGTACTCCTTGCTAGATCGATCAATTTCTCGTGCAATCGACTAGTAAGCGTGTAGATTCTGACATTGGCTATCGATCCATCTATGTAGAACTGTATCATGAACTAAGGGGCCGCGCTCGAGTTGGCCGATATAAGGATTCCCTACCCGGATAGACAATTTTATACTAGAGGTGCACGTCATACCATTTATTCATTTCGCCAAGGCTAAATACAATATACCGGAATTCTCAACTCTCCTCCCACCGTACAGTAGTACATAGTAACTCCAGCCAGTTTTGAAACTTAAATTTTAAGGAATTATCCATATTGCACAGTGCTAGCAATGCAAAACTTGTAAAACAACTTGACCGACAGATGAAAGCAACCCTTGTGAGACAAATAACGAGATGTATGATATATCAGTGAACAGTAATCGGTGGCCAAACCCAAATTTCATGAAGCATCTTGATTGCCATTCGTAGTTAAAATGAGCTATACACAATGGCTCCTCAAGGAACTATGTGTTCCGACGTGTAACATTTCTCCGCTTTCCCTGAGGCGGGGGGTCGAGCTGGGGGGCTCGCTTAAGGGTAATGGTTGTTGTTACCACATGTCGAACACTAAATGATGCCCCATTGTCACTGACGGGGGAGTCGAACATCCGCAGCCTATAGTCAGATGGAGTAAAGGGGGATTGAAGGGCATGCGCGCTGCGCGGGGAGTCTGTCATGGGTGCACAGACGTAAGGCGGGGGAAGTGGCAAGCGGCGAGAGTTATCCGGACTCTTAGGAGGTAATGGTACAAAGCAGCGTGAGGCGGTATATGGAGGAGGAACCCTTGCACTTTCTTTGGGGAAAGAAGGAGAAGTAGAGCTGGTGGGAGCGGAAGTAGGTGAAGGACGAGGCCTGTCAAGCATATACTTGGAGAAGTTCTCACGAGAGGTTGCGGGCCGTGAGAAGATGGGACTGAATGTGTTGAGGAATTCCGTATATGCTGGCGGAGGGGTAATGGTGATCTCCTCCTCGTCCTCTTTCTTGATCTCCTTTTCCGGCCTGTCTGGATCGAGACATGTGTAGGTGCGCTCCCGGAGTTCCGAAGGAAAACTCATAGTCTTAGGGGTGGCTAACGGATGGAGACTTGGCTTTGTTGGAGCCATCTTGGGTTAAATATTATCTTATAAGTGTATGACACCAGACGAATTCTCAGGTGGGCTCGTTGATGACAGATCTTGGGTCAAAAAGGCAAGGTTCTCCAGAGGAAGATGGTGTGGTTGGGATAAGGAAACAGGTTAAGGTCCCGAAGGGTGAGGAAGCAGTCTTAAGTAACTATTAGAGATCAACCACCAGCAACCGAACTGAAGAGTAGAATGGAAGGCCTCAAGGTGATGGAGATCTCTATAAAATAAATGTCAGAGTCATGGGTATACTGAGGAAGTGAAAATTACACATACATATTACGGTACCAGACCGTATTGATACGTATGATATTGTCTAGTACTGAGTAGGGTTAGTTGAAGGCAGGTCCAAAATAGTAACATTCGATCCACTTACAACAGCCTAGATCAGGAGAGATTAAGATAGTAGTAAGAAAAGTAGTAGCCAGTGGAACCGTTAGCCTGACCCTTGAGCAGTGCACAGCCCGTGTCTATCTCAGCGTGATGCTGGGTTAACGGTCGCTTTGTTTGGCTTTCCGAGAAGATTCACACTTATAAGGCTAGAAGTCAAGATCAGTCCAGCTGATACCCTCAACTCTATGAACAGAGGAAATGGTGCGAACTCAAAGGAATATATAGTAAAAAGAGGAGGTTGATTTTCTATGGAGAGGAGACTGTGGGAGGATTGACATCTGAGAATTATCTAGATACTTATACATTTTCCCAGCGCTTCGTTAAATGACAGTACTACTAAGAAGCACATACATGATAACAATACCTCAACATTGTCGCGCGTAATTTGAATCAAGTTTCATCTTATTACCCCTTATTCTAATGTACATTTTGCCTTGATTAAGATTCAATCGCTCACTGCTTGTCAAGCGTAGTTCGTCAAAGCAAAGCGCGCGGTTCGACAATCCACGATGTTTCCTGCACTTTCTGGCGGGTTTAAAACACGGGGTAGTATAATGCCAAACGTGATCCTGTAACCCTAATAGGTACCTAGAGCCTCAAGAGCTCTAGGTTGCGGAATACTACCCAGGTCGCTCATTACCAAATTCGCCAGTCGCGCTCGTGGTCCAATCAGGCCACATAGGACGTATTGGACGTATCGTTATGGGGTCCATAGTTTCAGCTATAATGTTATCCTGCATGTAAGTAAGAGTGGTTGCGATATGAAGATGAATTCTGCTATATTGACGCTTCAGCAACCTGACAACCAACGGCGACATTTCTATGCTATGACATGTTGTGTCGGACGAACGTAATAGGTTATAGTAGAGTATGAACCGCGATGAATGTCGTTCAATCTACTGGACATTGTTTGGTTATCAGTTCGCATTTTCCTGCCAAGCCCTCAGTAATGAGGTCCTTGTACTCCTCCCCCCATGGTGCTCGGCAACCTGCGGTTTTCTTGCGCATATCATTTAGCGCGAATATGCTCGAGTCATCGGAGTAACACAGGGCGCCTGTTGCTAGAGGGATATCAATGCCAACCAGAATGGGCAAATATCAGAGGGCTAGTAGAATCACAACAGCGTCATCGAGCCTTTGGTCAATATGCGATAGAGCTAATTCACACATTGAAAGGCAAATTTGACCTCGATTCAGGCTGCGATAGGATTTGGTAACTATGTCTTCTGTATACCTGCTATCTACTGCGGCGGCATGTGTGGTAGTCCTCTGCATGGTAGCAATATGCCCATCTACTAAGTATCCAGGGCTTACATCAATATCATAGTTCTAATAATAAACCCTGCGATAGCGCTATCAATCAGAATACTGGGGAAATGCAAGCAAGGAAGCTATAAACGGAAACGCCAGTCACTTTCTTAACGCATAACACTGATTTATTCGTCCAGGGTTTGACGCGCGGGGGGTGCTCCCAAATCAACGATCTCATCATTCTACCAATAATTTTGCATCATGCACCGTCTCAGAAGACAACCATGTTTTAGTTCGAGCGGCCAAAGGTGCTAATAAAAGTGCTCCGACCAATCGTGGCTGGGTTTGGGGGTGTTGGGGTTCACAGCGACTAAATCTAATAATAGCTCTCTCCGCGCTAAGGTTGCAGATCCGATGCTTCTATTTTCGGATCTCCAACATCACCTCTACTTTCTATGCATCTATCACGATATCTCCATGTATATATGACGCTGGGATTTTAGCAATTGCTCTCAATTTCGCTTGAGGGAATGTTAACATGTATAGGTCTATGCATTCCCCAGCGGAAACAACCTTCTTCCAGACCCCAACACCAGGTAGCAACCTACGAGAATCCAGAGCACTTGACCACGCATAACAATAGCATGCGCTCAACGAAACAATCCACAACGGCGTCAAGCTGATCAAGCCAATCAGAGAATCTAAGCTAAATTGGTCCATATCTGCATTTACAGGGTCAAATGCCCTTCCACCCCCTCCATCCTTAGTAGGAGCGCCAATCCAATTCGTCAGAAGGTTTCCTAAAGAGGACATGCAAGAACGGATCCATCTCTCTATCAACCCTCGACTTTTTTTTCTATTTCTTATCTAGGGAATATCCTGCATTAGTAGCCAAACTGCACTAAGTTTTTGGTGTAGTCTCCTTTCTCATTGGATTAGATATACAGTCTTGCGCCGTGGGGTTGATTCTACTTCAGCACAAACCTTCGGTAAGTGCCTTTCATCCCGTCCTCTTTCACCTTACGTCCTTGGTTCCCCTCTTCCTTTCCTCAGCCGTTCGCCGGGATTGTTGTTGATCTATGATAATTTTAGAAGCATTTGTGTCTTTCGCAGCTACCACGGCGCTTCACTTGTTTCTCGGCTCGTCTTTTTTTGGCCCCCGGACCTTAATCACATCCCATCTCAAAGTATGGTCCTGTATTGCCGTATAATACGGTATCGTACAATACATCCACACTAGAAAGCTTCCTAGGAGCTTCTCCAACCCTCATCTGCTGCCACTTGTTAGATCGCCATTTCTAAATAAAGACCCTAACTATCGCTACACATTTATGTTCGGCGCCTCTTTCAGCTCGGTCACATCTGTTTCGGCCGGTAGGTCATTCGGCGGTTGTTTTTCCCTGGCGCATTTCTATACATAACAATTCCCCCCTTTTCGTTTCAATCACCGTTACAGATAGCAGATGATGCAATGGAATCATCACTTAGTCATGATCTAGTTGTGAAAGTCGAGATAGCACCCAGGCGGACTTGGTGGACAAAGAATTAGCGCCAGGCGCAGGTGTCAACGGAGTCCGTGATTGTAGCTTCGGTATGGCAATCAAACGTGAAAAGGCGATAAGGAAAAAATATCATTTCATGGCCAGAATTTGAGAGTTTATTTATCAAGTATACCGCAAAGAGCTTGAGACAAAGAATTACACAGTAGCGTCTAGAATTAGTTTAAACGAGCCCCATCTCACGACCGCCCAAACAAGAAACCAAGCAAAGAAGGCGTAAATCATCCAGATGCAACCAGATCCCTGTCCACCGTCCAATATTAACAATATAAGCTGATTTATACGCAGGTATCTAACCAGAAAGATCAGATAGAAATATTACAAAGAACCAAACCCGTGGTATCATGCTGCACAGTCATGGTGAACAAAGTGGTATCATAAACAATCAAGAGGGGGGGGAAGAATATTAGTAGCCACTCAACAAGGAAACAAGGGGAAATTAAACATGAATTGAATAATGAAAATAGGAATGGGAGTCATGTCGATGCATTTATTCTTCAGTCAATGCGTCATCGCCGGTCTCACGCCAATCTTTTGACCGTTCAGTCAGTCGTCGGACTCCGGTCACCCGCTGGGCCCAGTGCGCCTCAGAGGGCGACCGGAAGGTATACGCCCGCTGCGACGAGATCACGCCGATACCCTGTAGCACAGCCTTGCGTGAATCCCGGCCAAACACCGCAGGATGATTGATCCACTCCAGTGCCGCTTGTAAGTCACCATCTAGCGCCTGCATGGTCTGCATGTCAACCGCGGCAACTGGCGCAATCGTGGCCGTATCTGAAGCCATTGAGTGACTGTCGTTGTAGCTAGAAGACCTAGGAGAGGTAGACGCTGGCGTGTCACCTCTGCTGCCAGAATCACTGATACTTGAAGGCTTAACAGCGCCAGGTGGAAGTGGGGGAAGGCTTCCTTTACCGAGACCCTTAAGGATACTACGGGTCTCAACCAGTAAGTGCTGCGCACGATCATGGTGGCCACGCGATACCAGAGTTAAGGCTCTGGTTAACATATCGGACGTAAGGAGCTCCATGCGTCGCTGGACAATGGAGGGATGTGGAGGGATAGGGGGTGTCATTGGTCGACTAGAATGTTTAGACCTGGGGTTTGGTGGAAGCATAGTAATCGCCAAAAGCGATGGCCGCGGCGAATGCGTTAAATGGCCATCACGGAGAAGGTCTCCATAAGTAAGATCTGCTTGGATCAATGGGACCTCCTCAACGCTAAGTATTCGCTGTTCATCTCCATCAGACCCGCCACCGAGGGCTTCCAATCCAGAGACCAGACTCTCCCAAGGGTCTTGGGGCATATTTTCATGGGAAGAATTGTCGGGTTGAATAACAAGCTGAACCAAGATATCCCGCTTATCACCAAACCTTAGATCTCCGAGGGCCGCCTCCGCGTCGCGGCCAGTAGCCCTCTTGGTCGTATGAAGAGCTCCGCTAATTTTCACAAATTTCGCCGGGGAACCTTCTGGAAGACGGAGTTTCAATTTCACATTCTGGTGAGAAGTTGTTTGCAAAGCTCCCAAGCAGCCTGCAACACATTCACGGAGCATCATCCAGTCCTTAACATAAAGATACGATCCTTTTGTCCGAGTCGAGAGCTCAATTATGGTGTCCGGCTTATGGGTCAGTCCAAGGCCGAATGAATGAATACTAACCCTACGAGAAAGTTAGTTTAAGGCTATAAGAACAAAGATAAGGGGGACGGACTTGGCAGCTTCTGCTCGAGACACAACGAAATCCACGCTTTCTGGGTCAGAGGTAGACGAGTCACTGATCAATAGGATTGTGGAGATAGGGTTGGACAGCTTCCGTTGCATCAGTAGGTCCATGGCCACGTTAGCGCCTTCGACCACATCGGCACGAAGGCTCTTCTGGCCAACGGGGCGGATAGAATTCAAGATCTTGCCCCATCCTCCCCAAGACTTCGTTGTCATTCCTACCAGAGGAACCCCACCACCACTAGACCCAAATGTCACCAATCCCATACGGTCTCGCGGGCCAAGGTTCTGCACAAGGAACTTGAGAGCGTCGCGCAGGAGCGTAATTTTTAAACCCTGCATAGAGGACGACACTGGAATCACTGCTACAATATCAAGAGGGATGTGTAAAGATGGGCTAGGCGAACTCTCTAGAGCCACGTTCGTGTAGTCGGTGATAGCGGTATTATTCGACCGAGCCGCCCCGTATGAAGAGTTCAACGATGCCTGCCGCTTCACCTGGCTGTTCCGGAAGTCTTCCTCCTCTGCTCCTGAGTTGTCTAGGTCATAGTCGGCACCGCGGGGCAGAGAATCGAATTGGTGGAGATCGAGAAGAGCACGACGCCAGATTTCCAACTGATTCCGATTCTGGAAATTTAGATAAAAGCATGGAAGTTCGCTGACGGACAAACTCAGAGTAAGAACGGGCTCATCTATACCAATTGTCAATAGCGGTTCCTTGCCTAGTAAGATTAGGCTCATGGGTTACCTGGATCGGCGTCGATATGTTTGAGATGCTTTTTTATCAAAATCGAGCCTTTGAGTGTACACCTTGTGTGTCGAGACTTATCGTCATATTGCCGGTGATGGTCTTGCACCTTCTTCTCTTTAATGCAGATAAGCATTTCCGCGAACAGATAGCATTGCAGGTCTTGCCAGGACTCGCGATCTTTACCCACCCGCATTTGCCCATGCAAGCGAAGTTTTCCGAACCTGTAGCACAATTAGCCACGCTCTTTTAACATACAAAACCACAGGTTAGCATACCGTTGAAATTCAAGGCCATGCCAGTTGTCCACTTTCGTCCTCAGTTCCTCTGCGATCTCGTTCAAATTCTCCTGTGGTTCGTATGGAGATGGTCGCGACTCATGGGGGGCAGGAAATCTCATCATACTGTAAGGCTCATCCTGAGGTTGCGGCGTGCCAGACGACGTGTGGGGTAGATCACCGGTGTCCGGATGCCAGCCTTCCGGAACTTCGACTGTGATTAGACATGTCAAAGGCTGTTGTTGACGGGACCGGTTGAGGGTGGGAAATTCGCTCCGGATGGTCATAGTTGGGGCTGGGATAGGGTTCTTCGTGGAGCCCGCGCGAGGGCTCAATTCGGACTCCATGGCTTGGAGGTCATAGTCATGTCGTCTTCCGTTTGGATGCTGGGCGTCGTTGTAGTCGCCCGATGACCCAGCGGCGCTACCGTTCCGAGAATGTTGCTGGCGGGATCCAGATGTCAGACGCTCGATTCGTTCACGATGGTCACCCGTATCACGGCTATCCCGTCGGGCGTAGATATCGCGACTATCGCGGTTATACGGCCTGCTCCCTGCATCACTGGGTAGCCGGCCACGGCTCACGTTCGTGCTTTGATCCCACGGCGCAGTAGCCCCAGTCGTGCCACTCCGTTGCGTAGCGGCATCGCTGGTTACTGAGCGCACCATATTGCTAAGTTTCTCTACAAGTGAGTTAGCAACGACGCCCTCTATTTCGCTACCAAGTGTTACCACTTACCGAGGTCTAGCACATTCCCCCCACGGCTAGTATCCAACCCCAAGGGTGCGTCGCAGGTAGGACAATATTGACCCTCAAACTCCCGAATGAACTCGTAGAAACAGGCTTCATGCGCTACGTGCGTGCAAGAAAATTGTAGAACACGCTCGCCCCGCAGGGTATGTTCTAGCGGTTCTTCACAAACAGCGCACTCACTGCCCACAAAAGTCCTGTCCCTCCGGGACCGGGTGCGGTCAACATCCATTAAGCCTGCCATTGGCCTGCCAGATCCGGAATTGAATGACGCTTGGGACGATTGATTGACTGAATTCGACTGCCAGTCAGAACCTGGATGATCAGGGTACAGGGAACCACTAGTGACAATTGAAGATGCGCGAGGCCGGGAAGTGCCAGTGTGATTAGAGAACCTACTATCCGGTCGTTCTGAGCGAGCGAATGAGCGCAAGGACCGAAATGGCGAGCGAGTGGGGGACTCTGGCCGAGAAAGAACTGCAGGTAATGACGAATGCACTCGTCAGTGAACAGAGGGTATAATAAGCAACGGCCGAGAGGCAGGAGGGAAGAAAGAGGGCGAAAACGGACAGTGGAGGATCGACTACGAAAAGGAAGCAGTAATGAGGTCGTATTGCATAATAGTAGTGCAAGGATGTAGGTCTTTCCTTTGTCCCTTTCGTGTCACATATAGCGATGAGAATCGCCGGGGGTGGTTTAGGGTAAGAAGAGAGATAAGGAACGACGAAAGATGCAGGGCAGAGGGAAAGGAAACAGTCTTGTGATTAGGAGGTGAAGGTCCAGAATGATATAATGTTCTGATAATGAAAATTAAATCAAAAGGGAAAAAAAGTCAAAAGGAAAAATGAATAAAAATAAAAAATTATAATCAAATAAGGGACTAGAATCAAGAGCAAGCACTAGTATGAGACACTATACTTACACGGCGGAGACCTCTTCTTAGGACGACCAAAGAAGCCACGCTCGGAACTTGAATCGATACTCCCAGACTTAGAATCCGATCTGGAAGACGGTCGATGCTTCCACATGGGCTAGAAAAAGGATGCTCCTGACGGATCAGGAGGGAAAGCGATCAACTAAAAGAAGAGGGGAAAAAGAATGAAATCCTATATTAGGGGAAACCAAGTGGGGAGAGTATAGTGGGGGAGGGATTTAGGAAAAACTCCCGAGGATGAAGGAATTGAACCAGGGGGCCAGAAGTCAAAGAGAATGGTTTGATGTGCAGGGACACAAAACACAAAGGCAGAAAGTCAGTGTGAAGGAGAGAAAGGAGTGGAAGTTGGAGATATCGTGATGGTGGGAATAATTTTACGACGGCGTCACGGCCGGTCTTCAGGAGGCCGTTGATAGTTCGATGGGGCGGTTGAGCGATCATTCAATACTGTACGGTCACTGGTACTTCGCCGGTACTTTGATTGGAACGGGCGGTCCCTATTGGTACGACCCCCGGCTTGGGGTACCACCCAAGTACCCAAAAGGTATTATGAAGGTTATGGAGTACGGCTTTTTCCTGCAGGAATACCGTACATAGCGATACAACCAACAAAAAAAATTGAGAACACACACTCTCCGTCTGGAAAGTGGGGCGTGCAGCATCCGAGCCATGGTTTAAAAGGGCACCAAAAATGCTTCCAGTGGAGCATATCTCCAGGGACTGAAAGTTTGAGTGAATTCCCCCTGAAAAATGGGTTTTCGCTTTTGAGTTTTGTGAAGACAACTTGAGTCTCAAAGCAGTACAATGAAGGGCAAACCCATATACGAGAAAAGGTGATACAGATGAGGTCATCTTCAAGGAAATACAATCGAAGTCCCCCTATCGCGATCGCATATCACAAACATAAAACTTACCATGTAGACTGATCCAGCCTACTACTTCTCCTTACATTGTACATACTGTGTCACCCATTTGAGATTTCCAGCCAGTCAGGTTTGTACTGGCCAATATTTAATTCACTTCTACTGATCTATCCAATCTATCTATCAACCCCAGACCGCCATCGGAAAATTAAATCTTGGAATAATCCAGTCTTTCTTTTCTTTTGTTTTGTTTTTTTTTTTTTCTTTTTCTTTTTCTTTCTCTAATTTCCCTTTTCCTCCTAGAAAAAAATTGCAAATGAGCCTATTCAGCGAAGAACGCCACAATCGGACATTATACCTAACTGTAGGGTATTACCGTACTGTACGAGGTACATTACCATTAATGTATTTCCTATCAAGAATAGAAATCAATCGTATCACAAACCCAGAGCCTCCATAAGATAGTCTATAAAAGATCTACCGTTATACTTTCCCAATGTCAACCGTAGGGTTAGGGTTCCGACGGATTCCCGGCCATTTGTACTGCCATGAGTACAAAGAAACTGTCAGGGGATGGATATAATACAATGGCCTTATTATTCTCCATAGAGTGACCCTCCAAGCTTCCGATGGGCCAAGCCGGGGCCGTACGGTGTAAAGATCGACCTTAGGCTCAATTGAACTGACTGTTGATCCCCGAGCGTTTTCTGTCACCTGCTCCTCTACTGGGCATCAATATTGGATATTTCCCACGCTGGAAGAGAGATAAAGCTTGGTCGGGCCCCAATTCCAGGTGTCATGTTTAAGGGTCAGGTGTTCTTTCTGGTATGGGAGGCGAATATTTGAAGCGAGTGGTGGCGTACGTAAGTAGTGGTACTGCATAAGTTGTCAACGGCTGAGAGCTTCGGGATCTCCACCGGGAAAGTTTTGAATGGGCAACCTGGAACTTAGTCAGCCATATCCAGCAGAACGGAGATGAAGCTATTCCCATGTTAATAACGTATGGACCCTTCTGTTTTACATATTTATATCTTATATACTTCTTATTGAAGATACCTATACATGAGTTGTTGAAGTACTAAAACAATAGTGCTGCCCGATAAACATCAACAAGGTATATAACCCCCTAAACTACGGAAGGAAGATAACATGAATCTCCAAACCCCAAATGGCCGTGGAGGAGCCAATAACCATGGCGTCGGTTCAACTACAATGTCCCCCACCAGACCCACTCGGAATAGTGGCAGTACTTTTTCCTTAGTGGGTCCACTAATTCCTTATTCCGGTAGAGTAGAAAGTTAGAAACACTCATACTAACTCCATATGTGCTATGTAAGCCTTAGTAGTGCCTGCCGGAGAAAGTCCCGTATCAAGCCACCCTTAACTTTTCCTGTACAGCAACTGCAAAGTTCATGCAGCAATCCGGGTACAACAAAATGAAACTACCAAACGGTACTGAAACCCCCAGGATTCTTAACCTAGGGATTTATCTGAACTCACCAATTTATTAGATGGATCCTTTCGATTATTATCCATGGATGATCGACTCCGGTATCCGACGGTAGAACACCCCGTCCGGACCAGCAAACGTCAAAACTTTACGCCCTTCGGTTGGAAGATCGGATGCCCTAATTTCACCTGGTATGTAACAAGAAATGCTCTTATACATCGAATAAGATTTAGAGGTGTAACCGCGTGTCTTTATGGAAGGATCAATTTGAATCACAAATATTGATTTGTAAGGTTTTGAGCTGAAAGAATATATCACACTCCAAATGTCAGAAATCCCCCCTCCCCCACCCACACCTTATTGTTTTATCAGGATAACCTATTAGTTACTAGGCCTGACCTCCAAGAACACGGAACACATCCTACTGGACCCCGCATGAAACCCTGCATCTAAATTCAGAAGGCAGCATTCCGAGACGTCGACGCTCCCAAATAATTTCGTCGACTCAGATCGTCTTGGATGATGAAACAGTATTTCGGTTGCTTCAACGACACTCGCTCTTTCTCTCTCTCTCCTCTTATCTAGTGACCATAGTGCTAGTATGCAATGCATATGCTTAGCGTGTTAGTTTGTCCTGCTGATTCAGCCCAATGAGTTCTAACTATTGATTATCAGTATGACACTTTGATGGGTCAGAAAGCTGGGTCATACGCGCGAGCACTGACAAAACGAGTGCCCAATTTTAGTAAATTGCTGAATTGACCAAGTCATGCATGAGATTCCACCCGACAATCCTCCCGTCCACTCAGTAACCATGCGAACCGCACGGTGCAACTTCTGTCCAGAGAGGTCGGTTCCGACTCCTGGATGCAATAAGGATCAGCTCAAATCTCCACTGTTTTACGTGATCAGCTCGGTTAGGTCTCGCACTATTGCCAGAATATATGCTCCTGATGTCTAAACTCTGAAGCTCGATCGTCTTAACACTCTCCATTATAACCCTTTCCCAGAGTCAGGTCTAGGTAGCTCTTTCATAACCGAGCAGGCTAGTGTCGGTTCTCAGTGCAGAATGATCCACCGATGAAAATTCATGCGCCAAATGGGCATCCTAACAGTTCAACTAAGATTGTGACAATCGTTGGGGTTCCTTAAGGCGCCGTCTGTTGAGCTATCGATGACATGGTTGGCAGCGGAATAAGGCGACATTCTTGCCGTTCGAGACAGATGAAACAATAGTGAAACTCCTAGCAACGTCATTGTCTATTATTTGCACTGGCCCGTATATCGCAGGATCCGGGATTAGATTATCGTCTAGATAATCACAAGTGATGGTAGTAAGGCAGCTATCTATTTTAATAACCGTATTTTAGTCAAGTGGCTGGGGGGGCTTTTATATCGGGGTATGTTGGGAGTATATAGGACCTACTATACCTTCAGACCACCGTTGTTGGAGCGGAGTAGCACATTGGTACATTCAGTGGTTAAGACTCCGAGTTCATCCCACCAATAATAGCTTTACTTCTTTGCGACATAATGTGCGACACAGACCTTCTTGCGGTATTTCTCTTTCCGTTTCGAGCATTTTGCCGCAGACAATAAGCATGCGTTGTCTACAGCTAGTGAATTATAGCAAAGAATGCAAACCAAGGCAGCAGGACTTGCCACTGTATATGTTATATGCAAGGTGCATGCAATCCAGCCGCACCGCCGATCTATCGTAAATAAATCAAATTTCCCGGAGTTGAACGAATCTGACAGTCCACATTTCGGCTCCCATATATTGAATATGGGGTAATCCAATGGCTAACATAAATGACCTGTGTGCCTGGATAACGGCAACAGGGACTAATATCAACTTTATTTTACCGCAAGGAAATTAGTAGAGACTTAGTTTATGTGGGATTGGAATGAGTGATGTCACAGTAGACTTGTGGTGTATATAATATGTGTAACCCTTGGCAGGTACCCCACATTGTATCTATAAAGGTATACAACATCTAGATACCGTATATACATTTATACATACATCATACATACATACATACACATATTGATGGGGCTGTATCAGGGGTGGTTATACATACTAGAACACTGGTCTAGGTAGCCATTGACCACGTTGACCTTCCCCTAGCTTTCCGGACTTCTCCGGAATTCATTTGGGTTTAATTTCCACTACGTCCTGCTAGTAGATAGTTCTAAAAATGGCCCTCGCAGAGATCGATGCAAGTTGACGACGGAAAAGGAAAGAGTCTCAAGCTCCCACCAAGCAAAGTAAATCCAACTCACACATCATCAGCATCAGATTTTGCATCATCAAACTTCCCAATGACAAATTTTATTCTCATGGGGTTTCACCTTCAATTCCACAATACCAATACAACCCCGTACGGATACAATAATATCATGCCGTCTCTGTTAATCAATGTGCAATAAACTAGGAAAACTTTATCAAATCCCCACTTGCCATTGAGTTCGTTCTACGGAGGATTTGTAGCGGTCAGGGACCAGGCAAAGGAGGATTCGGGGCTTTTTCTGGAAATTTCTGGGCTTCCCCTTTGTGGATTCTTGACGGGGACTGAGAATCATCCGTGGTTCATCCCAGCTGAGGGACGAGATAGTCTCGGTTGTGTTACACGATGCAATTGGTCCGTTTCAGGTCAGGAACCGCGCTGTTGGCGGTTACAGACTTTTTGGGTTTGCCAGATTTAATAACCCAACAGAAAGGTATGTACCAAGTAGTACTACCTACTAGTAGTAGTAACCTGCATGGGATAGATCTGTACTATCTGTATGTATGTATCCGATTACAATGCTATAGTTATATCCATATAATCTATATATATATTTCTTCTATACGGAAACCGAGGAACTTCATTTTATAACAAATTTCAAAATATCACATGAGGGTACCAGAATTCCAACTTTTCCACTTACTAGTTAGGACACCATTTCTCCTTGCAACATTCCTAAACAAGATATACCCACTGGACGGACTAACCACTACTCTTGCCACGTTGAGGAGCCTCCCCGTCACATCTTGGCTGAACTACGGAGACCGATCCTCTACAACGTTAACACACTACTATACCGAAAGTGGACAAGTGAATACAAACATCTATTAGGTTCATCGACCCAGAATATCCTTTGGGAAAAGATTTGTCACAACTACTACCTAACTATGTATCCAATTCTACCCAAATTTCCAACCCGCCCGGACCACGATCTTCACAGTTCAATGGTTCATGCTAAAATAGAAATAAAAATAACTGATCATGAAACCCAGGTGATCGATTCAATGTAACATACGCTAGGCTTCCCTTGAAACAGGATACTGAAATGTTTAATTCGATTCGAGAGAGAGGTTAAAAGAAATAAAAATAAATAAATAAAAAGAAAAAGAAAACGTTCGTGGAGAGGGATAAATATGTTTTGCGGTGTTTTTATGTGAAACAGGCTGGCTGAAAGTATGCAATAGTTCTGTCGGAGTTGTTGATGTTCGCTCAAATCTCACATTTTAGACCCTAATTAGGCCCACGATCGGAGATCCGATCCTCCCGTTCATGACCTTCCAGTTGGGGTTGGCATATCCTAGGCGATTTGATGGAGAGTCGCTTAGTTAACCATTAGGGGAGAATGACCCACATCAACCTATGCAATACTATTAACAATGCATTGTTTGGCCTATTTACAACGTTGTCCACCTCCAAGACTGTCTATTGATACCGATGTTGGCTGTCAAATTTGTAATGTACTTCAGCCGTGGTCGAGATGAGTTAATCCTACTGGTGGCTGTCTGAAAGAAGGACCACGTACTAATAATTATTTCAGGTCCTTCTTAACACGAGCATTCAAATGCCCATCGGTTCTAGCATGCGCTTATCGACAAGGATTACTCGGGATAGACGCCTTTCGCAGCTGATGATGAGATAGGCAGATCTTCCACAAATTGGGAAAACGTGCATTGTGGTACGGGTAAAGTGAGATATATTGACCACGGCATATGTCTACTCCGTATAGGCACGGCAAAATTGAGTCGAAGTGGAGATCATGCCGCCCGTTCGGGTATGATAGAGGGTGCTGGCAAGCCCGAAGTTTATATTGAAGCCATGACTCGTTCCCGTCACCTCCCCAGGAATGGGGGCTAGTTATGAGGTTCTAGAGGCCAAAAGCGAATTGCGTTGACAGGATTCACTATCCGTGTATCGGCATCTGGAATCTTGGAGGGTGTGCCCGCGTATATCATCCAGACCCATTGTTCGAACCTTGATCCCATAAATATTCGTGTTGACCACTACCAATATCTCAATTACTACGGTGTCAGCGAAAAAAGGAACAAAACACAGTCGGTATGAGCCTCGTCTCATTTGCGCGAGCACTATCCAAACATCACGTTGTGAAACGACACAATCCTGCGCAATCGTCTCTCTTTGAAGGATGCCTTCTGTCTCAGTCAAGAAGACGCTCCGAAAGTCCGCTAATGCATAATTATATTCATTCGCTGCTGGCACCACTCAATTAGAGTCCCAGCAATGCTTGTCTCAGGTCAACATGGAAGGTATTGAGACATCGTAGTCAGATATTTGACTGTCCAGCGAAGTTGAGAGGACATTGGATTCCGAGGAGAAGTCAGGTGATTTATAAAAGGATGGGGCGTACGCCGGGTCATCCTTTTGGCAGGTATGCAGGACCGGTGGCATCCGCCGGGACAGTCGGGTGAGCATCTACGGTCTATTACCGTGTCGGAGGTGTTATGTGTACCTCTGTGTATATCCAAGACAGCCACGGCTGTGGTATATGGAGTAAGTAAGGAAGAAGAAAACAATAAGATACTACTCCGTAGGTGGTAATTTTTGTATCTTGACTCCGGTTGTACTCCGGGCAAGAAGGAAAGAAGGGATGTTTGAGTGGTTTGCAGCGTGTACACCGGCAGTTCCGAATGGAAGGTCAGCTTAGATAAGCCATTACCCAAAGACGTTAGCCGCAGGGGAAAGTTTGTTCCCAACATCTCCGTTGTTGAAAGATAACAGAATCTCCCTGATCTTCTTCCAGCTCCCTTCTCTATCAATTGGACCTCCTGCCTTGCCCAGAATGTTGTTCCGAACTGCGTGGGCCCGTCAAGCCGCGTCTCTAAGGCGTCAAACCTTTGCTCCCCTTGCCCGTCGCTCCGTCACCACCGACGCCGCCTCGTCGCATGCTGAAAATGTTCCACAGGTTTGTTGAGCCCTTCGGGAAAGTCTCTGATATGCTTATGGCTCCCCGATACTGACGCAATTCGCGCTTTCTATAGGAGGATGATAAGTCTTTCACCGTCCAGCTCTCCGACGAGAGCTTCGAGACCTATGAGATCGACCCTCCTCCCTACACCATGGAGGTCACCAAGAAGGAGCTGAAGCAGATGTACTATGATATGGTTTCGACCAGGTATGCATGACTGCGGAATCTTCCGTGCTGTAGCGAGCAAGGATCTAACATCCCGTTCCCGTGTTACTCCAGGCGTATGGAGATGGCCGCCGATCGTCTCTACAAGGAAAAGAAGATCAGAGGTTTCTGCCACTTGTCAACCGGTCAGGAAGCTGTTGCTACTGGTATCGAGCACGCCATCACCCGTGACGACAAGATCATCACAGCCTACCGTTGCCACGGTTTTGCTTACATGCGGGGTGCTACCATCCGGTCCATCATCGGAGAACTGCTTGGTCGCCGTGAGGGTATCGCCTACGGAAAGGGCGGTTCCATGCACATGTTCGCTCCTAACTTCTACGGTGGTAACGGTATTGTCGGTGCTCAGGTCCCTGTTGGTGCTGGTCTCGCTTTTGCCCAGCAGTACAATGAGGAGCCCACTACTAGCATTGTCCTCTACGGTGATGGCGCTTCCAACCAGGGTCAGGTCTTCGAGGCCTTCAACATGGCTAAGCTCTGGAACCTTCCCGTTCTGTTCGGCTGTGAGAGTAAGTTATTCCTTGGTCTAGAGAATGAAATTGAAATGGTTCTGACATGTCACGTAGACAACAAGTACGGTATGGGTACTTCCGCCGCTCGTTCCTCCGCCTTGACCGAGTATTACAAGCGTGGTCAGTACATCCCTGGTATCAAGGTCAACGGCATGGACGTCCTTGCCACCAAGGCTGCCGTTAAGTACGCCAAGGACTACGCTGTCTCTGGTAACGGACCCCTCGTGATGGAGTATGTCACCTATCGTTATGGAGGTCACTCCATGTCGGACCCCGGTACCACCTACCGTAGCCGTGAGGAGATCCAGCGCATGCGCAGCACCCACGACCCCATTGCCGGCCTCAAGCAGAAGATCCTTGACTGGAAGGTCATGACCGAGGATGAGCTCAAGGCTCTGGACAAGACCGCTCGTGCCTTCGTTGACGAGGAGGTTGCCATTGCCGAGAACATGGCCGTTCCTGACAGCAACTCCCGTATCCTCTTCGAGGACATCTACGTCCGTGGCAGTGAGCCCCGCTGGATGAGGGGCCGTACCGTCGATGAGACCTTCTACTACTAGAGATGACGGGGATGGCGTCCCACCGAGGGAGAGGAGTATGACTGAAGAAGTATAAAAAAATTTAAATTGGCAGGCTCCTATGCAGCATTACCATGCACGTTTACTATGTAATTTAGCCGGGGATTTATATTTATTTTTGCATTATTCTCCTATAGCGCTAGGAATATACTATTGGAGATTGTTCGAGAGTCCATGGTAAATTTATTGTATATAAGCGTTTATGCATGAAGTAATTCAGGAGAGCAATAGTACTCGAACAAAGAATATGCTGTTTCGCCAATGGGTATCATAGCAACAAGATCAAGCATCAAATGGAAAAGCAAAGAGAAATCAAGCAGGCTCCTGTCTCAGCATCTCAAGAATCATATCCTGCGTCCTTTGCACCGAGTCCAACTTCTCTTCTAACGTCGCCCGGTCCTTTTCCAGCTCTGACCTCAGTTCGTCACGCAACTCCCGTCGAAGTTCCTCCTTGAGCCGCTTGATGACTGTTGCGGACAAGGCTTTCTCTATTGTTTCGCTTTCGTTGGAGGCCACTTCTTCCAGGCGAGGCTGGTTAGGAGGTGGTGCATGATGCCGGGAGTCTGGGTTCGAGGATAATGATGCGATTAAGGGCAACGGTCGAGGTTCTGAACTCACAGAGTCGAGATGTTTGTTCAGCTTCCCTAGCGTTTCAAGGACGGCGCTCATCATGCCATTGTCCCCAGCGGACGGTGCAGTGGACGGCGCATTTGCATGCTGGGAGGACCATCCAGGTGAACTGGAAGGTTGATTTGCAAACATGTTTTCAAATCCGGGGGGTAGTCGGACTGGATTCGGCGTAGCAGGGGCGACAGCTGGAGGATGCGAAGGAGGCAGCTGGTTTTGGCTTTGGCTTCCACGAACCGTGTCCACTGCCGGGCTAGACGTTTGTCTCCAACCATTCGAGCTCGGCGTATCCCACACCGGTTCCCACGACCTCTCCTTCCTCTTGCGAGTCCGGCGCGAGTCGCGTTTCTCAATTCGTCTTGCCTCTGCCTCCTCCCAGCGCTGCCATGTCGGAATCCAGGCGTCAACAGCTGCACGCCATCGCGGGTTCGATAAATCGTCATTCCCCGAGCCACCCTTCTCGCGCTGCTCCTCGAGAAACTTCATCCGCTGCTTTGTCACCAGCTCAACCTTCCGCCGCACTGAGTGCCACGAATACGGATGTCCCTGGTCGCGCGTAAACTCCGCTGTCACTGTCATCCACCACTTGCACAGATTACTACGCTGGCCAAACTCCTCCGCATGCCGATTACAAATATTAAACAACGACACTTCCTCCAGCGTCGTCAAACGCTTACCATGCTTTCGAGGCGTATCACCCGCTATCCCACTACTCTCCATATCCTCGTCACCCAACACCCGATCCAACAGACTAATCCTCCCTGCGGGGCCCATCGCACCTCCTCCAGCCGTCGCTCCAGCGGCCCCCTCCTCCCCACCCCTCCCAGAATCCCGAACCTCCCGGAGCATATCCCCATGCGTCGGCGCATAATCCGAATCCCCCAGCGCATCCGCCCCATCTCGCCCACCACTCACAGCATCCGATTGATCACTATCCGAGCTCTCGATCGACTCGGCCGGAACCCGCGACTCAACCACAACAGATACCCCCGGCGTATGTTGCGGCGTGTTATTCCTCGGCCCTGCACCGGCAACGGTCGTCCCGCCGGCCGTACCACCAACAGGACCAGTAGCCCCTCCTCCCGGTGGGGCCGCGGTCGTCGCATCTATCCTCAGGTTCGACGAGAGGGTCGGCAACGCACCGGGGTGCGCATTATGTGAGCGCGATAGCATAGTCGTCGGCCATCGTAGCTGGGACATGGGATATGAGGGATGAGGTGAAGGATTGGGTGATTCAAGTCTGCGGCCCGGCGTTGACGTTGCTGCGTTTGCCGCCGGATGATGGTTCGGACCATGCCAGGAATACATTGGTCTCTATGGATTTTTCTGGAGGGGGATTAGAGGAGATCAGGATGTTGGGGTTGGGTTTTATGAGTGATCTCCTTTCCCCCGATTTGTGTCGTCGGAGTTGGTTCTATGTAACTCGGTGGAATGTAAAAATGAGGTGCTGGTTTGCAATTTTACGGGCTGTTTAGGGTGTTAAGTGGGTGAGTGTCGGTTGGTATTGTATTTTTCACCTGTTGTGTAACGTGATTTTGTGTATCTTTACATACTCTTATTCATTCCCACACAATAAATATGTATATATATCTCTCGGTACTTTATCTCTTTCTGTCTCTTGGTTTTGTATTGCCGGACAAGAGTATCTCGGAATTCTATTGGACAAACAACTCTTTTACCTTAGGATTAAATAGGGTTGAATTGGAGATTGCGAGTGTATTTATATTCACTCCAATGTACAAAAACGTGTGCTATCGACCCAACACCAAACATGACTTTTGTCCTCCCTCAGGGAACACAAGGCAGATAGACAGGATCATCTATGAGAACGGACGTATGCCAAAACAACAAGAACAGACCAGATACCCAGTAATACATGACTGTGGAACATGCCCGCAGAACATAAGAAGAAGAGGATGATGAAACTTAAGGAGAAAATACAATGATTATTACATGGTCGTTGCTTTGTCTACCGCCGTCTCAGGTACCAGGCGAAAGCGGCTGTACCGACTTGTTCACTGAACGGCGTCGGCACCTCCGAGTAGCCAGGACGAGCCACCGGATGCCGCAGGTATACTGCTGCGCAGATGTTGTGATTGACCTCAAGGTATCGGGGGACAAAAGCAAAGGCACTCATGTAGTCGCGGGGCCTCCAGGGGGTGGCATAGGGTTTTGTGCTGTCAATGGGGTTGTCACGCATCTGGATAAGAGCCCGCTTAAGCACATCAAGCTCGGCATCTGTGAGTTCGGAGGTGTCAACTTCTTGCTCCGGGTTCTCGGCCGCCTGTCGGAAAGCCTCAGTCAACGCCTCTCCGGGCTGGGACTCACTGGCGGTGGCGGACGAGGAGGTCGATTCGGAAACGTCCTTAGTCTCGTCGGAGGACTGATCGCGCTTAGACCGCTTAGTGCCTTGCTTCTCTGCCCGCTTCGCCTTGAGGAGGGTAACGAGTTCAGAGAATTGCGATTCCAGGTTGTCGGTAAGAACGGTGCTTGAATCGGAGCGAGAGAGGACACGCTTGACGGCCTTCTGGAATCCACGCAGCTCCTGCTTGCGCTTCGCGGGGAGCACATCCTTGCTGCCGGCCATGATGTTCTTGGCCTGGGCCAGTAGGACCTTCAGTGTCTCCCGTGGGTCTTCATTCTCTCTGTCTTTGCCTTGTTCTTCCGACTCGGGACCCTTCTCTCCGGACTCTTCTGCGGCACCCTCTTCCTTAGACTCCACTTCAGCTTCTTGGGATTCGGCTATCTTTTTTCGCGCAATACGTCCCTCTCGACGTTCGTGTTTATCCTTAGGAGCACCGGTAGCATACATCACACGTTCGGGGTCGACCTGGAAAAGATCGCCAGGGTTGAGTAGGTAACCGGGATACCTCATCTTAGAGACAAACTGTCAATTCACCAAACACCTCGCCATTCGAAATCAAATAGAGAGCAAAAGCATACCTGCTTGCCATTAACTGTCACCGCACCGTGAACAACAAACTGCCGAGCTTGTCTGGCACTGCTAGCAAACAGAGCCCGAAAGATAGCAACATCCAACCGACGCTCCAAAGGAGCAAATGTCATCTGTGTAAAGGGAGTCAATCGATCCTTGGCACTTTCCTCGGTCTCCAGACCTGCTCCACGACCAGCGGACATCCCGGAACCGTCATCCTGGGCGAGCTTGAGTGGGTTCATGGGCACGACGCTGCGAATGCGACGGGAGAACATCCGGGCCCATTGGCTCTCGCGGACCTGTTCGCCATGGTATGATCGAGCCATAGATTTAGCGGCCCATTTCTGTTGGAAAAAGGTTTTGCTGCCGGTTGGGGGGTTACGGAGGCGCTGCAGGTTAAAGAGGTTATATTTGCTCCATGATTGTCGGAGTTTCTGAACAGTTTTCGTATTAGCTGTTGCAAGGAGGAAGAGGAGGATATGGAAGCTGTAAAATCCACAGAGGGGAAAGCTTACAGGTTTGCTCAATGGCGTAGTAGCTCTGTTCCTCATGATGGCGAATCGGTCGAGCGTGGCCAGAATACAATGTCCTGTTGTTCATTCGGTCATCTTGCGGCCAAAACTTCGCATGTTGCACGTGATGTCTTGCACATGACCTTCCAAGTCGACACAGTATGCCTTATTTCTCAGGTATTAAGGAACAGCAGCATCTGCTGTCTGTATTGTCTATTATTGGTTGTGAATGTCTCGCTTGACACTAGCGCCAATTACATGGCCCCACCAATTCCTATAAGTACCCTGGAACCCCGACATCCTTTTAGACTCTTTTCTTCTTTTTTTCTTCATACTTACCTTGTTTGGGTGGCTGCGATCAAGAAGGCGGTCCACCACGAATTGGTCCCTGCATTGCACAGCGCGGCGGAACAATTCGTCCAACGGCCTTCGGGTCATTGGCAGGCGTATTCTTTGGCTCCTTTCCACCTGGTGGAATCATTCTCTTTTCATCATTTCTTCGCCATGCGCGGGGGTATGGAGAAGGGGACTTGCAATTCGTTCCTTAGTAGCGTTTCTTGTAGCAAATTTCTATTGTCTTTTCTACGTGTCATCATCCGTATGTAACCTGTACTATTTTATGTATCCTAGCGTCAATCTTTCATTTTATAGCGCAGAGCTTAAAACGCATTTCAATTATCTATTAATACACCGTCATTCGTTATGTGCATAGCCGGTCTTACTGAAACTGGCCATACTTGCCACACTATCATCCATCCTTAGTACATCTTCTACACCCTTCCTTCTACTCCTGTTGCTTCGAACTTGAGAATGCTTCCAGTAAAGCCTCAGCTTCCTGAGGATTAACTGCGTCGTCCAAGATTTCGTGAGCCATCTCTACTGTTTCATCCTCGATGCCGGCTTCTAGAATCAATCCTTCACTGAAAGCTAGCCGCGTCAATACCACAAGAAACTTTTGCTTTCCGCCTGCGACTCGGCAGAGTTTTGACTGTAGGTCTGCCTGCTCTGGATGCCGACGCATCACCCCGTAGATCAGGCGCATCAACCCATTAACTAACGATGCATGCAACTCTTTTTCCGGCGGGGATGCATAAAGCGCATCTAGTTCATCGTGCATGGCTCTAATCAGCCGTGCCAGCACCGTAGAGTGAGTTGCAATGACCATGCTACCATGCGTACTAGCGGGGGCCGCTTGATTGAAAGCCACCGACATCAAAAGAGACAACGCTTCCAGCCGCATCTCGCAAATTTCCGAAGGCATATGAGGGGGTTGGCCCTCGTCTACCTGTGGTATTTCGCTCAGCAGATTCGCCACGCGATCAACGATGTAGTTTTCGTTCGCGACCTGGTCTTGCTCCGTGTCCTGAAGAGAGCCAAATGACTCGATGCGGATACTAGTCGATAGTAGATTCAAGGTCAATATAATGTCGCTTATGGCCTGTGAGCAATTCAGCATCATTAGAACAAAGTCATAGCGCACATATCGCCAGAATTTTTCCAACACGCGGTCAACATGCAAAAATGAGCAGGCCATTTGGTATAATAGGCCAAGAGCCTCAGTTGAGTCTACTAGAAGTTGCAGCTCAGATAAAGGTGTCTGTTTGACCTGTCCAAAGTTCTGCCGCGAAACGGGGGAGTGTTTAAACCGAGGAATACCATTGATCTCTGCTGACTCTTGTAGCACCGGTACTAGGGATTCGATCAATTCAGGGGCAGATGATGGTGCATCTAAAGCGAGAGTATGGCGTAGAATCCCCATGAACATCGGGATCGGCTCAAAGAACTTTTCGTGCAAAGCACGAGACCACAATGAAATTATAGCTCGGGCGTATTCTAGGAGATAATTACCGAAATCAAGGCTTGCCGTTTCCTCCAAGAGAATTGCGGACAGTGTCTGCTGAGGCTCTGATGGAAATGCCAACCTCGCCATGACCTCGAGGTCACTCTGTTCGTTTGGGAAGGTTCGGTGATTCAATAGACGCTTTATAAATTGCGAGGTTTGTTTGTCAATCTGTGCGGGTCGGTTTGGCACGACTTCATCCGAGGCATCGCCTGACATATCTCCGACAGGAACTTCAACAGACATCGGCCCTAGCTCCGGCTGCGGACCTAACTGCAACGGTATCGCACTATCATCACTCAACTTCCTCTTCCGTTTACCACCCACCGTTGGGGTCATCCGCTTGAACCGCGTGGATTTGCTGGGAGAAACAGCAAGAATCTCATCATCATCGAATCCATCGCGAAAAGGTAGGGCCTTATGTTTCTTCGGCGTACCAGGGGTCTTCTCCTCCGCCCGGCCTTTCACCTTCAAATTGTTGATTCGCATGGTCTCTTCGGCAAGGTCTTGCTTAAGGAACGCGTTCTCCGTGGCCAACATCTTGCCTTCAGCGCGCGCAGCCTCTACCTCCTCCTTATGCCTAGCTACCTCCTCAGCCATCGCCTTCCGCAGGGCGGCAACTTGACGTTCATAATTCTCGGCAAGTTTCGCCTGGTTTGACCGGATGATAGCAATTTCTCCCGCTTTGGTTTCCGCTATGGATTTGGCCGCAGCTAGCTCCTCCGTCATTTGCCTATACCGTTCATTCTCCACTGCCAGCTGTTGTCAAGAGTTAGCTCTGTAGAAATCCAAAATGGAAAACCCCCTCTCGCATTACCTTTTCGCTAATCACATCATAAGCTGTTTGGTCGCCTGAGAGGTATGAAGTTTCTCCTTCAACCTCCATGGGCTCAGGATAAGCTTCTCCAATATGCCCATCTGAACCGGGCTGCTTGATAAATCCAGCTGGTTGACCCAGCCCATATATCGGTTCGACTTCATCTTGCAAAACTACCGCATCCAATTCCCCTACATCCAAAGCGCCGTAGTCGTTGGTCAATCCCGTATGTAGATGCGCAGGCGGGTTTAACGAAGGATTGGAGAGGAACGATCGTTCGGAAGCTCTTGTCTGTGGATTGTGACTAGCCAAAGCTCGAGAGGGCTGGGGCTGGTGTTGGGGCTGCGCAGAACTCCGAGTTTGGTTTGCTAAGACCGCGTTCTGTTCCAGCTGGAATAGTGTGCCCGGTGGCAGATTGTCGAAGCCATCGTCGGAGAAGATTTCATCGTCGTTTTCTTCCATACCCTAAGACGCACGATCGCCATGAATGAGAGAATAAAAAAGCGAGCGGGCCGTAAGAATGAGAGAATGACTATGGTAGGAATATTGAATTGGTGTGGTGTTGGAAAGGAAGGAAAGCGAAATACTAATGCTTGATGTAGTAGTGGCCGGCAAAAGTCACCTGCGGCCACGGGACCTCATTATCATTATCATCTTCCTCTCCTTCTACTCTTTCTCTGCCGCGTCCCTCGAGAATCTCAGTACCAGACGCAGTCAATGGACGCTTGACCGAGAATTACTCGTTGAGTCTTCCATTAGTGTTTGTCCGTGCTTCCGCCGACCGTAATCTGGTCACTATTTCACATGAAATTTTAATCTACTGACGACGATCACTTGTGGCTTACTCTCCTCTCTTCCTTTTTTCTCGCTCCCTTTCTCTCCTTGCCCTCCCCTGTCGTATCTATCCTTGTCGGCTCCGTCCCGAACCCCAGTTTCCCTAAGGATTTTCTTCTAAACTTTCCCCCTCTTTCCCCACGCATACAGCTTGGGGTCGCGCGTCATCCTCCTTTCTCCCCTCGGTCCGTAACACCATGTCCAAATCACGTCGGAACGTCAGGTTTCCGCACCGGGCATCGGAAACTCGCCGGCTAAGTATTTCAGACGCCAGTGATGCCGCCTCTGAACCCGGTAGTCCGTCGAAGAATGGCAGCGTGTCTAAGCCCGAGACAATTGTCGAGGAGGTGAGCGGCCCGAGTCGTTCAATGTTGCTAGAGACTGACAGACGACACCGCCAGAAACCCGAACAGCCGCAGCTGTCCGACTACGAGAAAAAGAAGCAGACATTCATTACTCGCACAATATGGACCTTTGTGATGATCTTTGGATTTTTCATTGCTATGTTTTCTGGCCACATCTACATTATCGGCCTCGTCACCGCCATTCAAATCATCTCGTTCAAGGAAGTCATCGCTATTGCCAACGTGCCGAGCAAAGAAAAGAATCTCCGTTTCACTAAATCGCTGAACTGGTATTTCCTGGCTACGACCATGTACTTCTTGTACGGAGAAAGCGTCATCTATTACTTCAAGCACGTCTTGTTAGTTGACAAGGTGCTACTGCCTCTCGCAACTCACCACCGCTTTATCAGTTTTACACTCTATGTCATGGGTGAGCTACCTTCTTCCTTGAGTGAGATTAAAAAAATCGTTTCTGTTCCTAATACGAGAATATAGGATTCGTCTTCTTTGTCGCATCTTTGCAGAAAGGGCATTACCGGTTCCAATTCACACAGTTCGCCTGGACTCACATGGCACTGTATTTGATCGTCGTACAAGCGCACTTTGTCATGAACAACATTCTGGAGGGCATGATCTGGTTTTTCCTTCCCGCATCTTTGGTTATCACAAACGATATTTTCGCATACGTGTGCGGAATCACATTTGGCCGCACCCAGTTGATTCAGCTGTCCCCTAAGAAGACAGTTGAAGGGTTCCTCGGTGCTTGGATTTGCACCATAATCTTCGGCTATTTCATGACCAATATCCTAATGCGCTACAAGTACTTCATCTGCCCAGTAAATGATCTAGGATCCAACGTGCTGACCGGGTTGGAATGTACCCCGAACCCGGCCTTTGTACCCCAGCCGTACCAGGTCCCAGAATGGACCGGATTGGACAAGACGTTCTACATCGAGCCTATACAGTTCCATATCCTGATCTTCGCCACCTTTGCCTCTCTAATTGCGCCGTTTGGCGGCTTCTTCGCCTCTGGACTTAAGCGTACCTTCAAAATCAAGGATTTCGGCGAGTCGATCCCGGGCCATGGTGGCATCACCGATCGGATGGACTGCCAGTTCATCATGGGGTTCTTTTCCTACATGTATTACCATAGCTTCATCGCAGTGTATAAAGCTACTGTTGGGGATGTTATTGAGACCGCCATCAATGGCCTCACGGTCGAGGAGCAACTGGAGGTAGTCCGAGGACTTGGCAAGTATTTGTACAATCAGGGCACGGTTTCCGAGACGGTCAGTACCTTCCTTAACATCCTCTATCCATATCCTACCTTATATGACTAACGAAATGTAGATTCTGGAATGCTTGAACAGTGAGCTGACACGCCGATGAAGAGCGTTCGATAATGACCCATGCCATTTCTTTTCTACCTCTCAGTGACGAAAATTCGACCGCTCCCGACTTGCTCAAAGTTCATCGGAAGGGGGAAAAAGTAGCGACTCTTATTTTACATTACCATTTTAATTGGCCGTTATCCACCATCGCTAGAGCCTTTTTACGAGCTTCAGACGAACCTCATCTCCGCAAGGTGGCTACTGAACGTGCCTGTCTTACGTTTGTTCTGTCTTTTTGCCTTCGCATTGGGTCATGATTGTATAATGTCAGGGAAATACGGTCGGAAAGTTTAGGTTCATGTCTGCGTACACGTCCGAAAGGGAACATTGTACTCTTTCTTCATATCTTCGATATGTTTAGCCGCCGTTGTCAGATGGTGAGAGACTGGCGTCTAGTTGGACTGTAAATTCCTCCATATATAGGAATATAGGTTGATGAGTTACTGAATTGCGTACATCTGTAGTATCTCTGAGTGTGTTGACTAGCTCAATACCTGATAGTTATCCAGCACTCTATACATGTGCCTCGATATATATGCTATCCTGAATAGTGCTTTCCATTTCGCAGTGGGGAACAGTGGGTAGGTACCTCCACAAGAGTTTCAATGAATACCGCGCCCGTCATGAAATCGTTGGTTAATACCGTCGTCGTATCAATCGCTTCGTCTTATACTATCTTGTCTTTTTCTTTTTCTGGCATCCAGGGCGGCCAGGATGAATTGCGTCTTTTATTCTCGGAAAAGCCTCAGGCACGGTACCATTGATTGATGCCATTCTTCCGACCTCCAAATTCAGGTTGAAATCAGTGTACTTCTGTGGGGTGGATAGCACCTGCTGCGATCCATCGCAGAAGTGGCGGGAGGGCCGACGAGATCAGACGTGCAATCTGCTGGCTGATTTGCACCCGGTAGTTGCAGTATGGTAGCCGTACGGGGTAATGGGGATGCGATGCGGGAAGCCGATAGATCATTCCTTTACTTCATACTCCTCCAGTTCGACTTTGAAATACTCGGAAACACGAGCCTTCTCTGTATCTGCACACTCTGTGTCAAGCATGAAACGTACGGCCCCATCCCGGCCCTTTTCACCAACTTTTGGTCTCTCCCCATTGGCGGCAACAGGCGTTAGCGGATGCAGCCTGGCACCTGCCTTCTCTAGGACAAGCTCCTTGCCGCTCTTTGAACCATTGGTAGCTTTGGGATCTCTTGACTCGTCGATCCAGTGCGTGTAGCGAGGGAATCCTTGTGATTCTGCCTCTTTGTTCAGTGGGATACGGACCGTGAGGAATTGATCCCCCGGGAAATGAGGGCCGACTGAGGTGGAGCTACGACTGTGGGTATACAGCTCCAGTAAGTCGAAGAGGGTTTCTGATATTATAAGTGTGTGCTTTAGTATAAGGAGTTTCCCGAGGGATACTTACCCATTACTTCCTCCCGACTCGTTTTCCACTTCTCGTAGTCTACTCCTAACTCGACAGCCTCGATGCGCTGGTCTAACAGACGACCTGCCAGCTCCAGACAGGCGAAAGACATGGTCGATGCGGTTTGCTTGATTGGAGCAAAAGTGCGGTAAAGGTCCTGAGATATTCGATACGCTACATTGGATACGTGAGACTGCGATGTAAGGCCATAATGCCTGGCGAGCTTGATCAAGGTCTTCTGTGGATGACGTGTCCGAAAATCAAATCCCGACGCCTCGAGCATGAGTCTTTCCAATCCAATGATGCCTCTGGCATGAACCTCGAAGACCTTTTCCACGTTAGCGTGGGGCCAAAAGTGAGTCAGACTTAGTACTTACAGGGTTATCGGGAGAGATATGCTCGGACGGTGGTAATTTGAGGTTGTATGCTGCACAAACGATCTCCCGGGACTTCTTCAAGGTATCCTCAATCTTACAGGCTGTAAACAATGCAGCCGCAGCGGCATCCTAGACAGTCAGGTTTATCTACATATGGCAGATGAGGGCGGTAGTTACCATATAATTATACTCGCTGTCAGGATGAACGAGTCGAAACTTGTGATAGTACACCACAGCCGTGTTGAAAGTACGGATAGGTCTAATCTGTTAGCACATTCTCTTATTCCTTGAGGTATATTGCTTTCTCATTTAGAAACGAATGAGACGCGACTGAATACATACAAATATAACACCCGGCGAACGTTATCAATCCATGTGACACCCTGCAGGCGTAGCGCTTCCTCGCGCAGGGTATTGACACCCATGGCTTTGATACATTGTTGGATAGTCTGCTCGAATATATACGGCTTGGCTACCTGAATAAAGGAAGGATGAATTGGAGGCGGCTCCAGAGTTGGAATCTCCGATATGGTCGGGTTGTCCGAGCCATTCTTCTTCTCCGGCACCATGCTTGTATCTGGTCCAAGCAATCTCCAAATAGCCGGATGAGGATGATGATAACGATGATGTTCGAAAGGTGAAATGATAATCTTGGGATGGAGGCGCGTGATTGGCGGTAACCGTCATGTCATGTGATATACACGGGGCATTATTGTTCCGTTGGTTTGTCAGTCAGAGAACTAGTTTTATCGAGTGGTTAAGATGAGGAAAAGAGAATAATATTCAATTTGGTTATATTCATAGAGATTTGTTTCTTATTTTGGCTGTTACTTATGCTACTCTTGATCTCATAATTAGTGAACGTAGGTATTTCACTGTGCGGCTTTAGTCTCAGATATAACTATGGAGATAGTACTATATATTTCTCTGGTTCTAACTAGTAATACGAATAAATTCACGGCACTCCTCTTCTTGCACGAGTAGCCTTTGCCATTTCACTCTGGGCCACATTGTCTGCATAGCGCTTGTAAATTGGGAGATAATGCTGTTTTTCACTCATAGTTTCCGTCACGCTTTTCCTGCTCTCAACAGCTTTCAACCACTTCCTCCACCGCTGCCAAATAGGCTCGTCCATTCCTCCTTTTCCTTCCTCCGGGATGCCATGGCCACCCGGCTTGTACTCATCATAAACCCACAGTCGGATGGCGAATGGGGCAAGTACCAGATCTGGTAGTGAAATATGCCCCCCTAAGAAAAATGGCCCGTCGGTATGCATCTCTCTAGTCCACTCTTTCAGACTGCCCAGGAATTCCTGTCTGACTTCCTCCAAGCCAGTAATTGGGTCCTCATCTTCTGACTGTGGCTGATATTGGAGAAATCGATGGTAAGCTGGGACAATCCGAGAGTTGACATAGTCGATCCAGATGCGAACTCGGGCTCTACCATACGGATCCGCTGGGAGGAGCCGTGGGGAGTGATCTGGATAGGCCTCCTCAAGGTACTCGAGGATAACGGTGGATTCATAAAGCGGCTTAGCTGTCTGAGTGTTACCGTCCTTCACCGGACAGGATAGGGTTGGGACCAAACCGCGTGGGTTCAGTGAGAGAAGTGATTGAGGCTTATGGTAGGGATTGACCTCGAGGTACTGGTAGGGGATCTGCTTTTCTTCCAGGGCGAGCCAGACCCGTTGGACTTGGTGACATTAGTGAGTGTCCGAATAATAATGATAATAATACCTAAGACCATAAGTCAAGCATACCGAAACTGTAGCGATCTGTAAGTAATGTTGTCATCGGATTCATAGACCTCAGCTGATATGAAGAGTGAACTCACGGACAAAACCACCCCGCGTACAACTTCAATGGCCTCTCCGCACGGTGTTTCTCGACCAATGCTCTGGCTGCACCAGTCGCTTCAGGGTGCACTGCTGCATCCGGATAGGAGGGCATGGTGAGATTGTTCGGAAGTATATTGAAGGGGATGAAATAATTAGAAGCTCGAAGATATTTAGGGACTTAAATACCAACTAGAGTTTGAGGTTTGTATTTAAATCAATCACTTTCACGTGCTGAGTCAGTATGGCGTCATCTGATCAACAAGTATTATTAATTTCATTCAATTTATTCTCTCTTCTTAGAGGATAATGCAAAGTATATATAGTAGAGAATTACAGTATACGAAACTGAATCTGCCCCTAAAAGAAGGCAAAGACACTAATTCCCATGCTTTCTGATTAAATTCTGCATGATCGATATTGCTCCCGATCGATACCCAGCCCCGAAGATGGCGTAATGATTCAAATGATGATACCTGGTTCGGTTAGAAAACGTTGACGTGAGTTGACCTAAGTATAAAAGAAAAAGAAAAGGGGGAGGGAAGAAAGAAATGAAACACCTACAGTTCGTACAGCCTTACTCGATCTTCATATTCTTCCACCGGCTCAGTCTTAGGGACTACTTTATGGTAGGCAGTGAAAAATGTCGACCCGAAGCCCCCAAACATTTTCATTATGCCCAACTCATATTCACTATGCGCGTAGCATGCTGATGGATCGTAGACGACGTCGCCTGGCTCTTCATCTCCCTTGTACTCACTGCCCACAATCCTTCCACGGTCTGCATTGCCACTCCAGAGATCCCCGTGAACAACTACAGGCGTAATACCTTCTCCATTTCCATTCTTGTCGTAGCCCAGATGACCATCGCCCAAAAGGGCGGGGACAACCGTGCGTGCCGTCTGCTCTACTAAATCTCTTAGGCTAGCGTCTCGGCCATTGCGCTTCTCCGATGTTTCGAGAATGGTCATCAACCGCTCATTGGCGTAGAAGTCTGCCCATGAGTCGTGGAATCGATTGGGTTGCTTCGTGTCACCACAGAAGGTTGGAACGGGGAACCCGAACCGGCGTTTCCCAGTCTCAGGATCTGAAGGGGCTGGAGTTGAATGGAGCTTTCCGAGTCGTTGAGACAGAGACCGACCCGTGCGGCCACCGCCTCCCAAGTCCAAATACTCGGTCGCCAGGAAGAAGCTCTTTCCGGTGCTCTCTTCCAGGGGTCCCCAGGCTAGAGCGCGGGGACAGAACCCCGGTACGGAGGTCGCAATGGCATTTAAGGACTCATATTCCCCTCGAAACATTTCCTCGGCAGCTTTACCATTTGTCGAAGTTTTAACAAAATACCGTCTCTCTTCTTCACCTTGTTTATCTGCTGATGGGACTGTGGCTCGGATAGCTCCTGTACTGGTGAAACCCGATCCCAAACCAGCAGTAGACAGGCTAGCTTTGGAGGGGTCGGAGATGGAAAGGGCACGTAAGAGCGATGCGGGTACTGGAGCCATATCTGTTGAATGGTAAGGAGATACTATGTAAGTCAAGACAAGGGATAAGAGAAGACGGAACTTTATAAAAGGCAATATGTGCCTGGCCAAAGGACTGATTCGTCGGAAATGTTTAAACCCACAGCCGTTCCGATGACGTATCCGTCAGGTCCCACCTCTTATCTTATCGATAAGAGCTACTTGTAATCACGGAAATGTTCAATTGGGAAAAAAAAAGACAAAAAATTCCGTAAAAGTAACTTGACATGTACATTCAACCATAATCGTTTCAATGTCTTTATACAATCATCCCAACGCCTACCATAGTTTCATGGGACTTTCCCATATCCAGTTCATAGAGCTGCGCATGCCCATGCAACGTGAGATCGTGCAATGAACGAAACGAATGTGACTAGACCGAAGAGGGCTAAAACAGAAAAGAACAGGGGTAGAAAGAGGGCGAAGAGGGTGAGATCCGCTAGACCTGAGCCTGAGTCAAGGACTTTACTAAATGTACGGCTGTTTTAGTTCGTTCTCGCACGTCAAGATCTGTATCTTCCTCCAAGCGTTTCAGCCGTTCCATCACTCCAATCGAGAGCAGTTTGTAAGCTCGTTCACGGCAGCCTTCTTGATCACTGGCATCATCTTCATATGTTAAATTGATCACCACCCATACACAGTTTGTCCGTACATCCCGGTGGGCGTGCTCGAAGTACCCCATGAGGTAACGCAAGAGATCTCGGTGAGAAACCAGAAGTTGGCGGTGCCATGGAAGGCTAGCGGCAAGGTGGATGATGACAAATGTGACTGCAACTAGTATCTCGGTCGGAACTTGAAGTGGTTTGTGGGTGGATGATTCTCGTCGATGAGGCAGTTGGATGGTGCGAGGCCGGAGTTTATCCGCTAGAGCATCCAAGATTAATTGTTGCCCGATCTCTTTAAATAAGTGATCAATCATCTCGGAAGCGCCTGGGCCACAAACTAGGTTACGCAAAAGATCAAAGGTTTGTTCCTGTACCGCTATGTCATCTTGGCGTGCTTGAGTGGTTTGGTCCAGGTCCCCATGCAACGCAAGCTTGCGACGCCGGCTAATATCGGGGAGAAACATTTCCAAGCTCATCTTAGACGGCGGTAAGGTATCGGCCATCTTCATATCCTCGTCGCGTTCCTCAGTATTCTCGACAGGATTCAACAAATCAACCTGTTCTCCTGCTGAGTTGGCCCGACTCATGCCCGCCGAGGTCCCGCTTTCCATCTCCTCATCCATTCCTCGTTTGGCTAAAGCGCTGGTTGGGTCTTGCGTTATGATCTGTTGGATCCACGCAGGGCCCAAGCCATTAATGACCTTCATCTTGACATCGTTGGTCGAATTATAGGCCACGTGTTTCAGCGCCCAAAGTGACTCAATTCGAAGCTTTGTGTTCGTTGAATGGGCATGCTCACACAATATGGGGAGCACTTCGGCAGATATGATAGCCTAATGAATATTAGGATGATGTTTAAGAACCCTGACCCGGGCAGATGGCTTACCTCCTTCATTGGACTAAAATCCAGCGCGAGGTTACAGATAACTGATGTTGCTGCGATTTGAACCTCGATGTCCTGATGCCGAACCAAGGCGAATAATGGGTTTGCAACTCCAGCATCAATCAGACTGGTTCTTAATACACTGACCGACCGGGTGAGCATTCGTGCAGCACCGCAAGCTGCCAGTAGGGTTGGTGTAGGGTTGCCATCAGCAGCAGTGTTTTTTGGGTTTGATGTATCCCGAGGATCGTTTGGGCACGGTCTGAGAGAATCAATAATGTACGGAACTACTCCATTCTCACATATAGTCTTGCGATATTCGTCTTTGAAAGGTACCAAAGCGGCTAAAGCTTTGAGGATATTCTCTCGATATCGCATGACATGACAATGAATGGGAGAATATCCCGGGGGCCCCAGCGTACATTCCGCTGACTGCGTACCGGTATTCTCGATCTTTTCCCCACCGTCAACATGCCACATCGGTCTAGCATTCTCTTGAATCGGATTATAGGTTTCCTTCAAGAGTTGAGACAGTCGCTTAATAGCACCCCCATCAACTGCATGCTTCTGTAGTTCTTGGTCATCGATCACTAGTGTGGCAAGTACCGCCGGAGCTTCCTCCTTTAAGCGGTCTGTGGACAGAATCAATCCTCCATACTGAACACCATCGTCGCCTGCGATCTCGTAGTCCTTATCCAGCATTCGGATAAGAATTGGAATCAACAAGTAACTAAGCATGGAGACTCGAAGCTTCTTGGTGAGACCTAGACGGTATAAAACTGTGACTAGACGCGCTGCCATCAAGCGGATCATTCCCGTTTCGGCACGAATAGTATATAGAAGCCAAGGAACGATGGCATTTTCATCGTCATCGGAGCTCGGCGCTTCCAAGATCGAGAAGGGAGTGGGGTATGAATGGCTCTGACGGCGTTGAGGCCCATGGGGTTGACCTAGAGGTGGGAAGTTGGTAGTACTCGCGGGAGTTTTACCTTGCGACAACGGAACAGATGGTAGGAGGTGCTCCAGGGGACTGGCCCCGGCATGGCGTGGCACAGCCGACCCTGAAAAATAAATCGCCCCCCAAGGGTTTGTTTTGATATCAGACGGGGCGAATTCAGGCAGCTGCTTGGGGAAAACAGTCACGATGCCCGGAGAAGAGAGAAAATGTTCTGCACGCCATTTAGAATGTTCGATGATTGCCGCCGTAGCACGAAGAATCGGGGCTAGCTTAGCACCTGAGGGTGCAGGGGGAGGTAGAGAACCAAGAGCGCCAGGCTCCTGCACATGTGATTCCGCACCAGGGAGTACAAAGCCCTGAGCGACAACGAACGATGCCACTTTCACGGCCAGGGCATCCAGTACGCCACAGTCGGCCAAGACTGCCTTATGTGTTTCCTCTGTGCACAGCTTTCCAATCAGGCCCGCAGCAAGCTCAATGGATGTCTGCGCCTGATGAGTGCCATAGTCCTGCCCGAGAATGCGCGACAGACAGCCAATATGTTCGTCCGAGAAAAGTAGATCGGCTAACCGTGTGTCTTTGGGCCACTGCTGTTGGCTTTGCAGTGGTAAGCGATCGGCAATATTATTCAGGGTACGAAGGATGGGAAGAACAAAAGACGGATGGCAGTCAGGCGATGACAATATAGCCAGGAGGATGGACAGGATGCCGCTCGAAAGGACGGGAGAGAGGAAAGCCGCACCGCCTGATTGAAGATGGTCATCAGTCTCTGTGTCAGAGAAACGAAATCCACCTTCGATCCAGGTAAATACCTTGTGCTATACTACCAAGTATTATAATTGCCTGCAGGCACGTCTCATCTTCCTCCGATCTACGAGTTGATGATTGTTGGCTTTTGCCCGCTCCATTGCGCTCAGTATTCTTCCCGCTGGTTTGCCTGGAAGCAAGGACCTTAGCTAGAATGGGAATTATACCCCATCGAATCCAAGCTTCTTTGCGTTGATCATGACCAATTGTCTCATTCTTTAAGGTCCGTAGTGCTGAGGCCTGCGACGATAGGGAATCTGCGCTTTGAAGTTCTAGAAGGATCGGAGGTGTTGAAGCGCGCGTCATAATCGGAAATCACCGCCTCCCGCAGGAGGACGTCTATCTTGGTAAATAAGAAAAGAGTTGAGAGTTGGCTTGTGATGGAGAGGAATCAAAACACGGAAATAATCTGAGGGGAAAAGGTGGGTTGATATGGATAGATGTTGGTAAGAAGACAAGCCAAGTGTTGATGCAGGAGAGGGGTTTGTACAGGCAAAGATAGGTAGTGGCTGGCGATGATATCCGAATGGAAGGCGTCTAATTGTCCAGCGAAGCATGTACAGTACAGTACTTAGCTGGAGTGAACGTGATGTACTTTTTGTGTAGAGAGATAAGCAAGGCCCAGGCTGTTATGAAGATGTGTAACGGTATGAAAAAAAAAAGCCTAGGGACTCGAAGAAGCTGACCTTTGAACTGACTCCCTTCTAGATGTCGCTGAGAGCTTCCCTTAAGGTTAGCGTTACTTCTAACGGGGGTACAACATTACAGAAAGTAATGCTGATACCGTCGACTGACCGCTTTCGGCACCATAGGTCATGTGACGTCACTTGATCGGAAGGGATCTTGGTTTTTCCGATGCCGGATATGGCTAGATCAGGTGATTCAGCCTTATAGATAACTCCTAAGAAGCTTTGCCTACAGGCTTGAAGTAACAGAATTCTAAGTGTTGAAAAGTGTTCATCTCATCTTCGTGGTGAAACAAAACCGCTGATCTTGACCACTTAGCCGGCGCTGCGTTGAGGGTCATTATAGGCAAGGTGTCAGTCGACATAACAGAAATAGATGCGAACTTGCAGATGGATTCTCCTAGAGAAGCATTAGAGTCCCTGATCTGCTACACCTTGACCCACGATATGAGAGTAGGATGGATGGGGTGGTTTGTATACGAGAAACGTTAAGCCTCTCCTGATGTTCTACAAAGTACGGAGTCGATCGGGTTGAAACCCGGTGTACAGTTTACCCCTTAGGCCTTTTTTCTTTTTTACATATTCCCTTACTGAATAGGATTTTCTTGTGGTACAAATGCATGACACTCTGCGTGCCCGGGAAGTCAATTGTAACGGGACGGTAACGTTCCTTATCCGTCTTGGATTCTAGCCCCTTTTCAAGACCTCCGATTGGCTAATTGTAAGGAAATTTGCTCTGTCTGTGACATATTCCTTGATTTTTGCCTGGACAATTTCTGCAGCTGTACCTGTATTGTGGGAGGAAATTTTCTCTTTGCTCTTATTCTGATTTTTCTAATTACCTAAAAATTCCCCCATGATTTCTTTTCCCCTCTTCCCATCCATCTTTCTCCTTTTCTTGGAACAATTTATATTCTTATTATAGAAGAAGTTGTTCCTTCATCCCTCCCAATAGTCAGCTTCTTCTATAGAGCTGAAGCCCCGCGGATCACGATGCGCCAGGGCACGCGGCCATTTTTAGGAGCAGCAGCACAAGATTTCGCAGCGTCTGCCAGCCCCGTTGCACGTCGTTCAGTCGTGCGCCCACGTGGTGGTATCGTTGGGCGGAGATGCTAGTTTCATCGCCCTCGCCCTCCGCCCTTCGCCCTTCACCCTCCTCTCCTCCCACTCGCCCTCATCCTTCCCTTTCTTCTCCTCCCCTCTCTCGTCACTCGTCGACGACCATTTTGCAGAACCAGCATTATGAGCCTGCCGGTAACCCGACAGTCGCGCCCGGTAGTCACTTCACTCCTCGTTCTTCCCGTCTGGCCATCGAAGAGCTTCGTTCGGCTCTAAACCGGCACACCGTTGCCACCTCCCCTCCGGGGCCCTCAGGGGATCTCCCTCGCGGTCGCATGTCCGCTGGGCTGACCACCCTTGGGGGCGGAGCCAGCACTGCCGCGCCTACCGCTGAAAGCGCCGCCGCAGCCGCAGCCGCCATCAATACAAACACAGGCCCTTCAGGTGTCCCTGGTTATACTAATAACAACGGTTCTGCTGTTGTACCTCCAGCTCAGGCCTCAGCCCCCACCCCCGCTCCGCAACCTCCCGTGGCCGCTCCAATGCCCGCGCCAAATAGCAACAGCGCAGGGTCCAATAAGCGTAATAGCCCCAACGATCCTGTTGCGAATGGCGGACATGCAAGTGGAATCGGGAGCACGGATCTGGAGGGGTCACAGTCGAAACGGCCGCGTCCCTCAGATCCCGCTGTCAAGTTGTTACCGGCTCAATATGAACTCGCCGATCCCCGGGATATTGTCGTTCTCATCTCCAGCATGTTAATGGAGCTGATTCGCTTCAACGACAAAATCCCGCTCCACCAAGGCCGACTGACTCGCTTTCACTCCCGATCTCCTCCGCGAATTTCCGTCCACGACTACCTTCAGCGGCTGACCACTCACGCCACTCTTTCACCTCCTATCTTGCTGAGCATGGTATATTATATCGACCGTCTCTGTGCCCTATACCCAGCCTTTACCGTCTCGAGCCTCACCATTCACCGGTTCCTTATTGCTAGCGCAACAGTTGCGAGCAAGGGGCTAAGCGATAGTTTTTGGACGAACAAAACATATGCTCGGGTGGGAGGTATCAGTATGACCGAGTTGGCGCTCCTTGAATTAGAGTTCCTATTCCGTGTAGAGTGGCGCATTGTCCCACAGCCGGAAGTGCTTGAGGACTACTACCAGAGTCTAGTTGAACGATGTGGAGGGTATGAAATTCTACGCGAGACCTGAAACTGAGGTTTAGATTGAAGCAGATGCATTTTATGTATGATTGGGGCCTCTAGAAGGGACTTGCAATACTTTGAATTCCGTGCAACGGTTTTGGTGAAGGATTAAAATTCTATGAAGGGGATCGGAATTGATCCCCGTTGTCTTAGTACATATTACATAAAGAAAGGTACAGGCAAAGGTGACGCTGCTGATACATAAACCCAAGTGCAGTGGATGGTTGATTCCGGGGGTTATTTTTCGGTTCCCTTGATCCTTGTGGAATTTTGTCTTTTCTTTTTAATCATGTCTTCAAGCCGTATCTCATGCTATCTTGGTGTTATTGTTGACAAGCGTCAAGGAAGTGCGTACATTAGTAGCTAGGCACACCTGCATCAATTCATTCAAAAAACCTTACTAGTCACATAGAGTTTATCCACTCATGTTCACATTCCATGACGTTTCCTGCTGCCTCGGGTGTCCACCAGCTAGTCCCTAAAGGGCCAAGGTAGGGCTTAGGTCACAGGGTACAGGGTTGCTGCGATCCATGGGAACATGTCGATCTTGACTTCTCTATCAATTCTTCCCTCTAGTGAGATCTGGAGATTAACCAATAAATTCCATTTGCTTGCGTTGCAAAACCTGAGATAATGCCGTGAACGAATTTTGTGAGCTTCTGTAAATCAAATTGCTCTAGTTCTTACTTTCTTTTTTTCTATTTTCTCCTCTCGAACAAACTGGGGTATCAGACCGATACCACTCATTCAAATACAAACGACCCCAATGGATGTACAAGAGATTCTCCGCGGTGTAGAGCCACTTGCCGGACAGGTTATCCCAGTCAGAACCGTCCAAGAAGCGCGGCCACGTGAAGACTTCGGTGCGTATTCCTCACTTCTAGGGAGGAAATTGCGACAGCTATTAACAGAACCTCAGCGGATGCATATGTAGTAGAAGTCAACGTGAAAGGTGCTTCCAAGTTGATAAAGTGAGCTTATTTATCGCACAGTTTCTATCTGGGAAGTACACTAATTGTTAGCAAACAGAGCTTTAGATAGTGCCTATCCTCGTGATCCTTCTCGTCCTCTAAATCATCTTCGGCGCTTCGCAAAGCATACCCAACTACCTGACGACCTACGATCCACCCTGATCAAGGCAGAACCATCAGCACAGACAATTTTTGCTTTGATTACGCCTCCTTTACCTAAAACAGAAGCGCTTGAAAAACTATTGGCTCCCTTTGCGCCACCACCCGAAAGTTCGTTGGATTCGTCCCAGGATGTAGGGAATGTCAAACTCCATACCGTCCGCATCCCATTGGAGCCACCTCTGAATATTGGACAAGCTGAAAAATGGTCCAAAACCATGTGGCCCGTCGTCTTCAACCCTGCAACCCCCAGAGCTATGATTGCACCTCCTCCCCAGACCCTAAACCGCGTGCTCGAGTCTATCAAGCCGAAAGCAGGTCGTTATCTAGCACTGGCACGTAAGGTGGCTGACGAAGCGGAAAATTCTGGATCTGGACGTGGGGTGGGTGCAGTGGTTGTGGATCCAGACCTCGACGCTCACATTAGTGCAACCGACGAGGATGTAGGCACCCATTGGGCCGATGCGGTTGTGGCTGTTGCAGGTGACATACGATACGCACGCCGAGAGGCTGGAGCAATTTCAGAAACGGAACGGCATCTAGGCAAAGGGCCCAATCCCAACACACAGATGTACAACCCAGATGTAGAGGGCGGGCCAGAACTACATGCGCTAATGCGCGCAGCGGACTTGGTTGCTAGCGGAAGACGTAAGCAGGGTGGGAACGAGTTGACCACACAACTACCTCTGAATCAACTAGAGAAGTTCTTCCTCTCTCAGTCGGACGTCTCCGGGCCGGATGCCCCATCCGATTCTGATGACCCATCCCCCGTGCCGGAGAAGTATTTGAAAACAGAGACGGGGGCTCATGCCATTCCCAAAACGACAGACAGTTCTCGAGTACCTCGACTTCGCTCCCGCGAGCAAGGCGGCTACCTCTGCACAGACCTCGATGTATACTTGACGCACGAGCCTTGCCTTTGTTGCTCGATGGGTCTTCTACTTTCGCGCTTCCGGGCGGTTATCTTCCCGCGGCGTGGACGCATGGTGACGGGAGGCCTTGCATCAGAGCCTGCGATCGCACCCGTTCCAGTGTTAGATGCTACGGAAGAGGTGCGTGATATGTCTGAGCCAACGCGGGATCAGGATCAGCACGGGTCGGAAGAGAATACGCCCAGCGAGCATGCTGAGTCTCGGTCAAAGCGGCTGTATTATGGGCTGCACTGGCGGAAAGAGTTGAATTGGCGGGCACTGGGATTCGAATTTGTCGAAGACGAGGTTACAGAGAAAAGTGCCGAAGAAGGTGTGACATTCCACGCATAACGCTTACACGAAATTAGAGAATAATGTACTATATACACAAAATGTATATTATGGCCTCTAGAGACATGTCTCGTGAAAACAATAAGTTGGTATATGGATAGGAACTTGTTCCGGGCTAAGTACAACGATAGCTTCTTAACGCTTCCCCGCTAGTTCAAACTATATCTGAAGACTAACAACGCTGAAACGCAATAACATCACATTCCCAGGCTTCAGCCACATATATATATACACATCAACACATGCTCAAACAAGCGCGACATAAATCCTGGCAACCTGTTGATCAACATGAGTATATGGCTTGGTCTCCTTCCCATCCTCATCCACCTCCTCTTTATCCTTTATATTGAGCTGTGCAACAATCTCCCCCCGGAAGGGCGCCGGCGGATTTGACCAAACCCCAATAACAGCATCATGGAAGCACGGAATCTCAATCCCCTTGAAACCCTTAGTGGCCGCATCCCGCATCAACCAATGCGCCATCCGCTTCATCAACCCATGGCCCTCATAGTCCGCTCTCGTCGATGTCCCATTCCGCATCAACACCCCCTCATGCGTCGTCACCTCGCCCCGAGAGTCAAGTTCGGTTAGACGCTGCAGAATCGCGGGGAACAGAGGCATTGCCTCGAACAGCGGTTTCAACCGGTCGAGATCCAGTGGGCTGGATCCATTGTAGCTCATGGCTACCGACACGAGTGGGAAATCCATCTGTTGAACGAGCTGGTCGCGGGTCGCGGTTTCATTGTTCAGATCCCAGTGCAGTTTACCTCCCGTTTCCTTGGAGGAGGGGTATTTGTACTTGTATTCTTTGTCGAAGATGCCGTAGGATAGGCCGGAGGCGATCTGGTGCGCGATTAGGTAGTCGCTGGCCCGAAATGATTGGTAGAGGCGTTTGGTCTTGTCCGTGGGGTAGATGTTGGGCCAAATTGGGGAGCAGAAGATATTGCTGTGGATGACGATTGCGTTGGCCCAGTCTTGGTGTTCGGGGCCGAGTTGGCGGATTTCAAATCGGGGGGTAAGGCTGATCGGAGCCGACATGGTGCAATGAGGGGGGTTTATTTCCAGCAAGAGAGGACTTGGGAGCATCAATTGAGATCGTACAGGCTTTTGGTTGTTTGTGGGGGCGAAGAAAGAGGGGTAAGGGTTGCATTGATCTAGAGAACTTTAGTCTAAACAGACTTAGTTGCATGTCATAAGCTTACTGATGCCGGTATGCGACGGCGTGGAGGATATAGCTTGAGGTAAAGAAAGACAGTCTACGTCAAGGAAGCCAGCATCTACACGGACCAAGTAAATAAATAAACCCTGAATAGTACCATTCGCCGAATATGCATCAATCCTATCATAGCCATTGCTCATGTCCGCCATAACAGCCCTCTCCAGGGCTAATATAGGGATGTCGAAGGCTGTCCATCGATGTCATGACGCTGTCAAGATGAAACATTATGTTTTCTCCCCGTTTTTTCTTGAATCCATTAACCCTTGCCCATATGCGAGGAACCTAGACACAAGAAATTTCGTGCATCAACTCGCCTTTGTTGTTGTTTTGCTTCCCTCTACACACATTATTCGCCCTTTTGAGCCATTAATTGCATAATCCGTTATTATTATCAACGACGAACCAAAATACGTATTCAATTGCTGTGAAGATACCATGTAGTACATCGAGCGGACTAGATCACAGATCTATCCACGGAGCTCTCGAGCACGGCGGGAGAGGAAAGGGATCTTGCGAATAACAGGATCATGTGGCGCATTCTTAGCGACAGACATGTACAACATATCCAGTCGTTGGAGCAAGATCTCCATAATTCTCGGAGCAACTTCCCGAATGTCCGCATCCTAAATGCACATTAATAAGATCCGTACATCTTAAAAGTTTCTGTACATACCATCGGATTCACAGTCTGCAGGACAACTTCCAGCCACTTAAGACGTTCCGCAACATTCGTTTGCAGGGATGATGTGACTGCAACACCGACGGAGAGCGCCACAATGGGAGAGAGGCTGGTCAAGTAGGACGGATCCAAGCCGATGAAGAGATTGTCAAAAAGGTCTGCCTGTTGATTGGATTGGAGCCACTAATTACATAACGATCAGTAAGGGTCCGGAGATTGTTTGGATGAATACAAACCTTGACTGAACCCTCTTCAAGTCTGCCTTGATTCATTAATTGGGCGATCTCCGCCAATTCCACATCCTCAGTTGACTGCGTCTCATTAGGGGCAGCCATGGTGGTCGCCGGCTGTGGCAAACTTTGCCTATCTTCCTGCTGGCCCAGAGCGCGGTTAAGCCTCAAAATCTCATTCTGAAAACTAGTCTGCGCCGCAGCCATAGAGGCCACTGTATCCGATAAACCACGAACAAGACTAGTGAGCTGGTCGATCTTAGCAGCGTCGTTCTGACGTTGCACCTCGTATTGCTTCATTTGTGTCTGCATTTGATTTTCCATGTCGGATCCAATCTTCTCTGAAACGCGTGTAGCCAGGGTCTTGAAGGCTGGTGTGACCGTGCGTTGAACAGCCGTCGAAATCTCGGCTTCAATGTTAGGCAGAAGGCTTTGACCCACTGCTTCCGACAAGGTTTTCACTATTTCTGGTTGCTTCATGGCACGGGTGATAGTTTCGGGTAGAGCCTGACGCAGCTCACGAGGAAGGGCAGCGCCTATCTGCTGAGCCACAACAGTGTCTAACTGTTTACCGACAGCTAAGGATGTCAGATTTGCCAAGGCGGGCACTACGTCCGATTGAATGCTGTTCGAAACGATGTGCGCGAGATTCTTTTCCACGTTATCAGAGAGGGTGCTCGAGACCAACCGCAAGACTTGGTCCTGCTTGGCCGCGGAAGCTGCATCCCAGCTGCGACGCTCTTCGTCGAAACGCTGGTACAGTCCTTCGAGTTCCCGACCAAGACTCTTGTTGAATTCAGTGGACACGCCGGTTTGCAAGGCCTCCACGTGCTTAATCCAGGCATCGCTTGACTCGATGACACCAGCGTTAACCGGTGCAGCAATAGTCGTAGATGACTTGGGCACATCGCCGTTCAGCTGTTCGCAGATAGCTTCACTCTGAGCCAGAGCTGTAAGACCCTCAATTGAGCCAGTGACAGAGGGAGAATTCGCTTCTCTTGCTTTGACAGGTACCTCAACAGCACCAGTAGCCTTCTTTTTCTTCCTCTTCTCAGGCTTCTCTGTAGCATTGGTGGTAGTCATCGATTCGGCCTGCTCTTCGCCCGCCTTCTTCTTCGGAGCGGACTTACTAGGGGAATGGGTACGTGAAGCGGTAGCACTAGCCATAGCACTGGCTTCAGCGCTCAGATCAGGCGCCTTCTTGGTAATTTCCTTAGGAACAGTTTTGGTTGGATTGGGAACAGCGTCACCATTAATAGAAGGATCATCTGTAACATAAGCAGGGAATGCCTGAAGCTCAGAAATTTCAATAAGACCTTGTTCCAGGGCATTAACGGGACGGATGATCTTGTTATCGGAGCTCCATCCTAAATCTTCCTTCTTGATGTTCAGACAGGTCACTCCACGCGAGTGCATCACGTAAAGCTCAAACAGACCGTTCTCTTCACCGGCTGCCTTGTTGATTGGGAGAAGATCCAAGCTCCGTAGCTGACCCTTTGAGGCAAATGAGATCTCTCGTATGCCGCTCATGCATGCGGTCGATTCTGGTTTGGGAAGGCTGCCATCCTTCTCACCCGAGCGCTTGATGAAGGATGCCTGAGACATGGACTGCAGGTTGTATCTGGGCGCAGAAAGATGAACAAAATAGATCGAATTGCGTGTGGGATGTCCAACAACGATGATCCCCGATCCGGGATGATATGCGACACTGCAAATGGCATCCGATTCGTTCTCATGAGGGAACTTGAGCTCCTGCACAGCCTTGCCTAGCCCAATATCCCAGAGCTGCAAGGTGTGATTCTGCTTAAGGCCAACTAGGACGTAACGAAGAGCCATGGACTTTACATAGGGGCGCAACTTGTCAATGAAAAGTACAGATGTGGGCCATGACTTCTCTGCTGGAGAGCCTGTGACGAAGGTGTTCAATGGAACGCGGACTTCGGTTGGGCTGGGTCCAGCGGCAAAGAAAGAGGTATTGTTGACAACGTCGCGGATGTCCCAAAAACGTAGACGACCTGTCTTATCGAGAGAGGCAATTACAGTGTCATCGTCACTGAACATGAAGTCTTTACCGGCCTTGCCAGTGGAAATCTTCAAGGCGCGCTCTTTGAAGAATTTCTCCGTGTTGACAGTCCGCTGTGTGCCGGATATACCGTAATTTGGATTTGCGGCGGCCTGAGGAGAGATCACGTAGATATTTTTGCCGCGGCCGATTGCAAAGAACCCTGGATGACGAGAGCTCCGTTTGGCACGCGTTTTCAGCTGGCCACCGGAAGTATTCTCATCTGAAGCTGGGAATGGCGGGAAGATGAGACTCTCGCTCTCCAAAGCATCCATTTCAAACAGGTCCTTGTCCGCATTCGAGATCAATGCCCAGTACACAGCACCACTAACGCCGATGCCCAGGACGGCCTGCTCGTCAGATGTACCTGTTGTTATCTGGGAGGTGCAGACCGCGACGTTAAACACACGATCACGGGTATAACGGAATACTTGTTTGTCGCTTCCATCATCCTGGCGGATTATTCTCATGCCCCCATTCTTCGCCAGAGCATAAACAATATACTCGGAGGTGGCCGACGTCAACGAACGGTCCAATTGATCGAACTCCTTCTTGAGCCGAGCGATGTCCATGATCCCATCATCCCGGAGTGTAGATAAATTATCAGGGTTGCGGGCGTTCACGGATATGGAAATGAACGGCTTCAACGGGAAGTTATATACGGGCACGATTCGCTCTTCTTCCTTCTGGGCGCTATCTTCTGCACTCTCCCAGCTATCAGCCAAGGCATCACCGCTGCCATTGTTCGAAGTTTCCTTCGCAACAAAAGTATCAGCTGTGGTTTCATTTGCTGCCTCATTATTTTCATTCTCTTGGGCGGTTTCCTTAGCTTCAGCGACGGTCTCCCGAAGGTGACTAGCAATCGATGACAGAGTCTCTTGTGCGCTCTCTTCCTGAATTGTTGTCGTCACGGGTTTGCTCTCTGCTTTCACCGCGTTTGCGACCGCTTCATCAACATCACGGACGATCTGGCTCACCAGATTATCAACTACCTGGGACACAGCTTCTTTTTGCTCTTCTGCCAAACTCGGCGACCTGGCGCCCGTTGCCTCATAAGTGGGCTCCTCCGTGGTGATGATTTTCTTACTTCCCATGACCTCTACGGCTGGGCTCTCGCTCCGAGACTTGGGCTGTGGAGTTGCCTTACGAGGAGAGGCAGCCGCAAGCTGGTCAAAGGGGTTGACATATGTGAATAATGTCTCCTTACCAGATGGAGAGGGTCTTGCCTGATGAGGAGCGATGGTATCCGGTTTCCCGGGTACGATATCCTCGGGACGAGAGTCCACAGCCAAAGACTCCTCTACAGGCTGAACTGAGGGCATCGCAGCGTTGCCAGAAACAGCCTCAGTTGCAGGGGATTTCTGAGGGGGAATGAAAGTTGACGGTTGAGGGACAGGTTTCACAGGACCTTCAGAAATGCCTTGGCTAGGCTTGGGACGGTTGAGCAAGCGAAGTAGCATTTCCTGTGTATTTTCCGCGGTCGGGGCAGTAGAGCCTTCACCAGCAGGGACGGCGGGCCCAGGTTGACCAAACTGAGGACCAGCAGGTTTGGTAGGGACTGCAGCTCCCTGTCGGCCAAAGAGAGTAGCAACCAAGTCGGACGCGGAGATATTTCTCGCGTGGGATTTGGCTGCTTCCGGGCCGACATCGTGGATGTGAGACGGCTTCGGCTGCTCCAACCCAAATTGCGAGGGCTGCTGGGGAGCAGAGGGTGCCGCAGGCTGGTTGAATTTCAGCAGGTTGAGCAGATTTGCAGCACGATCAGGATTCTGGGACATCGGCTGATGCTGCTGGGGAGGAAACATCTCCCCACGGGGCGTAGGAATATTAGGACTGAGAATGTCCGAGCCATGGTGGGGTGGAGTATTCACTGGAGAGGGACTGTGAATAGTAGATGAGACTGATGGGTGGCGGTAACCATGCTGTTGCAGCTGGGGGTGAGGAAGGCTCTGTCCATCATAGGGAGGATGCTGCTGGGGGCGTAATCCGGATTGGTACTGCTGAGGGTACTGCATGGGAGCATCCTGACCGGGCGTGTTCGAAAGAGAAGGACGCGGCCGAATGCTCGCCAGGAGGGCCTGGAGATCATTGGGGGTGGACATTTCTGTCGCTCGCCGCGGTGAAGGCGACCTCCAACATTCAAGCTCCAACGTGCTTTTCAAGAGCTCTCTTTCGAGAGTCAAAAGGAGAGTAAGCAGCCGAGTCGGATTAACGTAAAAGAATGAGATCGAAAAGAAAAAACGGAAACAAACAGGTGAAAATGAAATCAAAGGACAGTCTATTATACAGGTAGTAAGGGGTGGAAAGGAAGCTCAAGAGGAAGAAGAACAGAAATCATCAAGAGGAAGAGGAAGCAAAGCCCGATGTGGCTTTGTGTGTGTGTGTGTGTGTGTGTGTGTGTGTGTGTGTGTGTGTGTGTGGGTGTGGCTGGTGGGATTGAATTTAACAGTGCCTACTTACAGGGCATGCGGTGACGTATTGCCGGTACGGTATTATTCCCGTCCAAATGAACACTGGAAAACCCTCAAGAAAGAACAAGAAAGTGATGAAGACTGTGTGTTTAAAGGGACGACTCTTCTCTGCTTTCTCTGCTTACCTGAACCCAACTTGAAGGGTAAAAGCGCCCAATTTGTCCACCTCGCTCATCTGCGGTGAAACCCCGGAGTGCCTTGACAACTCTCTCCTTCGCCACAGACTCCTTCCTCCGTTCCGCTCGCTCTTATTCTCTACTCTCTCTCTCCTCCAGGAAAGCAGCTTTTCCAAACGCTGTTATCATTGAAACGCATTAAATCGCCGCACACGCCAGGTCTCACCATGTTTTGTTTAAGGAGGTGGGCTACCAAGCATTATCCACATCACTTATATCTGATCGTTCAGGTACTGACTAAACATCTAATATAGCTGGTTACCTCTCCTCTTCATCCCAACCAATGCCTCCCCACTTTTCATTATCTCCTTCGTCACTCTGACCTACATCCTCCATCGCCCATGTATCTACTGCTCAGCTCTCCTCCTAATCCTTTTCATCTCATCCTGTCATTGGTCGGATCGCTGTTTCTTTGACCTTCGTGGTGACTGGTTTGCGCCTCGCTACTCTTCCGACCCAAGCGCTTCTCTATTCGCCCCCAGTGAGACCTTCGCCGGCTATGTCCTGGAAACTGTGAATACCACAACAAAGACATTGGCAGGTGCAGTCGTTGACGAAGCGCAACGTCGTCTTGCACTGAATGGATCGTCAACGGCCTCGGTGGTCAGTGCGTTAGGGCAGGAGGAATGGTCCGGAGTTGGGCTGGAGTGGTTGCGCAGTTTGCTTGGGCGACGGGAGTGGACGATTCCTTGTGTCGACGTCAAAATTCGGCTGTAAAGATGGGCTTGACACGATGTTCCATTTGCGTCCGATCGAACCTTCTCTTATTTCCCCTCCCCTCCCCCGCCTCTCTTTTCTTTTTATTTTTTCTTTCACTCGACAAATCTAGAAATGGTTTCTAACGATGCAGAATGTATACCCCGTGCCTTTGAGGAAGAAGGGACTTGGATTGGCACGCACTAGGAAGTCCTTTTTCAACAATTTATAGAATATTGATTCGGTGGTTGCACATCTCACTGCTTTCAAAGCTTTCCCTCCCCAATGCACGTATTCGCTGTACTCTCTTGATGTTTACGCGAAAGACACTGTATATAACTGAACTCTTTAATATTCATTTGTTTCATAACTTCAAGCGGATTTTAGAAACAAATAGCGTTTGACACGTTTCGACCTAGATAAGCACGTACTGAATGACTGCACCGGGTTGATAAGCAGTTTTCAATGACAACGGTTCCACACAGCCAGAAGAGAGGGTCAAGGATCAATTATGTAACGTAAGACATACATTAATTACAAGCAAATAGGTATCTAACGATAAAAGGAAAACACCAACAGTGACCAGATGCTTTTCGATATAAGCAGATCACATCCACCACATGAGAGAAGCTGTAAGATCGTAGTCAAGCATAACACACTGAGGCACATCAAAGAATATCGTGAAGCATGAAAGTATAGAACAGAGCATGGGCATGGTATCAAAACATCAGTTCTCGTAATGAGACTCCGTTAAAAAGCGTAAAAAAAACCAACAACTTAGGAATTGAGTACAGGCGTCGAGAACCTGAGGGTAAGGATCGTAGGTCTGTTCCGATACCATAGTCAGGTCAAGGATCGTTATGGAGCAATATGGGATAAAGGAAGGTATAGTTCGGTCTGTCGTAGTTAACAAGTAGATAGGCCATCTAATTGTATCCGCCAGGTCCTGTCGGCATGGGCCAGTCGTCCTCAGTAATACTGCTCCAAAAGATCCAAATCATAACGACTGAGAGGAGAGTAAACAGAGTCTCAAATAATGCACCGTTGATCTTCCCGTTTGTGGCTTGACAAATATGGGTGCTGATGACATATTCAAATATCTGACCTATGGCAAAAAGCAAGCCGGCGCCGGACAAGTAAACTACATTCAACGTCAGAAAACGTTTGTTTGATCCAGGAGATAATTAGAAGATTGAACATACACATTGGGCGGAACTCGCCCAGTACTTGGATCACCAAAACGGCCTCCAAAACGTAAAATAGGACGAGACAGATGAGTGGGAAGAGCTGGTAGAGCACATAGAGGGCGATGTTTCGGTATTCGGTAGACGGATCGGGCTTAAACTCGCCGGTCCAATTGAATCCAGTATCGAGGGCAATATAGCCGGTGCCAATGAAGAAAACCAAGGCAGACGCCGAGATGAGACCGACCGAAGCGGGTGTACCATCATCGAGAAACTGATAGCCCACCAAGGCGTTCAACAAAAGAACCCAACACGTAGCGGTGATCGCGGCAATGTGCACGGCCGAAAATCCCTGCATGTGGCTCTTAGAATCTCAAACGGGCATGCTAGGCAAGGATTTTCAAACATACTTTTCGGACCGCTGCGTCGAGAGGGAAAGCACCGACGGTAAAAATCTCGCAGATTTCAATGACTATGAAGCCGAGCAAGAACAACTGTATCTCTCTATAATACCCTCAAATCAGTTGGTAACTAGTACTTTTGCTTCGAGTCCATTTTCATCATGTACCTTCTGCCGACTGCTGCTTGTTTCCGTTCTGATCTCCATAGTAGCAAAAGCGATGTTAGGATGGAAATGAAGGCGAGCAGGATAGAGCCTACAACGGATTAGCCTCCAATGATACAAATGTTCCTATAGGATCCATATTATCATATCATACCCAAATTACCCAGATAACGATTACCGCTAAGCGTAATGCCTGTGAGCGGACAGCCATCGAAGGCTTTATTAGGGGGTTGGTTATTGTCAACAAAAAGCTAGGTGGTGGATGAACGAGTCAACAACGGTCCCTCCACCAATTGAGCAGGCACGGTGTTAGAATGCAAGGGAAAAGTCGCTTCACATACATTGCAGACTGGTAGGGTCGAATCTCGACAGAAGTCCTAGAATGGGTGGAGAATCAGCGGTCAGCATGCTTCAGGGGGTGGCATTTGGACTCAGTCGTGAACTCACGTGAAATTTCCCAAATTGCGTCGAGCCCATGGTTTTAAAGACCGTCGAAGTGAAAGACCATGCGAGAGGTGTAGTGGCAGAGTGAAAGTGGACGTAGTGTGATGCTGGTAGCTTAAATTGGTCGATTTCCTCGGACCCGCTGAGGGCCGTTACGATCGGTCCGTCGCAGATCTGAGGCGCGGAATAAGCGGTAGATGCTGAGAATTATCGGGATTGAGTGTATTTAGGCGGCCAGCGAGCGCCCTTTTCACCTCTCGAATGAGGGGAATGGGATTTCACGAATTAATAGAAAAATTTCCGAGTATTGACACGTCAAGTTGTAGTATGTCACTCGGCTCCTGCAGCGTGACGAGACAGATGGAGAGACGGACAAATTAGGTGGAAAAATACGGCGGGATGTAGCAAATTCAACAAGATACCGGGGCAACTGAGCAAACGGCCGACGTATGTACTGTGCGTATGGGTGTGGGGACCGATGTATACTGTATGTACAAAGAGAGAACTGTCGGGTCAGAAAAGAAATCGAAGAAGACTGGTGGAGAGCGGAGGAAGGGAAGAAGAAAACAAGCGATGGCGGTGTTGGTTCCGTGATGGAGAAAGAAGTCGAAAGAGGGGAAGAAAGCCACAACGCTGGAATGGATGAGTTGTAGCAGGATGAGGAAGGTGGTAATTCTTAACCAACAATTTTCACGGCAAAAGGGCACTAATGAACGATGGTTCGTCTTGACTAAGGACTAGACCAAGGAAAAAGTGGGCAAACGTGTGGCCAGCCAACTAATTTAATACTCTATTCTTTTTGGGCTTAAGAGAAATAAAAAAAAAAAAGAAAAAGAAAAAGAAAACCCTGCAGAGAAGATGCAACTCAGAAACGCCGGTGGAAGATGGTTGGCTGGGCCTCCTGTCAGTCAGGGATATACCACGCGAGGCTGGTGAGGCTGGTAATTCATGATTATCACTTGATGAAGATTTGAATTTGATTTGGTCTGAGTTGAGCTGAGCTGGTCAGACCAAATCAGATTCACAGTGATGGATGCGAATCTAGGGGTCACATTGTACATACAACAAGATTATAAGAATCCATGGTTCTTGTGGTGTGCCTGAACTGAACCTCGGGTTCTCGTGGACATTTTCCCCGTTTTCTATTCTGGGATGTTGGTTGTCTGAGCCCTGACGAACCCTTCCTGGATTTTTCTCCGGAAATACTTGGATTATCAGCGTAATTAAGAGGCAGAAAAACACCCAAAAATGGTAAATAGGATGATTAAGATTCGAGATATGAAAGAAGAAGGGGAAAAAAAGATCAAACATCATAGCCCCTAGTTTTGTGGAAACCTGTGAAACCAACTGTGAAGGAAACCCGTCACAGCCTCCCACCACAAGCTGCCACACTGTGACATTCACCTCCTTAGCCAAGACAATTTTTAGTTAGTTAGATACTAGGTACATAGAAGCGCCTGTGGTATCTTGGTCTACTTGTACTGTACTATGTCAATTGATCAATAGGAAGACACATAACTGCATTCAATATCGCGAACACTGTACCAGGGACGGGCCAGCCATGCATGCGCCATTGGAATTAACCTTATGACCTAGTAGTTGCTAGCTCGCACCTAGTCATCAGATTCTAAGCCCTTCATTGGAATTGGAAATTTATTAACCCCAATCTGGGGCAGTGGCTATGTTTTCCTAAAGTGCAGAACTCAGCTCAATGGTGAAGAATCTGTACATATTGCCCCGAGACATGAATAACCCAGCCACACAATAAGATCAACACATTGCTAGCGACACTTTTGCAAGACATTATGCATGTCTTCCAAGAAATCATGTCAGATTTTTTAAAATAGGGTAGGGGGTGACCATGATTTCTTGGATCGAGTAGTACGTGCTACTCTGTTTTATTTACTTTCTGGAACTGGGACACCCCTTGCTCCGCCTATGCCCACATACATGTGTTAAAAAGAATGAACTTCCTAGCGAGTGCCTTCCTTGTATGAAGGGGTTGCCAGCCATTTGGGAAGTGTAGGAAAGGACTGGTAAAACTTGAGCTCTTCAGGGGTTGTCATCTAGTTTCGTACGCACTTGCCAACCCTTGCAGACCCATATATCATGGAAGGCTCTTAACATACATCCTCAATCTCTAACTCCTTGCCATCGTGTTCCCCCAGATCCAGTTTCAAGGTCCGCCCGAACAGCTCGAGCAGCATCTCAAAGCAGACCTTGGTAATTGCGGGGTCATATCGTCCCTTGCTGAGTTCATCGCGAATAAATGCGTCTATCGGATGATAATGGTCAGTCGAATCAATATTCAACGGGCTACTATCCCGTCTGAATACAATGGGCAACGTACGCTGAGCCCAAGCCACCTCGTAAAAGCTAAACAAGACACCCTTGTCATGGAGGGTCTTGCGAATCAGATCTCTTCCTTCTGGTGGGACATGGTTATCGTTCTTCCCAAATATCTGCAACATCTTATTAGATTGCTGCACGTTTGGACCTCCCGGGAGGAAGGCCAAATTGCCCGAGATTCTCTAGAAGAAAATAGCTTCGTGTGGAGTCAGAGGATCTTACCATGATCAGTTCTCCTTTGATATCCCCAGCTCTAGCTAAGCTATCATCGCTCTTGCCAGCAGCAAGAGTCTTGCTATGAATGTCTGTTGCAAAGAAGCATACAGCTGCCTTTACTCGGCTGTCCAACGCGCAGCGGTATGCAAGATGGCCACCAAGGCACATACCCGTTGCACCTACATGGCCATTGCACGTGGGCAGTGACAAGAGATAGTCGACGCACAATGATGCGTCCTCATCGTAGGCAGTTAGCTTCTACATTTCGGTCAGATATATCTTCCGTCATATTGTTTTACGAAAGATTGGCTGTTCCTGTATCGCACCTTGCTGATTTTCCACTCATTTCCTCTATCCGTATCATTGGCATTGTATTCCAATGGCTCCGGACCGGTGAATTCATGATAGCTAGAGGGAGCAACGCAGATATATCCTTGGCCAGCGATTTGTCTTGCAAATCGTGAAACAGGTCCGGTTACTGTAGATTTTTAGCCCAATGGAGAGATGTGGGGAGGAGGAGCAAGGTACCTTGATATATCTCACTGAATACCACTACCCCAGGGAATCGGGCTTTTGGATACCCAGGGATAGTCGGATGGAATACGTAGATGCCTTAATACAAGCGTCAAGTTAGTTATGCAACCTTTGATCACTATTTAAAGACCAATTCGTGAAAATGAGCCGTGGGAAGATTGTCTCACGCATGGTTCCATTCCCATCTGCCTTGGTTGGCACATCGTGGAAAGTCTCTTGAATTAACATATTTAATTGAGATCCTATGTAGATCGTACAACGTCTTGCAATTACAGTTTGCAATTGGGGCTACCTGGAGACAAGTCCAAATCAGACTATATCTATTACCCACTTGATATCAATGTTCAACCGCGGGGTGATTTATTGATAGAATCGAGGGGCAAATCATGTGACTTGACGGGACATAGCTGTGTTCACATCGGATCTTAAGAGACACATTTGCCCAACTTTTTATATTGGATAGTAGGTTGACTTTGCGTTTGAATACGTAGTGAGCCATGCAATAGACTGCGAGGGGGATTATGCTAAGAGAAACAGCCAAATAAAGACAATCAAATATATTCTTTATGTAACCTGCTGATCTGGAAACTGTTCTGCCAGTATGAAATAGCCTTCATATCTCCTGCGAGGTGTTCCTCATTCATCCAATGTGACTTGTGAGGACTGCATATTCTTATGGTGCATAATACCATCAATGTGTTTAGTGATTAGATATGATAAGAGAAACGAGTAAGTAGACGACACATGTGTTCCAAAAAAATAAAAGATAAAAACCCCCCAATAATTTACATGAAATGGCACACATTAAAGTCTGAATCAAGGTAGGAAACTCATCGCCGGGGGGATCGAAAGGAATGCCAGAGCTCTGGACAATCACCAGGACTGGGACTCTCAGCAGTGTCGGCACGCGAAGAATTAAGAAACATATTAGATCAATCTCCATAAGTCTTGTGCATACTGAGACGCAGGATACTCATAAGTGAGGCGTTTCAAACGTGGCCTACTAATGAGGCAGCTGATGGCGTTTGTTGTGTGAGGCTGTTACCTCAAAAAACGTACTATATGGCAAGTTAGTCTGCATATTCTTAGCCGGTGATCTAGATAGGTTATGCCTACAGGAATAAACAGGTAAGGGACCTGTCTTTCATACTCTAACCATGCTTCACCGTATTTGTTGCGGCAGCGCTGGATATCTCGCAAAGCACGGTGGGAAATCATGCATGCAAAGAAGACGGGATAAAACCAAGGAAATGGGCTATTAAAGCCAGTGATAAGGCCCCAGTTTAACGCAAAGTAAAGATCGCAGGTGTAGTGGATCTTACGAGCCTTGCCGTCTGTGCACATCTTAGTTTGAGCCTCCGCTATTCGCACCCGAGAACCAGGGGGTAGTCACTTACACCAGCCGTCAACTAAAATCACAGAACCATCTTCAGCTGTGATGGTCTTGGGGTTTTCCACTGTTTGCCATGGAAGCTGAGGGAAAGTGTTCCGGAAGACCATAGTTCCGCGCTCCTGCTGACGGAAGCGGTTCTTCTGGCTGTTGGTAGTGTCCCAAACCCAGTATACGAATAGATATGCAATGTACAGGAACGACAGGAAGTAGCGGTTCCAGTGATAGGTCGCCGGGTCATGGTTGGCAAGGTAGATCGTGCAGTGACAGTAGCTCAATGGTACGCCAGCAAGATTCCAGAAAATCAGCATGAAGCCCCACTTCTCATAGTACATGTCCCTGCCCCAGTATCAGACGCCCAACCGATCATCTTTCCGCAGCTAGCAGATTAAACACTTACCAGGTAGAAACTATGCACTCTTCGCCCTTAGAGCAAGCATTTGCGTAGAGGAAATGCGCCATCAGAAGAAATCCTACTTCTCCAGAGACATAGCCGTAGACTTCGTATTGTCTCGCCGCAGCACCCATGGTGACAAAAAGGAGGATATACCACGGGAGGCGGACTTCGAAGAACATCTTGAAATCCAAGATTCCGAACATCCGAGGGTTAAGTTCAGCGCCCATGAAGAAGTCATAGATGGGGTAGCCGGTCATGCGGTGCTGAGCTCCACGTTTCAAGGCTGAGAAATAGGCAATGAAAGACACTAGGAATCCAGAGAGGATGGCGACACTCATCAACGAGCCAAACTCGTCGATGATAGTATACAGCTTAAAGATACCTGTGAAATGAAGCGCCAGAGCTAGCAAGATACTAGTGTAGAAGGACCACACGGCAGAGCAATAATATGGCAGTTGCTTTCCTCCGAGGTGCGGTAGCGGACGACCCATGACTGTGATTCCGGGGAGGAGCAAGTAACAGGCACCCTCGAAGAGGAAGAATACCCAGTAGATAGTCCAAGCTTTGACAGAGGGGAAAGCACCCTCATAGACCAAGTTCGCCAAGTGTGCGATGAAGTCCAACGTGTTCTGTCCGTTCGAGGCACGAGGGAACTTGCCATCGTAATATACGGCACCAATCCACATGTAGTACATCAGCAGTGGAAACCCAATCATCATAGACAAGACACCCCAGGAGCCGCCAAATTCAAAGTGTCCACTATAATCAATTTTGGGATCCTTGCCCTCTTCCCAACCGTCGACGACTCGAGACTTCTTTTCGGTAGAATTAGTGTGTCCATTAGTCGCAATTGTCTTCGCTTTCTCCTCTGAAATGTTCTCAGACGTAACCTTTCCGGAGGTGCGTCTCCGAGACATGGACTTGGATCTTCTCGTGACATCGGCAGCTGGGTCTGATGTATCGTCTGTGTTTGTCTCTGGTGCCAAAGCGCTGCTGCGGGTAACTCGACGTCCGGGGGTCTCAATGAAGCCGGGGCGCTCCATTTTTCTAGTAACGAAACCAATTGGTCAATAAAACTGCTAAAACTGATGCGCAATAGTCTCTTAGAAAAAGATAGCCCAGTGGCATGGGAAACGAAGCAAAAGGTGTGGCAAGGATCCTCTTGTTTACGGCGTTGTTTTGCCATTCCCCTTTCAACGGCAGAAATTGTACTCACTTGGGGGTTTTCCCCGTCTGGGAGCGTGTGACGGTCATAATGTTGTAACCATATGATGGCTAGAATAGTCAAAATGAATTTCAGGTGATGCGACAGGGCAATTGAGCTGAATTATAGAATTGGTGCGAAAAACGAGGGTAAGGGAGAAGGGGAGCGAGAATGTTTTTGGTGGTCAAATAACAGCAATTCATTACTTAGTTTAATTCGTACCTTGCCGGTAAGATTTTCGGCCATTCATCGTCCATATAGCGCCCCCAGAGTACCCTACTCAGGCACTAAATCCACTGGACTAAACCTGTACGTGATCTAGTCTTGAGTATACTACCCCTCGAGACCACTTTCAAGCTCTTGATTAGGCCTTCCCTTCGCCAAGCTTTGAGAGGCATCAATACCCTACCAAAGACTAACGTATTTCACTACCGAGCGCCGCACTGTGTATCCTATACTAATTCAGCATTTTTTGACCTCAAATATCTCAACCACTATTAGCTTAATTGTAATAATATTATAATAACAGCTATATATATACATTTAGAATATATATTCTTAAAATAATTAGATGAGGACCAATATAAGGTCTATAATATTAGACTAAAATAAATTACGCAAACTTACAATGTAATATATATTACCTAAAGATCTATAGATATATATCCTATATTATTTTAATATTAAGATTGGCCCCATCTCAATATACTAATTTAAAAGTATAAAGTAGATTGGACTAAGTTTGGTCAAGATATTAGAGTCAACAAATGCTGAATTAGCATGGGATATATGGTGCGGCGCTCGGTAGTGAAATACGGTTAACTAATACGGATCTCTTGAATAATACCATACCTGTAAACATGCATCCTTCCGTAGATAATCCCAGTTACTCCAGAATACACGTCACTACTCACTTTCTATATGGAATATGCCCATTATATACAAAAATAGAAAAAGAAAGAAAAAACCAAACTCAGAAAAGGGTTAAATAGGAAAAGGGAAATACTCGTGATCCCAAGATACTCAAGATCAATGCGTAATTGTGCGCAATTGTGTATATCTTTCGACAGGTTCAATCATCGAACTCCTATCCCAGTACAAACACCTCAAAGTCTTCATTCGCATCCTTGGAACAGAGGCAGAGTACATCTAAGGCCAAAACAACAAGCAAAAGGCGTAGACGACGACTGAGAAGGGGAAAATACAATCAGGGGAAAAAAGTCATTAGTTACAGGATGAGAGAGAAAGGTCATGCACCCCTCTGGATGTTGGTTGACATGAGTGTAATTTTCTTGTTCTTTTTCTTCTTTCCGCCACTGGGCGGAGGAGGGTTGTTTTCACTGGCAGCCGTTTGAGCCAGTAATTCGTGTTCCTGTTGGGCCAACAGCTCCTCCTCCCAACCGTCAAGCCAGCCATCGTAGGATGTAGCCCCGGAATGTAAATGTGCTTCCTGCGCGAGCGTTGGAATAGCGGCAGTTCCCCATACGGTGCGAGCCCCTAGAGGGCTGTTTGATGGCGATATAGAAGCTCCAGGATGTGAGGATTGAGGAGGCGATGTAGATGAATGATGGTTTGACGGGCCAGAGCCCGAAGAACCGCTCGCTAAAGGCTCAAAATCGTGGTCAAAGAACGGTGGATCAATGGCACTGACGCTTGACCTCCTGTTGCGGCGAACTGCAGCCCAATGTTTCTCATCCTCTTTCTCAGCCCGGACACGATCTTTTTCTTCGCGGGCCTCTTTTTCCCTGTTTCTCTTCCTTCTCCTCTCAGTTTCTGCGGCAAAGCGCTCTAGGATATCTGGTCCGACTACATCCCTCCAATCACATTCGAGAAAGCTTACTTCACACCCCTGTGGGAGATGACCGAGGTATTTAACTCGCTTTCGGAGCTCATCATCAACGATATGACCGGTGGATATGTGTTCAACTCGAGGGAGAATGGTCGCAGGGAACAGGGAATAGTCACCAAACGCAGCCTTGAGAATGCGAATATCGAGGGGAGAGAGATAGAAATGAGGTAGTGCCTGATAAAAGTAGAATGGGCAGTCAGGAGGATGAGGGCCGTTTGTTTCTCGGGTCCGATCGTACAATATGGACGCCCGAGCGGTGCCAGGATCTCTCCGTTTAGCCTTCGTCCTATGCGTTGGATCGATGTGAACACGCTCTAATGTCCCTGTTGCACAATCCACATCACTCTGTGTGCCTGACGTAGAAGGGCCGGCACCTGACTGCAAAGGTTCTGTAGGGACGATCTTTCCAGATTTTAGGTTATGCCGCGATGTATGCATTGTCGCAACTTCATCCGGCAGTGGCTGAACAGGAATTGGTTCTCTCGGTAGCCCACCGGGTGCAATCTTTTGCGGAATTTCGGGCGGGTTACCAATCCCTTGCACCTTTGTTTTAGCGTCACAGATAGCTGCAATCGCTTTTTGGGTCCACGTAGTCTCGTCACCAAACAAAACCTCATCTTCTGCTTCTTGACGCCGAAGATCTTCTATCTCATTGTCGTACTGGCACACCATATAGTCTTCACTCCCTTTCATGATGCGAGCATAATCGGCAACTTCCGCGACATGGTACCATGGGACATCCTCATCCGGCCCAATACTCTGAGCACCGTCCCGGGGAAGAGCCAAAGTACTTTTCGGTTCTCTTTTCACCAGTCTCAAAACAACGTCACCACCTTCAAAAGGTAGGTCACTTTCTTGACCACGGAACCATCGTACAGGGCGTGTTTCTGTGATATATATAGTATCCCAACAGATAGGGCATTTTTTCCAACGTGCCTTCTTCTCAGGCACTAGGTTTTCTTCATCCGTTGAGTGCATGTATCTAATGATGCAAGGAAGGCAGAATATATGGCCGCAACGAGCCATTCGAGGTGCTACTGGCGTGGATAAGCATATCGGACAGCTGGCAGACTGAGTCTGAGCTGAGACCAACACTTGAAGCACGGAATCCCAGTCCAAGTGGACGTCGGCATTAGCTGCCTGTGCATGGTAACCTCGGTTTGGTGTCACTATAAATCGATAGTTGGCGTGGACATAACGAGCCTTGTCCATGGCATGGTGTCCGGATCCTAGTCCCCAGGACGCATATCGACGGGTGTTTCGTTGTGGGGGATGGTGCTGGGGACGAGGAATAGAGAAATTCATCAGATGAGTGATGGACGTTTGTCCTTTGCGGCTATTTGTCGACCTCATGATGGCCTATACATAATCACACTAGTTAACTGACTTGGGCTAACGCTGAAAAGCTTGGAGATGACTCTGGGATAACCTACAGCCTCCGTATACTCCTCATCATCTAGCCGAGGGCGTCTTTGTCGCTTATGTTGAGATTTTCGTGTCTGGTTGTTCCTAGGAGCGCTTGTAGTCCTCGATGTCAAACCTGCTCCGAAACTACCAGAGCCTCCTGCGCGTCTTTGGGAGCCGTTATCAAACGAGGAGGTGGAGTAGTATGTCGTAGATACCGACTGATTTGGGATATTGACTGCTTTAGAAGGGGTCGGAATCTGGCCAGAATTTGACGACATTTCTCATGTACACCCTCAATTCGAGAAGCGATCCTATCCTACAGAGGGGAGAGGAGTGAGAGCACTGTTGGAAGGATAGCGGAGAATTGAACCTTTCTGTAGACGCCACGATATCAAGAGCTCAAGTAGCAGAAAAATCTAATAATACGCACAGTCATCACAGTGAGGACCCCGAAGGGTAGCACCAGGCGAGGAGAAGCGCCAGTATTCCTGATCCTTCTCCTGACGAAAGCGAGAGAAAGGAGCGCTAATCGTTGGGAGGGGCGAGTATGTCATTTTCTTGGCGGCCAATGGAGCCTCAGGCACGTGCCGTCCGCCCAAAAAAACATCATCTCATCTCAGCTCCAACGAACCCTTTCCCCGTCGTTCTGCTTGCCGCGAGTCTAGTTTCGCCTCCCCCTCCCCAACTGCTGGTTTCTCAGTTATCTATTTGACTTATAGTCAATTATTACTCCAACACCACAAAGGTGTCCTGCATCAGGTTGGTGGCTGTCACCTCTCTTTTTCTAACCAATCGCGCATCTCCTAACTAATGATTCCCTTCAGGCTTCCTACAGGACCACCAGCGCCAAGCTTTAGCCCACGATACTTAATCCTGACTCACGGCCACTGGCCTAGAAGTTAGGATGGCCGCATAGACGGGTGAAAAACCCTCCATCTCCCTAGTTTCCCCCGATTCACATCGCATGGCTCCCATTGAGGCAACGCGTGGCCGAATAGTCGAGGCGATTTCCCGACGTGCCTAGACATGATGAACCCTCATCTGCCCGCGATGCCCCATGGGCAGCCCCCCATGGCCAGTTCTCGACGGCAGCAGGATATTTCTTACTCTACAGGACCCCCCAACATGCGCTCTCCTCCCGCCTATATGGGGTATCCGCCCCATATGAACGGCCATCTCCCTCCCGCCTATACACCACAGCAGTATCCCCACTGGTACCCTGGTTACCCTCAAATGCAACCGCCTCCACGCCCATTTCAGCCGCCATATGCACCAATGTTCGTATCCACCTACCCTCAACCTACTATGGCACCGGCTCCCATACCGCCCCCATCGCTGCCCATGCATGCGAGGACTTCCACTCCCCTTCAATCCACCATGTCTCCTCCCGTTGGACCAGCGCCCGCTCCGATAAATATGCCAACGCAATCTCCTGCTATCCTCCCCATTCGCCCAACACCTAGCCCTATTATGCCGTCATCTTCTGTTTCTGCTCCTGAAAAGGCCCCTATGGCCGTAACACCGATAGAGCCCTTTCGTGCGCCGGTAAGTTACCTTGGTATTTCCTTGTTATACCATTCCGCCTCTGACCATACTCTAGCTCCCTTGGCTCTCTGTCCCAGACCATCCGTTCCCCGCTAGAGTTCCCCGCAGACGTCGGAAAAGCCGCTCCCTTCAATCTTCTGTTTCAGTTGAACTGCCTGCAAAAGAGGCCCCGCAGGATGGTTGTGATAAGACCCAAAGTGCTGCAAAGGGGATAGAGACGCATACCCAGACTCTGTCCGAACCCCAAACACCAACAATGTCTGCCGCACCATCGGTCGCGAATTCGACGCAACCCACTACGCCGTCTTCGGCTGTTCAGACTTCTGTCCGTCCTCAGTCGCAACCTAAAGGATCAAAACCAGCTGTTCCTGTCGTTCCAATTGTCCCCGTTGTTCCGAGTCTAGGTACTACGCGTCAAGGAACAAAGGATGATACCTGCCGCTCGTCCGAAACGCCGAAGGCTGGAGCAGCTGGTGATCTTGCAAGTGGCCCAACTGGGGGAATTTCCACCGAGCGCCCGGCGGAACAAATAGAGAATTTTACTTCTGAAAATTCCACTAAGTCACTCTCCCCTGTTCGTACCGCACCGAAATCCTGGGCGGATCTAGTTCGAGCCAAGAACCAGTCAAAAGGCGCCGGTGCGACCATTGCCCCGTCTGCTGTGTCGAACGGCGTGGTGAAACATAAGAGTGAATCTCTTGCAGATGTTTTGGTGAACATGGGTGATGATGTCTCTCAGTATAGTGACAAAACCGCTTTCCTTGAGCCCAGGGGACTTGTAAATACCGGAAATATGTGCTATATGAACTCTGTACGTTGTGACCATGGCTACAGGTGATTAGTTCCTCTCTAACCTCTAACATAACAGGTTCTTCAAATTTTGGTTTCTTGTGTACCTTTCTATCAATTCTTGGATCATATCGGCCGGCGAGCATCGCATAGTTTTCAGAGTAACTTTCCGATGATTGATGCTTTGTCAGTGCTACCGTGCTATTTGTCTAGTGATCGACGCTAACTTATAACTTTGTAGGATTATGTTTATGAAAGAGTTTCGCGTTATTGATGCTGCTCACTCTGAAGAACAGTTGAGGTTAAGGCTGAAACCTAATGAACTTGAGCAATACGGCGAGGCTTTTACCCCGGAATTTGCTTACCAGGTGATTAGGCAATTACCGCGCTTTCGCGACATGCGTGTACGTTCTCCTTTCTAGATCCAGCGATCATGAGCTAATTGTCCAAAACAAACAGCGAGGTCACCAACAAGATGCTCAAGAGTTCTTGGGCTTCCTTTTGGAGGAGATGCACGAAGAATGTGCTCGCGCCGCAAAGGATGCGCCATCAACAAAGACGGATGGTTCAGCATCTCCGAGCGATGAGCCATTTACAGTAGACGAGGCGTCTGGTGATGGTTGGCTGGAGGTTGGCCATAAACAGAAGCCTGCAGTTACAAGATCTTCTGGCCACATGACTTATGAGTCCCCCATTACCAGGATATTCGGTGGAAAAATCAGGTCAGAATTTAAAGTACCTGGGAACAAAACCTCTGTCACCTTGGAGCCTTACCAACCGTTACAATTGGACATTGGCTCGCCTGAAATCAACAACATTATTGATGCTCTCAAGGGGCTGACGAAGCCTGAGAGCATTCAAGGAGACTTCAACTCTTCGCGCGGTCCCAATGTCACCGCAACAAAGCAGGTCTTCATTGAGAATCTGCCACCTGTTCTTATCCTTCACCTCAAACGCTTCCAATACGACAGTGTCACCAGAGGAACCCAGAAAATTTGGAAGAAGATTGGATACCCTCTTGATTTGGAGATCCCTCGTGAAGTGTTCCCTCCTAACCGGCGCAATATCATGATGGCCCAAGGTGGACTGCCCAAATACAGACTTATTGGCGTTATCTATCACCACGGTAAGAACGCCAGTGGGGGTCATTACACTGTAGATGTTCGTCGCCAGGATGGCCGTGAATGGATACGCCTGGATGACACAGTCATTCGTCGTATCAGAAGCGAGGATGTTGCGGAAGCTGGTGGTGAAGAAGATCCCAAAGTGCTTGCCGCAGCCCTTGAGCAGCACAAGCGTGACACCAACACGAATATCTATGAGCAAATCGATGACCTAGAGCAATCGGATAATGAGAAAGGTTGGAGCCAGGTCAATGGAACAGGCTCCGGTGGCCACTCTAGCAAGAAGTCCACCTCGGCCATTACTAACGGAGCTCCGGCAACACCAAAAGCACCTTCCGGGGCCAGAACACCCATTGGACGATACGGGTCTAAGGACAACAAGGTTGCGTACCTGTTGTTTTACGAGCGCATTGCATGAATCTGAATCAGCATGCAGGGCGAAGGCTCAACACGTTTCTTACGAACAGGATCAAAGCGAAAAACTAGTGTCCAGAAAATCTTGACTTGCATCGCTTCTACTTTATAATCTGCGCTAGCAGATCATTCATTTTTTATTCCATCCACCTTGCTTGGTGGCACGATTGGTCTGGAATTGAATTCATTATTTGCCTTGAAGTTTTTCTTTCTCATTTTTCTTTTATCTTCTGTTATGGTTGTTCATTATAGCAACCTCGATAACCGGCTACCTGACCGAATCCACACACGCTCGCAAAGATGACTTGTCTACCAAAGAGCCCGGGCCTATCTCTTTTGATGGTCATGATCGTCTTCGCAGCTTCTTGAGTGAATGCTTACTGTTCTTTGTTTTTGCAATATTCCTGCTCTCAAGTGTCTCGCAACTATACCTGATTGCCTCTCGCTTTGCCCCTGCATATCCTTCCCCTTCTGTATGTGATGAAATCTCTGAGTGCTGACTCACCCTCCCTTTTTTATATTTGTTTTTCCCTTACTACTTGAGTCTGTCATTGCAGTGCTGTATCTGGTGGACGTTGCACTGATATATACCCAATTTCCTCGCATGGCCCTTGGTTTGCCTCTCAGATGCACGTGGGTCTCTGTTGTGTGAGCGTTGGACGGTATTATAACGACTGCATGAATTTTCTTTGCCATAGATATGTCGATCCAGTGGGTGAGCGGTCGTCTGATGTGATTCTGGTGTTGTCGGCTGCTGCGTCTTGAGACGGGCAAATCAGACAATGGTGGAACGAGATAGATCCTGGCATTTATCGGTTCTCATAGAATGAACCAAGCGTGTCGAACGATGTCTATCTTACCCTTATTTATTTCTTCTCCTTCCCCTTCCATTTACCATATCTCTTATCATTTTCTTGTGCTATATCAATGACGAAGAACGGTGGATGCATTTGACGGTGAAATGCAGTATAACGTGACGGTGTAGCTTGAAAAAAAAAATAGGATGGGATGGAGTTTACGAAGACCTAAAAGCGTTGCTCTAAGGAATATCAAAAACATTTTCTACAAGTGATCTATTGTAGTGACAAGTATTTTGTGGAAGGGAAGAAAGCTCATTATCATTGTTGAGATTAGAATCAAATTTGTACCAAAGTTATGGGCTATCTCGGGTTTTTAATGTACATGGAATACCCAGGAAGGCTTGATTCGTCTCGGAAAATGTAAAGCGGTATGGCAACTATGGCAGAACAAACAACAAGAACCAATATGACGAGATAGACAGAGTGAGAACAAAATCTTGACATTTATAGATGATTTCCAATCTGTACATAATTCACCAAATATATCACGCAAAATCTTTTGTTTGATCAGATCAAGCGAGTATACTCTAAATTATATAGAAACAACGGGCCTAAAACTCAGCACTGAATATACCTACATAATCAGATGGGCCGACCGACAGACTCGCACGGTAGATCAACGACTACTGCCTGGTGGTATGGCGTTGCCTGAGATAGCCTCAGTTTCATTCTCATGGGCTATCAAATTGACGGGTCTTTCAGGCTCCCCTTCATGACCTGTACCCAATTGTTGCGGATCGTCTGAGGACCGTGCTCTTATGACGGATCGGCCTAGCTGCAGAACTGTAGATCGAGGTGCGCCAGGTCGTTTGCGTCCTCGTGAATAGTCTTGTGTCGCAGTGCTGTGAGTATGCTGTACGTTCGTGATTGGGACGGGTTCTATTTCAGCAGTGGAAGTAACACTCAGCGCGTTGGAGATGGTCCGTGGGAGGTGGTATCCCGCTTTCACCAGCGGTATAGAAAGACCATGGACAACCTGTATGTCTGTCAGATAACTTGATTCATCCACGAAGTTAAGGTGCGATTTACGATGCTGCAGATGACCAAAAACCATACGATGATGTCGACCGCCTCGGAAACCGTCTGTGCATCATCTCGGACCTTGCCGTCAACAATAATTCCCTGTAGGAAGTCTCGGCTGACCGACAGATAAAATATGGCGCCGACGCCGATGGGGCCGAAAAACCCAACAAAAGCTGCCTGAAAAAGGTGCTCGATTTGCCCGATATACTTATGCAATGCAAAGATGATCGGCATTCGGCGAACGAGCAGGATCAAGACCCCCAGAAATATTAAGCGATGGATCGGAATGAGATCGTTTTTCAGAAAGGAGGACCATGGACACACTGCACCGAACCACATAAAAATCGCCAAATTCAAAAGCATGTCAATAGTTGGCTGCAGGGAATCATCCATTGTTTCAAGACGGAACCAGTCACTATTGCAATCAGCATAAGGTTAAATCTCAGTTGATTGAGGGCCTTTACTCATGTGTGAAAACGTTTCCTGCCACAAAGCAAGCCAGGAGGTCATCTGTTCCAATCATGCCACAGGTACCAACGATAAACAACTATAGTCGACACTGCATCAGGATTTGCTGGGTACTTTTTCAGGTAGTAGACATACTGCAAGGGCGATAGCGAAGACAAGGAAACTCTCGCGGTCAACATAACGCTTCTCTTCTGCCCAGTGAAGCAATTCCCTAGAAGCCCAGCCAACGGTGATTCCATATACAACGCTTAAGATCACTGTGTAAGCCCATGTCTCATAAAACCACAGACCCATAGCTTTTCCAGCACCTCCGCTATACCCGGTACCTCCCATACCGGTGTATTTGAGAAGATACATTGCGAAAAACAGGAAAGGATAGCCGAGGCCATCATTAGCCCCTGATTCGGCAACTATGATTCTCTGGAGTGGCCGAGGAACATTCTTGTCCGCAAACTTACCTTTGACTATCGAATTAGAAAGCACTGGGTCAGTTGGGGTGATGCATGCGCCAACTACGAGAGCATGGAGAAACTGGAAGTTAGGAACCATGGCCCAAACGACAAGACTGCTACACAGCCACATGGCGGCCATGCCGGGCCCCAGTAGCAGTGATAAGCTCTTCCACTCTATTTGCAAATAGCGCTTCGGAAGTTGGACTCCCGCGAGCACCAGCTGAACACCAAGAACTAATCTAGTGAAGTGCATCGTAATCTCCTCCAAATTTTGTTCTGACCCGAGCGCATATTCCTTGGGCCTTATGAAATTGGCAGCATGAGGAGAAAAGATAACCCCAGCCAGCAATGAGATTACTTGTCGGTGTCAGTAAAATTTATTGTAACGTATACGAAAAGGGACTGACGAACATGCTTCAGACAAATAGAATCTCTCCTTAAACAAGTAGGATACCAAGCCAAAGACGGAGATGAATCCGCCCAACGTCGCGCAGACAATGTTGAAATTGATCAAGGCAAGGGTCGGCATGGTGTCCCTTGCAGAGGAGTGAGGTCCTTGGCCACCGATTGTTCAGAACGCAGATAAGTACGTCTAGGTACCTTATGGTCTGTCCTTGTCACAGATCGAGAATTAAACGAGATGTTGGTTGGGGACACGGGAATATAAGTTGTCCCAGATTTAAAAAGTAGCAAACCTGTGTTATTCAATCATAGTATAAATTGGCTCGGTCGAAGAATTCACTGTCATTTGAGAGGTCCGAATACTTTCACTGGGGAGCCTTGAGAGAAAGCTGTGTGGGCCTGAAAGCCGTACTTGAGAGGTTCAGACTACTGTAAACAAAATCTAGGAGTAAAAGAGGAGGGTAAGAATTTGGAAGACCTTCCGTTAAAATAGAGCGGAGGGGTGGGGAGAATAGGAACCAAACGAATGATAAATTTAAATACTAAGAAAAATAGACGATCACTGTTCGTGTGACCTCTTTGACTTATCCTTAACGGGAAACAGACCAGACCGCTAACAGTCAAGGACTATACTACTAGTAGAGTTTCATGTCAACAGGCTCAAGTTTAAATTATTTCTCTCTTTGGAATCAATTATGTATTTTTATTCCCGGGATATCATCGAGTTAGTCAGTTCCTTACCACTTATAAAGACATAGAAGATAAACAGAGACCTAGCTCCGTAAGGACAGTCAACAAAGTGTAATAGTTATCATCATGCGAGAAAGAGAAAAGAAGAAGGATGAAACAACGCCGTTGGTTTAAATCTCATCATCATCATCATCATCAAACCCTTCGTCAGGGACGCTTTGGATAGCTTCTAACGCTGCTGCCTTTTCCAATACTCCCCGCTGAGCTCCATTAACAGCTAAACGGTCGGCTGCCTCATTACCCGGGTCAGAATTATGCCCTTTCACCCACTCGAATAGTGTTCTGACTTTGAGCTCATTCCGCTCCTCGATCTTGACCCGAATCGATTCAACCAGGTCTTTGTTCTCGACGGGCTTGTTATCCGATGTCTGCCACTTGTTGCGCTGCCATTTGATATACCACAGCGTCACGCATTTTATCGCATACTGGCTATCCGTGAAGATTGTCACGTCGCGATGACGTGGAGCTATGTCAAGGGCTCGAAGGATGGCTGTCAGTTCTGCGCGCTGATTTGTCTGACGACTGCCTTTAAGGGGCTCCGAGACATTTCTACTAGGAAATGTAGCGTCAGTAAGGTGACAAGAAAGAACAGGGGTCGACAGCGGCGAAAATGCAACAAACCTGTTGTCCCCAGGTCCGAAATAAACACCAACTCCCGCGGACGCGAGTGCTCTGCCATTCTTCAGCGAGCTTCCATCCGTATAGATTCGCAACATCCCGGGGGGGCCAGTTGCCTTCGTCTTCGTTGCACATTTCTGCTCCTTCGTTTTGCAGACCACCTTTCCTGTCTTTGGGTCCAAGAGTATGTTTGGGTCGAATCCATCCTCTGCCCCGGGAGGTAACGGGCCATCACCTGGCTCCATCGGGGCACCTTGCTCATCCTTCGGGATTTCACTCAACATCCCTGGTGCCCCAGGAAGCTTCTCTATTTCCGAAGTTTTCCCAACGAACGAAACACCGTTAGATTGACCTAGTCTCACGAAAGCTTCTGCCTCTTCCTTCGTCGAAAATTTCTTATAGCGCGGCCGTGGAAACCCCTTGATTTGTTCCTGAGCCTTTGCCCAGTCCGTATAAACACCCGGTAGTCGACCGCGTTGTATGCCGTAGAATCGAGTCGGTTCCGTATCGAGAACAGTGGCTCCAGGCACCGGCGGAGGTTTTGAGCCCGTGAGGAACGCATTTGCCTCTTCGAGAGTAGGGAACGCTTGAACTGAAACCTCCGTGAGTCAAGCGGGACCTCCAAGTTATATCAATTCAGCATAAAGGCACTTACACACTGCGCCTTTGTACCCAGTTACCTGGGTCAAGCAGTCATTCCATGCGAAGTAAATACCAGGTTGGTATCCTGCTTTGACCGCATAGTATTTCCCTGCGGACCCCCGCTTGCGCTTGGTACCAGCTGTGGACGTCGGGGTGGGTTGTACGCTCGGAGAAGATTTTGTGGCAGGGCCGGGAGTAGGGGATGGAGTGGTGTCTGTCATTACGCTGTGTCGGCTAGCAGGAGTTGAAAGGCAGGGCTTTCGCAGTAGCAGCCCGGATGCTGTTCCAGGGTAAGGAACTAGGCGCGAATGAAATATTCTTGGCAGCGTCAAGCCTCGTGGACCGTTGGAAATCAATGGAGGTATGCAAATTCTCCGCCCGCAGCTCCAACTGGAACTTGAATGTCCCAACTTCGGAGCGATCAAGCAAGCCCAACTGGAATTCGTGATGAAAAGGTGAAGAGGTAAGGAAATTAGATTCAAGTCAGATAACCCTTGTGGGCGAAATGTTAAGACACTGGTGTTAGAGTTAGGTGGATAATTATTGAGATAAGAAGGTAGGGAAGGAGAAGGGGGAAAGGAGGGGGGGAGGGGGATTTGTTTGGCGTAGAGAGATTGGGGGGGGTTTGGAAGGGAAATCATAGTAATTTATAGACAATTTAATTTTTGTTCATTTTGTATGAGACATGCTTCTCAAGTGTCTCGTTTTCTTTCAACAACAACAACAACAACCACCACCTTCTCCTCCTCCTTCCTCTCTGCTGTCCGATTATCAGGATTCCGATTTCATGAGCCAAATAAATAAAGCAAAACAAAACGTTCAAGTCAGATGAATGCTCTCGCACTCTTAATCGTAGACTGGATGTGGCCATGATCTATATGTTTCTCTATTCAAACTGAATCTGGGACGACTTGAACCCTCATTTTGCCAAAATAAATAAATTGCACAAATCGGGAGATATAGTCAAATAAAAAGTCCGCAGTTCGCTTCAGTCACGGTGGCTAGTAAATGTGTAGTGATACGAAGAGAGTCACGCAGTTTTCACCTAAAATATTGAATCAGATCTATTTCTAGTCCCATAGACCATGTTCCTCCTCGCTAATGAGCATACCTAGTTGAGCATGTGGCCGAGCATCTCATAGCGACTTGAATTGTTCAATTGTCCACCATCTCATCAGAGCTGGAGAATGAACCTCCCATGATCGTATAACCTAGTATTGATATTTATCTCTGTCCGAAGTCATTCGCATTGGAAGAGACACAATGTGCTCGGAAATTACTGCACAGATCACACTGAATTCCCTTCAGAATTAAATGGGAAGATACACAGAGCGCAATGTGTCCCTATTTATTGAGGTCATCTAGCTTACACACTTCGCTCAGCCATCAGCTCAGATTATCCCAGCTCACCTACTGGATGAATGACAAGTAGTAGGCTCCTAGCATTGAGAGAAAATGAAAATACTACACACGAGTTGATAGCAGTAAAGTAGGCCAACGTTCGCAACACAAAACGAAAGACGAATGGACACAGCGAAGGAGTGAATAAGAACGAGCCCTCATTCTGCCATAACTCAAAACAGTCAACAATCATACTGTTATTTGATAGTATTATTAGAAGCCCTTGGAATTTTCCTTCTAAATGATCACTTTCTAATCCTCTCTCAACAATTGTCAATATTTCTGCGTACACACCACGATAACCTGAAAGTCTCTTTATCTACTCGTCCTAACTCCTGTAGAGGAATTATAGGATCAAGTATTTAAGTGAGATCAGTTTATCTGACTGCTTCTTACAGTAACACTTAGACAGTTGCCATCTAAAGAGGATATGCAATCTATCAGGTTCATAGCACCTCTTGGAACTCGGGTACACGCCAGCCTTGGACCCTATTTCACAGAACTACAACCACCCCAGGGCGGCAGCAAGTAGGTTCAGTATCTTGCCCTTGGTTAGTGCTCCTTGGGGATAGCCATTTTCAACCTTCCGTGCCGTCAGACAAGAGGTACAAAGATTCTCGCGATGCAAACTAACCTGGTTACCTATACTTAGTAATTGTGGCAACAGTGGGCAAAATGAGTGATACCGACGCAGAACCCACTTACTGCTATCCATCTCGTTCAGCAAGGACATCATTCAATATCACCCGCGAGCTGCACGTTGCATGTCTACTGGATGACGCTGACAGGGTCACCGAGTTGCTCGCGATAGGAGCTGATCGTGATGCTGTTAGCCACGCCGGGTATTCTGCCCTTGACGTTGCGGATCTGCTGAATCGAGTGAGCATTGTGAAACGCCTTCTGGCGCATGTGAATATCCATGAGACCGGGATGTTGGAGCTCATGTATGCCATTCGTCAGGGTAGATCCACTGTTGTGCGAGCTTTGCTGGAGATGGGCCTTAATGACCAGCTTCAAGACGAAGCGCTATTTCGTGGTGTTTTCCTCATGGCGTGCTATATCGGAACCACATTTGTCATTAATGCGCTGGTTAAATATGGCCCAGGTCTCTACGTCTCCCCTTTCGAAGATATGTTTGTGCATGTTGCCATGTTTCTAAACAATATCGAAGTCGCTGATACTATTCGTGATATCGCTGACACCGAACGACGCAACATGTTCAGAGATGTGGAGGTTTGTGGTCTAAGAAGAACCCGAGAGAGGCCAGAGTCTGAGCAACACTGACTATGGTTTAGGCATACATGCTTCCCGATTCGTACTTTGATGTGATCGAGGATGCCGACGAGATTTTTTCTGACTTCCTGAAAGACCCCAACTCACCCGACTTTGATGTATACGTTGAACATGATTAGTAGTTGTTGATCGGTTGGTGATCTTGCTCAGCTCGCCTGCTCGAAGTGGGATATCTGTAAGGAAAAATTTATTAAACCCCTCTTCATGTGGCCATGTTTGATTGGTGCTAGGGTGGAATAATTGGCTACTAAGACCCATCAAGAATTCTTTACTATGAAATATGCCCTAGTGAGATACTCTTGATGTGTATTCACCTCGGAGAAACTGCTGCGTTCGGGGGTTACCTAGCACACTACAAGAGTTGTATAAGGGCGGAATACGAAATACAAGGGAAGACCTGGCTTCAGATAGTCACTGGATACAGTCCCTGGATATGCAGAATGCCGATATTGTCTAGGTTTTCAGGCCTGCATTAGACCGTGAAAGCGTGTATGTGAATAGTTAGTCCAAAGCGTAGGCGCTTGCCACTTCTTAATCGTCATTCATTCGTGTAGTGATTTCAGTTTGTCTAGGACAATCTTAGTGGGACAGGGAAAACAAAGAACACCGGTAAGAAGAGTGATGACATCGCAGGTGTCGAGCTTCAAGAATGGTACGATCTATGGAAGTAGAAAAGAAGTTATTCTATCATGGATCCATGGCAGCCAGGTGGAGCAATCACTGGATGGATGGGTTCATGATTTATACGAGGTATCATTGCCAGACCGGGACGCCGACCGAATTTATTTATAGATGATGAGTCATGTACTGCCCGAGTTTAAACAAAATGGCGAATGAAGTCTCAGAATAATAAAGTGATCCCCACTATATAATACAAGTAAACACACACAATTGCTACTATTATCCTTCGCTCTAGGATCAGATTTATAGACAAATTTAATTGCGTGACTGAAGAGGCCCGTATCTTAATTGCGCCCTGTTTAGATCTCGCTCAACATCAACCATGGCCGACAACCAAGTCACCCCAGATTCTATACTATCAGAGCTTTCGACGACTCCGTATGCCTGCTCATCTGTCCAGCAGTTGAGCGGCGGGACCGCCAACTTCGTCTTCCGTGGCACTCTGCGTCGCCCACTCCCAGATGGAGCCACAACGGTTGTCATAAAGCATACAGAAGACTATCTAGCATCCAATCGAGATTTCATATTATCCGCCGAACGCTGTGTAACGTCCTCTACAACTGCATAAATGCATGAAACGATAGGGAGAATCCTGGCTAATGCTTCAACGTTTAGCTCATTGAAGAGTCCATTCTGAAATCTCTGGACAATTTCCCTAATACGAAGGTTATGTACAATGAAGGCACGAGAAGTCAATTCACAGTAAAGACACCCCGCCTCTACTCATTCAACCCGTCCACCAATACTCAGATCATGGAAGACATTCCAGATGCCGTTGATTTAAAATCGTTCTTTGTTTCACTCAGTTCGGCCCGAAGTGTGTCCCGTGAGTGGGCTGTGTCCCTCGGCCGGGCATTGGGGTTGTGGCTGGGTTCTTTTCATTCATGGACCAAGGAAGCGTCGCAGACTGATGTGGCGTTGGAGATGGAAAAGAACTCTCTCTTCCGGGATTTGAAGTTCAGCATTAACTATGGCAACCTTGTGAAAATGGTGAATAAGTACCCTAAGTTGTTGGAGGGGAGTCGGAATGTTTTTGAGCAAGTCAGAGATATGGCAGAGGGCGAATCAGGGAGGAAAGATGGAGAGGGATTTGGGGTAATTCATGGCGATTTCTGGTCTGGAAAGTAAGTATCACTACACCCTTCCCCATTCCGGGGGCTAGGTGGGAGACACTCAAATAGTTACTAACGATGTCAGTGTCCTACTCCCCAAAACTCCGTTCGACACTCAATACTCCAACACACCTCTGTTCATCATCGACTGGGAGCTCGCTCAATGTGGTTCTCGGGCTCTTGATCTGGGCCAAATGATGGCCGAGTTGTACGAGCTAAAACACTTCAAAGATATCGATGCCGGAGTGTGGATTATTCAAGGTATCGCAGAAGGTTATCCTACGTTGAGTGAAGGAATGGCCTTCCGGACGTTGATCCATGTAGGGACGCATTTGATCTGTTGGGGCAGTACGATCACTGGCTGGGGAACGTCCGAGCAAGTTGCTGATGTGGTAAGACTTGGAAGGGATCTGATTGTTAAAGCCTGGGAGAAAGATAAGCGTTGGTTCGAGGGGGAAGCTTGGGAGTGTTTGTTTAAGAATTAGGGAAGGCCGGTGATTGATTACTCAATCTATATGACAGAGAGGGAACCCATTGAAGGCGCCTAAACATGGAGCCCCAACTCAGGACATGAAATTTACATATAGTTATGTATGATTTTTACTGTATCCCATCCTTACAAGAAGAAAGATTCCTTCAATAAAAATGCGTACGTAGTATGTATGTTATAACACCAATCATATGCTACATTGTCTATAATCTTGCGCGGAAAGCGTCCCGTATGGATTCTAAACCCGATGGGCCATCGTAGACCTGTTGTTCAAGAAGACGGGTATTGATCTGCAAAGAGTAAGTATCGGAGCAGATTCATTGAGGAACATATCTGCAAACAGAACAGCAAACGAAGGAGCCTTACATGTTGGGGTCCTAGTTTATCCACAGTTTCGACGCCAAGTAACCGCATGCATGTCTTGCTCTCATCGGCCAGAACTATATATCAATCAGTAATTTGCTTCTCAGATACTGGGGTTCAAACGTACTCTGCAGGGTACGCTTAACACCGTCAACACCGCCAGCTCCCAAGCCCCACAGTGCAGGTCGCCCAATGCCCACGGCCTTCGCCCCCAGGCATAGGGCTTTCACAACATCCGTACCACGCCGGATTCCGCCATCAACCCAGACCTCTAGCCTATCGAACACTTCAGGGCAGTATTTTCTGATTTCCATCAACGTATGCACTGCTGGGGGAGCAGTGTCGAGCGCACGTCCACCGTGATTCGAGAGAATGATTCCTTTGACCTGAGGGGTGTGGAGAGAGGCAATATATGCATCCTCATGCGTCTGTAGGCCTTTCAGGATGATTGGTAGATCGGTACGCTCGGCCAACCATGGTAAAGTTTCTCTCCAGGTTAGTGAGGGATCTGTTCCGGCAAAGAGTTGCTTTCCAACACCGCCAGGGGATTGATTAATTCGAGAGGTTTCGTCTTCAGCACTACCCGCCGTTTTCGCAGCGCTCGGAACTGGCGCTGACGCACCGACAGCATTGCCCCTCTCGTCATCCTCTCTCTTGCCAGGAACTGGGGCATCCAAGGTCAGAACAATGAATTTGATCTGCTTGAGCTCGTTTATTCGGGCCAGCATCGCCTCGCTCTTCTTGCGATCAATTTGGACATAAATCTGCCACCCAAATACTTGACCAGGAGGAGCATCTTTTATAATTTGCTCTGGTGTCATAGATGCATTGTTCGAGATAATCTGCATAGCTCCAAAGCTGCGGCAAGCTTCGGCGATGCCCACCTCACCCGCCGGATGGCCCAACCGAGCCATCGCAGCAGGAGACACATAGATTGGCATTGCTAGCTTATGCCCCAATAACGTGGTATTCAGGTCGCATCGCGTACAGTCAATGAAAACCCGTGGCCGTAAGAGAATTGAGCGGTAAACTTCCGTATTGAAATTCTTGGTGATTTTATCATCCGAGGCCGAATAATAGTAGGCCCACGCCTTCTTGCTCACGTTCTTAGTGGCTGCCTGTTCGATATCGTCCATGTTGAGGAGGGACTCCATTGAGGGTGGGCCCTCCGTCTCGCCACTTGAAGAGGGCGCTGGCTCTGCCTCTATCTTCGGAAGTGTTTCTGGGTTGACGGTTCCGAGCATCGCTTCTGGTTTAAGATTTTCTTCTAGTATGCCTGGCGGGTGGATAGGGTCGTATTCTTCGGTCGCATCCTTTCCAGCGAGTTTCAAAATGATCTTGGAACCACCAGGGTGCTCGGGGAGAAAGTCGGTGACCTTATATCATTAATTATGATGAATCATTTTGAGGTCAAACACATTTAGGGCTTAACCATACATCGTATACGTTTCCATACAGAACTACCCAGCAACTGTCTGGCCTATTGTGTTTTGCCACTGGATGTTTGGTCACCAGTCAGTATATCAGGCGGTTAACCGTTGAGGTTGGAGCGGATAAAAGATATCATACCTTCCGCCGCATCGAACACTTTGGCCATTTTGCGGGATCAATTACGGCTGTCTTTACAATTGACCCGGCGAATGGAGATGTGATGATAAAGATAGGAAAGAATAGCGCAAGAGAGAAGGAGAAGAGGAAAGAAGGTTAGAAACTGGATTGCCAATCCATGCGCCCAACCGCTTGACAACAGGCTAGTAGTCTGCTGCTGTCAGCCCCATTTAATGACCGAGGACGGCATAAATAGGCTTATCGGAGTTGACTCCGACCAGGAGCCGTGTGGGGAAATAGGAACCAAAATTGGAGACTGACGACGAAGTATGCAAAGCGGCTATTGATATTGCTACATTCAGCAATCGTGGTAGCCGATGGGCCCGCTATTCGTGGAGGATTAGAGAACACCGCCCGTTTATTGGTGGAGAAATACGTTTGGAGTTCAATGAGTTATGGCCTCTGTCTTTTTGACCTTTCAGTCGCAAGATCTTCGCTCTACCCAAAATACTAGATTCAGAATCCTGAACGGTAGAAAAGAATAGCCTATCTATGTAGTACTCTGGTATCATTAATGTCGTTGGATCAGCTGCCCAACCCCCGCACGTGGAGTCTATTTTAGGCATAGCGTAGCTGATGTTTTTTCCCCGCGCGAGATCTTTCTCTTTCGGAAGTCAACTTCCATCACGTATTTTGGGACGAAAGCTTCCTAATCTTAACGCTACAACGTGGATCGAGCCTCCCGGCTAGGTATCCTACTTACCTGGTTATACCGTATTATCACTGAATCATAGAGTTGAGTAATACGGGAAGCACGCGCATAAATAAAACGTCGCTATGTTCGAGGTGCGTTTGGTGACTTGGAGTTACGCTCCTCTTCCTTCCCTATTGTTTATAACTCGGCTCGCACGTTGTGTTACTCCCTGTCTAATATGGCCTGGTCTAACTATCATCAGCGCCGTGCCGCTGATCGATATCGCCTGCGCATGCACCGGGCTCGCACAGTTGCGCTAACGACCGACGAGATCGTCGAAGTACGGGCAGCTCAGCGAACCTTTGAAGGAGCCTATGTCCGCACAGCGCTATCCCAATTTTCATTTGCCCTCGTAGTGCTGAAAATCTTTACTAGCGAGTTTTACAGCACGGGAGCTCTGTTTGCAATCTATGGCACCGGTGTGCTCATCATTGGTCTCTTCCGCCGCCAACAAGGGAATCGGCAGTTTTTCTCGGAGGTGGGAGAAGATGGAGTCCACCGACAGAAGTTTAGAACTAGCGGGAATGCAGTGGTGGTACTAACAGCTCTAAGTGTCGCCGCATACGCTACCCTGATTGCTCTCACTCTCAGGCTAGATAATTAGATGTCAGATCAAAAGCGTCCAAGGAGCTAGAAGCCCAGCAAGTTTTATGATATCTTGGGCAGTGTGATAGCGCCCCCCTGCGTATCCGCCAAGCGCCAAGAACCCGGCGGAATGCAACCGTCCTTTCATTCTTATGCCTGACTGGATAAGTATTCATTCCTGTGTGAGTAGTCAAAAGCCGAGAGAAATGAGGATTGCGGGAATCATGGGACAGTTGGGCTCACGGCGAATGATGCCAAGCGCCAAACTGATATGCAACAGTGGTTGCGTGTACCACAAGAGTGCAGCCCGGCGGATTACAGCCGTGTTACACAAGACACAGTACAGTACTTTAGACTATATGGCCTGCAATAGCACCTATCAACATGCAAGGCTGATTGATGGTTGTAGGTGATTATGATGTGGAGTTTAAAAAACCAGCTGCAAGGAGAGAGACACACGTCAACCGAATGAGTTTGATGCAGGGTAATGTGGAAAAAATGGCCCTTGACGAACACTGCGGTTGCATTCTGTGACATTAGTCAAATATAGGATTCCCGGCGTTTCCGTCCCTTCATTGCAAAAGCTCGGACACGCTGGTCCAAAGTGGATCGATTAGCGGGCTAGTATGTACTAGGTAGTACTATCTACTCTCATGTTCGTCTGCACCCTTACCTAGGCCAAGCATTCTTGCATTTTTAATGTTTCCCAGCCAAGATACGTTTGGCTTTAATTACTTTATAGATCCGGCGAGATAAATGAGACAAGGTAAAAATAAATTAAAATAAAAATAAAAAAACTAATTTATTTATGTCTTTAAATTTGAAATTTGAAATCTTTATCCTGGGACATGATTACTTATACCGGCGGTGACCACAAGTTCATACAGGGAGGACACGTTCTTGACATCATGTTTCCATAGATCAACACTTGTGGGAAGATCCACCATTTTCTTCTTTTTTGTGTACTATAACCAAACAGTGACTTCATAGGTTGTAAGCTGAGAAACTTTTATACTTGGGGATTCTTCACATTCCTGTATTATATTCACTTGGTGTTATTAGTTATTATTGTTACTATTATTTTTCTTTCCCATTGACAGGACAAGAAACCTGACATTGATCTTATCTTTGTTCACTTGGCGGATTGTTGATTTATTTATTCTCTTTCAATCGAGTGGCGTTGGAAAAGCGGGAAAAGGCAAAACGAAAGAAACAGGGTTTTTGCCTTCTTTTCCTTTCTTTACTTTTTATTTTACTCTCTTTCTCTCATCATTGGAACGGATTGGTATTCTTGTCTTCCTTAAGAGTACCAACTTGTATGTTTGCTCAACAAACAGTGACGTTTAGTCTCTTGACTCATCCCGCCGCCCACCGGCATCTCCGCTCTTCAATTTTTTTTTTTTTCAACCTTCTACGCCCCTCATTCTCGAACTTCTGGAATCTAAACAGGAAGTTGATTGACTCAAAGAATCGATCACATCTGATCCTGGACAGAAACCTGTACTCCTGAGGGTGAAGACCCGGAACCCTACCTAAGACCGCGATACTTTATTGACTATTACTAACATACACCTGAGCTGGCTGCATCCCCTGCGCCACTGGCGGGGATGTCTCAACAACACACCAATATTGCACGCTCGGCGATCATGACAAGCGCGTCAACGCCCGAATCTTCGCACAATCGTGTAGTAGATAGTCCCGACGGGGTTTTGTCGAACGGGAATTCCAGGCCCGGGATCGGGAAAGATGCGAATCTTATGCCTCCGGCAAAGACACTGGTCGGAAGAGCGCTAGGAAACGACCTGCATTCCGATGCCCACAGAGGCTCACAGGCATCCAAGGATGGTGTCGGGTTCGCCCTAACTGACACTCCGGTTTCAACCGCCCCTTCGTCTCCACAGTTGTATGTTCCCTTTTTCCTTTTCCCTCGCTCGTTGGTTGTCTGTTATCGTCTAGATCTGGAGTCACAGACGTGAGCAATTTTGGATTGCCCTCAAATCTCCCTCAGTATCGATCGACCGTTGTTCCTCCCGGCAATATCGGCTGAGGCTTCAACACCGTTGTTTGGTTCGTGTGCTTGTTTATTGTTTTTTTTAATTCATTGTCTTCAAAATCAATCGTGTTATCGGTTTTGTTTTATTTCAGTTTAATACGTTGATGCTAATGTCGTCGCCAGCAATGCTAATAACACACCAACTACGACCTCGTCGACCCCCGGCCGAGTTCGTGCCACCACACTTGATATTCCAGGTCTCACCAAATCTAAGGTGTCTCCCGATGGCCGCATTGCTCAACGTGATGTCGGCTCCAAGCTAGTCATCGTGATGGTCGGCCTCCCTGCACGGGGAAAAAGCTATGTGACCAAGAAGTTGGCCCGGTACCTGAACTGGTTGCAACATGATACCGAAATATTCAACGTCGGAGAACGTCGTCGCGTTGCTGCTGGGAAGTCCCCATCACCCCCTGGAAGACACAGGAACCATAGAACGAGTTCGATCCAGAAGGATCTCGTCGATTCGGTGCGTCGCCTGAGCGTCAGCGTTGGTGCCATGAATGCCTCCAGAAAGAATACCATCCCTTCTGAGGCCGTGCTCTCACCTCCTGAGGTCCCTGAGGCTACGGCTTCCCCTCCCGAACTCGAGAACTCCCTTCCGCCGCCGGTTGTCCCCACGAAGATCCTCGTCAACGGAAAGGAGGAAGAGCCTCCTTCAAGGCAGAACGGAACCACCATTGTGCCGCCGTTCAACGCGTCGCTAGAAGACCAACAGGCCATGCAAGAAGCTTCCCCTGAGCCGCTTGACCAGTCTGCAAGCTTCTTCGACCCCAAAAATCAGTTGGCGGTGAAGCTAAGGGAGCAGGTGGCCTTAGACACCTTAGACGAGCTCTTAGATTATATCCTCGACAGGGGTGGTAGCGTTGGTATCCTCGACGCGACTAACAGTACGATGGAGCGCCGCAAAGCGGTTGTGGATCATGTTCGCAAACGTGCTGGCCCCGAGCTCGGTATTCTGTTCCTTGAAAGCAGTTGCGTGGACCCAGAGCTACTAGAGGCCAACATGCGGTTGAAGTTGTCGGGCCCGGACTACAAAGGCCAGGACCCGGTGAAAGCACTGGAAGATTTTAAGCGGCGTGTCGCATTATACGAGAAATCCTACGTGCCCCTCGGTGAATACGAGGAAAGGAATAATATGGCTTATATTAGAATGATTGACGTGGGTCGCAAGGTTGTGTCGCATCAGACTCATGGTTTCCTCTCGTCTCAAGTGGTGTACTACCTCCTCAACTTCAACCTCTCCCCCCGGCAAATCTGGATCACTAGGCACGGCGAGAGCAAGGATAACCAGGCGGGCCGGATCGGTGGTGACTCGCAACTCAGCGAGAACGGTCACCGTTATGCAAAAGCGCTCACTCAGTTTATAGATCATCAGCGAAACGAGTGGGAAATGAACCAAAGACAGAAGGAGATGATGCAAAAGTTCCCGCCGCGCCCAGGTGATAGCACCCCACCCAACCCTTCATATATCCCTAGTGACCGGCCCCGCAATTTCTGCGTGTGGTCCTCCATGATGCAGCGTGCGATTTCAACCGTGGAGTCTTTCAACGAAGATGAGTACGATGTCAAGCAAATGAAGATGCTTGACGAGCTTCATGCGGGAAAGATGGAGGGCATGACATATGATGAGATCCGTGAAAAGTTTCCTGATGATTATGCGGCTCGCAAACGAGATAAGCTATACTACAGATATCCAGGGCCCGGCGGCGAAGGGTACCTAGATGTCATCAACCGGCTTAGAGCAGTGATCGTCGAGGTGGAGCGAATGACCGATCATGTTTTGTTAGTCACTCACCGAGCTGTGGCTCGTGTTCTTCTGGCTTACTTCAAGGGTCTCAAATGCGACGAGGTGACCGACCTGGATGTGCCCCTAGGAATGTTGTATATGCTTGAGCCCAAGCCATATGGGGTTGAATTCAAAGCCTATCGCTACAATCCGAGTACCGACTGGTTTGATTATATTCCCAATTTCGAACTGCGCCAGACCAACACAAGTTAGATCGTGACTTCCGTTTCAGATATAGACGGGATATGATCTCCATCTTTAGAAGCTTGTACTGATCCGTGCCGTATCTCCGGCGTTGTTATGACTTGCCTATGAATATTTGCTTCTGGTGTTATGGTTATTCTGGTGTTAACAAGTCTTGCCCTGTTATGTATCCAACATATGTAATGTTAAGAAATTCCCTTCTTTTTGCTCTATTTTTCTTCCCCACCCTTTAACTTTTTCTTTCGTGTTGTGCTTTGCTCGGAGGGGCGTACCCAGGATGGATGGAACCCTTACTCATAAATTTGCTTGTGGTTTGTTGTGGTTTAGTCTGTTTGCATGGCATTGCATTGGCGTTGATGTGAAGTTTTTGCACACATCTCCACAGAGTGTTTATGCAGAGCCTGTGCTCTACAGACGCAATAGCAGAAAAGTGGACGATATGATCTACTCTTCTTCTTTTCTCTCATACCTGTGTCTACGGTTGATCTCCATATAGCAATCCAGTGGTTTTCTTATCGATAATAATCGTCCTTGACTTAAGATTGCTGCTTCACCTGCTCAAAAGCCTTCAAAAACGCCGAGGGATCTTCAGCCCCTCCAATAGCATACTGCCCTTGGATGGTGTAATAAGGTACCCCAGTAACCAACTGCCCCTGAGCTCGACCAGCCTCTGCATCAACCTCCTGCCCTCCCTCGTCCGACTCCAGAACTCTCTCCACTTCACTGTGGTCTAACCCGGCCGCAACCGCAGCCTCCAGAAGTATCTTTCGATCCGTGATATTTCCCCCCTCCTCGAAGTACAACCGGAACAGATTCTCGACGACCCGCGTCTGCAAGCCGCCAATTACACCCCGTTCAATTGTCATGGAAGGGCCAGCTTCCTTCTCTTTCTGTCCGGCATACCAAATCAACCGATGGGAATCCCGCGTGTTTCCTACCATACCGGAGAATCTGAACGCTATCCCTTCCCGCCGTCCAACCTCGCACATTTGGGTGTAGAGCTGCGAGAAGCCATCTTCGCCAAACCGCCTGATGTAATACTCCCTCTTGTCTCGGCCTGGATATGGCGGGCTGTCGGGTCGCAGGTAGTAGGCGTGCCAGGTAAGGGTGAAAGTGTCTGCAGGATGGATGGATTTATGGGTTGTGATGGCGCGGGACAGACGGCGTAAGCCTACGTAGCACCACTGGGCGAAGTGTTAGACATACGTCTTGCTTGAAAGAAAGGGAAGGGCGTTTCCTTACCGGACAGACGCTATCCGAGATTATCTGGATGTTAAAGTTCGTCATATCAGCGGTAGATACAGGTGTCCTAATTATGAATGAATTGGTTCAAATGTATTTAGTAGACCCTAGATTGTTGATAGGACCTGGGTATGTCTATGGTCCTTTATTTTTTATTTTTTGCTTCTATGATTAGTTAGCTAGTTAAATATACTTGATTTGTCAGCAAACAATAAAAAGTTGAAATGAAGTTCTGGGATACAAATGGATTAGTTATGTTATAGTCGGTTGTATTTGTCATTGGGCTGCTGTCTGGTATAATTATGCATTTTCTCGACCTAATGAATGACATCATCAAAGGAACAATCATCGAAAGAATGTCATCTAAGGAAATCGATAAGCCATACATACATATACACATACTTCATTCGTATTTTTGGATACTATATAGACTTCTTTCCCCTCTGTGAAGATCCCCCATCTACGTAAATGTTCTCATATACAACAAAATCTCACATGAGTATTAACCCCTTTCCTCGCTGTCATGATACAATCTGGCTTTTTCTCCATGTCTTCATCCTCAACATCCCTCCCAGTCGACTCGTTCTCTTTCCCGCATTCGCTGGTTCGGCCTGGTTTTTAACTCTGGCCTCGTTGCTGTTGACATGGTTCGCCCGCGGAATGCCTCAATATCCGGGACAGAGTAACCCGCATGTTGCGTTCGTAGCGTCTAACCCCTCCCTCTATCCCTGGTCTGATGGTTGCGTATGACCGATTAACGGGAGGTAGATTCATCTCAGACATTGCCTCTTTCGAGCTGAAACCGCTTTTTCTAGTGGGCTCTTCCATAACAGCCGTGGGATTCCTCATCACCGTCGCTACTGTTCATGTAGTGCGCTATGAACCGGGGTTCGCCTTGGTAAAGCGTCCTTTGCTTGATAATCGTAACCATAATGGAGGTCATAATTATGTTGAAAATAGCAACTTAAACTATGACGACCCAGACGACAATCAATCCCCGAGCGAGGACGAAGAGGACTATGAAACTACGAGAACCTTGAGGCTTATCTCTCTGCTATCAATCTTCGCCGCCAGTGTGGCCAGCATGGCCCTAATCTTACTGGCCGTCATGGACACCTTTCGGTACAAGAGTGCGCACCATGTATTCCTTCAGGTTTGTTTCGCTGGCATGGCTATACAATCTGCCTGCACTGCTATCGTGTATTCAAACGAGGTGCTCGGGTTCGTGTCGTATGTGTATCATCTGGGCATATGGCAACATGATTGGGGGAAGCGAAGTTTACGTGTGAGAGTGTTGTATGTGTACTCTCTCCTGTCCCTTTGCTCAGCCTCCCTGTTCGCTGTACATCCCTCTTACCTTCAACCACCATGGGCAAGAACTGATTCTCCGTACCAGTGCCTCCCTCTCAACCGCCTTGATCCTTATAGAGGTGTTCCTCGGAGTCGCTTTTATCTCCCTAACCGTCCCTGAGGAAACGACAAGCTACCAAAAGGCAGGGATCCTTGAATGGATCATCGCGTTCTTGGGAACTATGTACCTTTGGCTATTTTGTGGATTCCTTGATCGGTAAGAACTTTCGTCATTTAAGGCTTCATATCATTCATTAAACATGGAGGCAGGACCAATTTCGACGGCTACGTCCCAAGCGCGCTTTACAGGCCCCCGATCCAAAGGAAAGATCTTCAATCATCCGATGCGTTGCAAAGTCCAATACAGGATTTGGATCCTGAGCGCACCCCGCTAGTGGGGAGGCCCAGGGGTCGGAAATACACGTGAATCCTCCATCTACTTTAATATGTATTCAAGTTTGTGTTTTACATTAGACCTGAACAAGTTTGTTCATGAACAAAATTTGGCCAGTTCGAGGGAAGCACCACCGGTATATCCGTTGAACAACATTGTATCCCATGCGAGTGTACATACGTAACCTTGCGAACGAGGTAGGCAAGCAGACAGCGACAGCGCCGTTTTGTAGGCTACCTTGGCTAAGTAATCGATGCTCTCCTAGCTATTTATTGCTATTAGTATTTGACACCTTCGGGTAGCATCAACCGTCATTCACTCATTCATTCTTTCTTGAACATTTCATTGTTAGAATCCTTGTGCAACAAGGTATACGACACACATCAAATACACAAATGCTTGTGTTCATTTCCAAATCAAGCAGCCGAATTGTCGTTAAGAGTGAGATCAAAAAAAGCAAGAAAGTCCCAAGCTTTGGTTTTCCAGCTGACAGCAGGTCGGCTGTGAATAGAACGTTCCCGGTAGGATAGCAAACTTCAAAGTGCATAGCCACCTTGGTTGACCAGGGCAGGCATATCGGGATGGGAAGACTGATCCTGTCTAAGCTTCTCCAAGGTATTGAAATACTGAGTCGTGAGTTAGCTACTGGGATGAACGACATCGCAATCCACAAGGTCTTACCTTAAAGGTAAAGTTCAATATAAGGGCTACAGCCAATCCGATGCACACAACAATAGGTCCAAAAGTATTGTCCAAATCCCGCCCGCTTCGTTGTCGGATAAGTCGAGACCGCTTCTCATACATGTACCACCCCCAAGCGGCGGAAAAGATCGCAAAACACGTATAGACGATAGCAAGGACACGTGCTATGTCATTGCTTTTACCCGCAGCGTTGTAGAGACCTAGGGATAGCGAAGAAAGAAGAATACTGACGTGAAGCCATTTAATGAAGGTCCTCTGGTTGGCAAGCCACACTTTGCTTTCTACCTTGACTGGCCCAGAATCCTTGATCCATGTGCCTGGCTCCCGTACACCTGGCGGTAAAGCAACCGAAGCCTGGTGCGCACGATTGGCACGTGAAATGGAAAAAGTTGGGAACAGCGCAGCCAGGCGGGACACAGTGACCGGCCGTTCTTCCTGCTCGGGCAGTTCCGATGCTTCGTGAGATACACCCTCTGAGGCAGACGGCCTAGAGGATGGTGCTGCATGTGATGATTGCCGCTGTCGTGACGAGCTTTCAACGTCCGGTAACCTAGAGACGGGTGATCCTACTAAGGGCTTTACAGACGGACTCGCCCTGTTGCCAAGGAAACTTCCAACTGCCATGTCATCTTCGGCCCGTTTGGCAATCCTTTCTTGCTCTTGCTGGAACGCAGTCTCTGGGTCCCGGCGGATGTCATTTTCCATTTCACCAAGCCAGAAAGGAAAGCTGTTGACGTGGTCTTCAAAAAGCTGCGCAACACCGTGGACAAATTTAGAAAATCGTGGGGCCTCCTTCACAAGGTGAGAAACCATCAGGTCATTAACCCATTCCGCCTTATGTGCTGACTCTCCCCTCAGCTTTATTTCCAGCAACCCATATGGGAAACGCGCAATTTCACCGGTTCGGATGGTGCTGAAGGGGTATTCCATGCCGGTATCATCGATATCTGTGCGGTGCCATTCATTCTGGTCACGACAGGGACGCTCTTCGTCCAAAGAGTCTTCCCGGATCAATGCCAAGTTAGTATCGAGAGAGATGCGGATTCGATCATCACCAGGAATTTGGAAAGCCGTGCGAGTATAGTTTGCTCGGAGCATGGGTTGCACCTGGTGCTCCTTGATGAATGATTGCAATTCGTCTACATCTCTCTTAAGGGACTCTGCCTGTTGCGATTCCCCATTGCCCATATCTGTCATCCGGTGAAGCTTTTTGTCGAATCGATATTCGCCGTCCAGAAACTCTTTCACATGCTTCTGTTTCAGTTGCACCTTCACCTCTTTACTGCGGTCGTCATCTGTAACGACCTTCTTCTCCAAGAAAATAGCAGGTTTGTCTTTTAGATTTCCGGTCCATCGAATCCTCAAAGAGCTGGCCTCTGGTGCCCGGGCGACCTTTTGAGTATAGAGGTCGAACTGCGGAGTGTCAAAGTATAGCGAGGTAATCGTAGGATCGTCCGGAAGAGTTTCTAATTCCTTGGAAGTGCCAGGATTATAGATAAGGACTGGCAATCGTCGAAGAATGTAAGTTTTGACTTCCAAGATGTTATCAGAATGCACCCAGAATTTGAATGATGAATAGGAGTCTTGACCGAATCGAGGCATCTCAGTATCCTTGGACTCAACAACACCCTGACTCAATATTTCGCGAACAAAGGAATACATCACTGACAATCTGCGAACTAGGGGTGAATAATCTTCCGAGTTAAATGGCAACTGTGATAACCGGACTTGGAGTAGAGGCTTGACACGATACCGTGCCCCTCGTTTCCGATCATGCTTCTTTGCAGCTTTGAGGAAACCAGTGAAGTTAATGCGACTGTATTTCTCAAGCTCACTCACTTCCTTAGTAATGCCATCTAATTCATGGAGTACCTCGGAAGCGATGGCCTTTCTTTCATCCCCATTCGCTACGGTAGGTGTCTCGTTTTCGTCAGCTGGTGCCAGTGGCCGCAGCTTGGTTTCACAGACAGAAGTACGCTCTCTCAACTGCTGAGAAGTCTCGACTTGAAAAGCGTTGACCTTGTCTACTTGAGCGTTGATAAGTTCTTGGACAAAGGCTTCCTCATCCTGCTCCGTCCATTGAGTGTCTGAGTCGCTGCCATCCCCGGTGACATCATGCTCTCTCAGAAGGACCTTGAGCTTGTGATAATCAATATACTTCCCACTCCATGGGGGATAAATTGAATTCTTCAGAGTTTTACCGAAGCGCATGGTAGCCCAAGATACTACTTCGGGAGGTGAGGAGACGGTGGGGAAGGGAAAGGTAGAGTACTCGGTAATTGGGTTCGAAGGGATAGAGAGGGTGTGAAATTGAGGACAGCCGAGAGCAATGAGATAAATAACTTACTTCATCCCAAGCTATGGCAAAGGATGAGAGGAAGATAAATTTCAGTGGACAAAAATTTTCCCTGCAATTATAGTGTCATGTTAGCCTAATACCTCTCTTGCCCCCGGGCCATACTAGTCCATAAGTCCATACTTATCGCAATGGAGTCTGGACGCACGTGCGAAGCTTTCCTTCCTATTATGGTAAGGTATCAGAAGGGTCCATCGGCCAGCCGTGTATTTTTCATAATACCAATACGATACGGCCTAGTTTCGTTTCGCTGACTGTTAACTTCAAAGTGGATATCATATCATACCGATAGAGCCGAGGTGATCCTAGTGAACTTCGGAAACTGGTCTCAATTACCTTTCTAGTACTTTCATTGTCTGTCTTTTTGCCCATCAACTAGGTACAATATCTCACTTCAGCTGATTGGAGCGACTTCATGTACCTGGATACTTGATTCTTATGGAGACACCAAATCCCGAGCTGTTGGAGGAAGCGGTTCCGCTTTCAAAGTCTCTCCATGATGTCCTGTTAGACCTCCATGAGCATCCGTACCCCTGTGTCCCCAATCCGCCATCATGCAAGAAACGTGCCTCTGTGGCCCTCGTTCTTCGAGTCCGACCTACGTATAACCACTGGCCCGATTCGCAACACCCCCTTTCTCCACAAGACAACACTGCGTCTGTCAAACAGCGCCTGGATGCCTTCTTCTCTCAAGGCTGGGTTCAGAAAGGTGATCCTGAGGCTCTCTTTATCAAGCGAGCTTCCCGTGTAGGAGACCGCTGGACCGGCCATATTGCCCTACCAGGAGGGAAGCGAGATCCAGAAGATGCAGATGACAAAGCTGCCGCGATCAGGGAAACATCGGAGGAAGTAGGACTCGACTTAACGACAGACGACTGCATATTTGTGGGAAATTTGCCGGAGCGTGTCGTATCTACTGGTTGGACCTCTGTGCCGTACGCCCTTTCTTCCGTTACCCTCTCTTAATCCAAATGTACTGACTCAGGGCAAATCTAAGCTTGATGGTTCTTTGTCCCTATGTGTTCCTGTTAACATGCAGTGATTCCCCAACTCTCCGATTACAGCCGACCGAAGTTGCTTCAACCCACTGGGTTTCTCTCAACGTTCTCCTTTCTCCATCGCAGCGTACAGTGGAATATGTCGATATGTCGCAACGGTACGCGAAAACGGCCGGGTTCATTACCAATCTTACCTCTCGTTACATGTTGGGCCTCATGGAGTTTTCTGCCGTCCGGTTGAGACCAACTGAGAGCCTCCATTGCAACGTATCCCCTGGGTTTGTGAATCAAGATAGCCAGGCATCATCTTCGCTACTACAACGATTCAAGACGTGGTTCTTACCAAACCAAACTAGTTCTAACATTCAGCCTCGACCACTTCTTCTCTGGGGTTTGACCCTGGGTATTTTAGCTGACTTTTTAGACATGCTTCCGCCTCACACAGCTGTGCAATTATGGGAGCACCCTACATTTACTTCCCCTGATTTACGGTTGATTATCAGCATTCTAACATATCGCCTACGAAAACGCAACAGGCTCCAAGTCAAGTCTGGATCTCAGCCAAGCAACACAACGATTGACAATCAAACAGTTGCTGTAGCTGCAACATATGATGCTGTGCACGCAAACCAAATGCATAATGAAGTAAGCGTCGAGGGGCTGGGGGTTGGCAGATACTATGGGTCATCCGTTAACAGAGAATTGGAACGTGAGACACATGCTGTTGGTATCATGCTCAAAGGCTATTATGCCAGACTCCGAATTGCTATCCAGATTTTCCTGGCGTGGCGGGCTGCTATAGGGTCTTTGGCTTTGATTTACGCATGGAGACTACTGCGACACCGCAAGCGATTTGCACAGTGCTAATTACTGTTGCCTAGTCAAGATAAACTGTCTCTATATGACTTGAAAATATGCTCTATCTTTGTTGATATTAAGATTGTTTTGTATTATATTGTACATACTGTCCCTGCTATATAGGTCGTTGCAGAAGAGTGCCTAGACTTTTCAAGGGTTGCTGTATCGTAATTACTAAACCGCGCCTTATTACCACCACCCACACTGTTAGTAAAATGTTACATAAACATGCCAAGCCGAAGCTTATCAAAATGATGAATTGTTATGGTGATCCACTAACTTTGCCAGAGCATCATCTCCTTTGCCGCCTGTTTCATATATACTTGGCCTCTCTTCGACATTACCAGTAACGATGGCCGCCACGCAAAAGCTTTATCCACGCGGAACGGTGAAGCGCATTATCAAAGCTCAGTCAAATCGGAACGTGAGCAAGAATGCCGATATACTCGTAAGTACCCTGCATACTCCGCCCTACGGTTGGTTATAGGAACTTGTTGTTTATACTCCGTCATAGATCTTCCTAGACTATATGCTCTTCATGCAAGAGTGAGTAACTGCCATCATCAACGAGTCCTCTTGTCACATACGAGCCCGAAGTTTAGGGATGTGCAAAGGACTGCTGAATGTGACGAAGGGTTGGTATACTGAGAGCCCATTATTAGGTTGATGCGTGAAGCATCAATTCGCTCGCGGAAAGCAGGTGAAAAGAGCGTTAGCCCAAATTCTATCCGAAAGGTGACTGAGGTATGATTCTGGTCCATTAATGTATTTACTATGACCATAGCTTCACATTCTCACTGTTATACAGAGAACACTACGCAAGTTCAAGGGTTGATCGGACGGTGTCATTTCATACCGCATACATGTTCCTGAAATCCTTACGAAAATCTATACGAAGTAGGCGGTAGATTCTACAGGACACCATGACTGGACTACAATTTTTTTTTTATTTTGTTTTGGCGTTGAATATGGGTAAAGTGTTTTGGCGCGTGGATCACTCTTGCACCGTCAGGACTGGAATGTTACTTAGTCTATGATACCCCATTGTATTTGTTTTAAGAATACCACAAAAGGTCCTCCCTAACAGAATTGGCTCTAGAGTGGAATAACCTTTAAAAAGGCACACATGTGCCTTCAAGGCTGCAGCCATTGACTCCGTAGCTCCACGCCTACTGGCTAGACGTTTTTCTGGGTGCTTTGTTGAAGCTGCACGCGACAGGGAGCGGCCTGAGGTTCGGAAGAGTTCCACCCGCATCTTTCGCACCGCCAGCTTTTTCGTCTTCAAACACCTCAGCTCTCCAGCTCTCTTCCCACCTTCCGTCATTCGTCACTTGCCACTTCTTTATCAAAGATTTTCAGGGTATCTCTTTTATTTCCTCCCTACATCTTATCTCTATACTGTTGAATTTCTTCCTGTTGCCTTCACTCCTCTAAGGCGATAACCACAGACGTCATCTTCCAGCATCATGGCTGCCGCTCCCGTCAACAGCAACCTCCAGGCACAGCCTGAGTCTCCGTCGGAGAGGCCTAAGCATACCTCTAGTCCTTCAAATAAGTCCAAACTAGATGGGGTGACTGTCAACGGTGTGGACAGCATTGAAAGCTCGTACTTCAAGGAACTGCAAAGGTTCGTCTACTCGAAGCGAAGTTTTGCGCATTCGTATTAGGGATATCGGGCTAATAGTACCCCTTCCAGGAACCTGCGCAACACTGTGAAGAAGTTGGTCAGTGACCATAATCCAAGTCTCCCTCGTGTGTCCCTTACCGCTCACGTTGCCTTGTACAGAATGCGACTGCCAAAGTCGATGCAATCATTGCCGAGAATCCCGGAAAATCCCTAGATGATCTAGTTGCTGAGAAAAAGATCAATGCCGACCAAAAGGCGCAGGCACTGAAAAAGCCCGCCCTGCAAGGCAGCATTGCTCAGATTGAGGAGCAGATCACCCATTACAAGGAATTTGCTGCTCAGTACGAGCAACGCCTAGCCACCCAGAAGACCGAGTTAGAAAGGGCTCATAAAGAAGAGGTGGACGCTATCAAGGAGAAAGCTGTCTCTGAGGCCAATGAATCCAGTCAAACTGACTTGAGACAACGTCTGCTTAGCTTAAGTAAATTTCTCTGCGCTGCAGCTACTATGAGACGCTCTGGCGACGAAACCTCCAGCTTGACCCGTGCCTTTGAGGGTGTTCTCTATCAGGTTTATGGAGGGTCACATGAGGCTGTCAACTCAATGTTGAAGCTAATTGATGGTGTGGATGAAAAGGTTGTCAGTGTTGAAGGCGAGACCCTAGATATCACCTGTAAGGCAACAGTCTCAAAAGCTGCATTAGCCCGGCTGCGGATTGCTAACAGTTCTGGGCGATTAGATGGCAAAGTGAAGCAAACTTCTGAAGAACATGCCCCCACAGCTGAAGAAGTGACTACGGGTGCTGCTCCCGCGTCGGATCCTACTTTGTCTAATGCGGGTTACACTGAACTCCAGGAATCCTCTTATGGCACCGAAGCCCCCGCTACGAACGAGCCCACTAGTAATGCTGCATCTCAACCCGAGCAGGTCGCTCCACCAGCTCAGACGCTCGTCGGTGATGCTGCTAACCCTACCGCCGAGGCCAACTGGAATCCTAATGCCGGCGATTCTTTTGCCCCCTCGGCGAATACCGATGGCTGGGTTGAAGTGCCACGTGATCCGACCGAGACTGATACTGGCTTCGAAGGTACTCCTGCGGCTGCCGACACGGGCGATAACGTGGCTGCGGAAGCTTCGGGCAACGGTGCTGAAAATGTCACTGTGCTTAAACCTCAAGGTGGCGACGGTTTCGAAGCGGTCGTGCATCATCAGAGACAGAATAGTTTCCGAGGCCGAGGCCGAGGTGGCCGTGGTCGTGATGGCTTCCGAGGCCGTGGACGTGGCGAATTCAGAGGTCGTGGCAGAGGTCGTGGCGGCCGGGGGCGTGGTGGACCTAATGGTACCCCAGCCACGCCCCCTGCTGGATCTCAATAAATGATCCGACTTAAACGCCATTTAATCTACCGCCTGGGTGGGCATAGGCTACTCTGTGGGAGTCTATTACCGTTTCCAACGCTTTCTGCTTTGCAATGCACCAGGCTCCTTTGACACCGCTTCTTGGGTTCTCTTCACGTCTCTCCTTGTTCACTGCGGCCACTGTGGACCTCAGCATTCTCTATCTGTCTTGCTATTCCTACATAATAGGTTATGGGTAATGGTGGTGTTACGGTTCACGAAAGCGACGAATCTTCTGAAATGCTTACAACAAGAGCTCGGAAGGCTATGGTAGAGTATGTTGGCCATCGTCTTTCCAAGCTTTCCTTGCTCTACGTTACCTTTCTTTTGGGATGATAAGCTCCAAAAGTTAGTTTCTGGTTGTACATGTCTTGCATCTTTTGAGCGTGCATGGTATATTGCTCTTTAATTTCTTGTCTTTTCTCCTCTTCCTTCTCGTGAGCGCTGCGGCTCCCATGGGCCGCGCTTTCACTGACCAACGCTCTTCTTCTGTATTTTATTTCCTAATTTTGTTGGCGCATGGAGACGATGGCTGGACCGTTGAATGTGAAAGTAATTGGGACCGAGACTGGCCGTTGACAGCCTGAGAGGATAGGTTCAATGTAGTACGCGTGCAGTTAGTCAATGGAACCAGCGGCAGGTTTATACAAATCTTGAATGTTTGTTTGTTTGTCTGAGGTCTGACAAAAGGCCGAGCCCTCCCGATTACATAAGGCGAGGGCATGCGTTTTTATTTTCCAAAGGTAGAACATGTCTCTTCCTGCTCCTCCTTCATGTTAAGACTATTAATTCCTTTCTTTTGTTTGTTCTTTTCGTCATTCACTTTCTAATTTTCTGTTTTCTTTCTCCCTACCCTCCTCCCTCTGCCTGCACATCCATATCAATCATCATGGCGCTAGCCGCTGATCAGCAGAAGAGGATCCTCAAGGTCTTGATGACATCTTTACTTCTGGATTTGGTACACCTGCTGCTCAATTTCGTACCTGCTAAGCACCCGCTGTTCTAACCGTTCCCTCTCAGATATCCTTTACCTTCATTTTACCGCTATTCCCTTCTTTATTAACTTTCTACCGCAACCAAGATCCCTCCCCCACATCTCTCTTGAATCGCTTATTCCACTACCTAAACGCTTACAAGAACGCTTTCGCCAAACCAATCGACTCCCGCTATGATATCGTTCTTCTAGGAGGTGTAATGGGCTCTCTCTTTTCTCTCCTACAGGCCCTTGCCGCCCCATTCATCGGGCATCTCTCCGACAAACATGGCCGCAGAACGGCGCTTCTATGCTCAATGGCAGGCAATACCATCAGCGTCGCGCTCTGGGTTGCTGCCACAGATTTCCGTACCTTCCTTGCTAGTCGCATTGTTGGAGGGCTCAGTGAAGGCAACGTCCAAATGGCTAATGCCATTGCGACTGATATTAGCGATGTCAGTCAGAGAGGCTCAACCATGGCATTGGTGGGCGCTTGTTTTAGTGTTGCATTTACCTGCGGCCCAGCGTTAGGGGCAGCTCTCTCCAACGTCACAATCGTAGTTGCAAACCCTTTTGCAACGGCTGCGGGGGTATCATTCCTCTTGATCCTTGTTGAGACAGTTTATCTATACCTTTGTCTCCCAGAGACACACCCTCGTCTCACTAAGCTCAGCCAGGCTATGTCACAGTCTAACGCTACCAAGTCTACGAATGAAAAAAGGGCAAATTCGATCCCACGCAAGCATACCAACAGTCCAGTTATGCTTAATTTGATTCATTTCCTCTTCCTCCTGCCTTTCTCGGGTTTGGAATTCTCACTTCCCTTTCTGACTGCAACATTCTATGCCGGACACAAAGCAAGTCCATCTGCCCTAAACGGCCGTCTCTTGTCCATGATGGGACTGATTGCATCCTTGCTCCAGGGAACTGTCGTCCGACGCCTGCCCCCTCTCGTTACTGTCCGCGCTGGTGTGTTAGCTTGCGCCATCTCGTTTTTTCTACTTGCTCGAGTCTCCTCTCTGCCCGGACTGTACGCCGCAGGTGGACTCCTGGCAGTTACTAGCGCCACTGTGGTAACCGGGCTGAACAGCCTGGGAAGCTTCGAGGCGCAGGAAGGGGAGCGAGGCGCTGTACTTGGCCGACTGAGAAGTTGGGGGCAGGTGGGCCGCGCAGCTGGCCCTCTGCTTTTCTGCTCCCTTTTTTGGTGGGCTGGGCGTGAGATCGCCTATACCACCGGGGGATTTGTGATGCTTGGTGTCTGCGTGGGAGTGTTTACGACCTTGAAGTCACCTCCTATTGCATCTACGGCTCAGAAGAAAAAATTGTGATGGCAAGGTCTGAAGTAATGAGGGATCCTGTTAGTGTATCTGCGCATACACATCGATGAAGGGATCGTTTGGCTAGAGGTTTGTACAACATATTGAGTAGACTTATATAGCATGAGTGGGTGGACTCCACTGCTGGCTCAGTGACTGGAACTGTCCACTCTAATGTATTCCACCTATATAGAACGGACCATAATGGGTTCAGATTGACAAATAAACACACACAGGCAAAATCTTTCGGCTTTTGCTGGGTATAATAATTTACATGGACACGGTAAGATACATTGTAAAGTGGAGATAGTCTGTTAGAAACCACGCCATCGTCGAGACTTCAAGGCTAGATAGAATGAGTGATTACCAAGGAGATCAACACATTGGATTGAATTGCCGTAACCACTGAGAGAGATACTCGGTAAACCTGTAAATCCTTGAAGTGGATGCGCCGCACCGTCAGCGGGACGGCACTCGGTATCACACGGTTTAAAGTACTGATCCATTATTCGCCGAAAAGGTAGCAGGAGAGCCACAACTATGATCGCCGGCGTGAGCTATATTTGTCCCTTGGATGGCAGTGATATCCCTGGCAGCCTTGCATCGCCAGATCAGGCCCTGGGGCAGGCCCCAAGGATCCTCTCGCTTTCCCGATCAACCAGTCGGTCAATGTTACGAACTTAGCTGTTCGTTCCCAGCCAGTCGCGTTATCAGCATGTTCAATCGTATGCGACGTAATGCGGCCCTCTTCATCAAATGAGAAGATGAAAAGTCCGGTGAATTGTTCCTCCTTGGATAGCGGAAAGATCGGAGCGTCACCACCTAGCAGCACACTCAACCCTTTGTTAACTCCGTTCTTCGATGACGAAACATGGCTATTTCTCTGCGACGCAGCGTGATCTTTATCTGTCGTGGGTCTGGTGGCAGCTAACGTCTCGGAATGGCGATCCTCGCGCCGGGGTTCCGTCTTCCACCGTACCACTAGCCGTTCATCACCGTAGTCATTGTTATTATCTTGTTCCTGGTCTAACACTGTTCCTGCGCGGACAATGCGCTCGCTAAGTATCTGTAGTTTGACATTTCCTACCAAGGGTAAGCTGCTCCATGCCACCGGTACGGTCCACAGGGCGGCACGATAAAGGGTCCTTCCTCTCACGGTGGGGAGATGCGGGTGTGTCGATGGAAAGAGATGAAGGGTGACGTTGGGGGATAGAATTTTTGGAGGTAGCGGATTGATTAGGAGGGTTGGTAGTAGAGGAGAAAGAGTTCGGAGAGCTGTTGGAAAATAACGGGTCAGATATGGACGAGTACAGTAGATCGAAGCAGGAGAGCAAAACTTACTTCTTCCTAGTTTCAAAACCCGCCCATCTGGCAATTTATGGTCATTATTGAGTTTCCCGTTCAGCTCATCTGACGCCGACGGTCGAAACCCCGTTTGCGAAAAAAGCGTTGGTGACACAGGTGCCGGCCAGGATTCATTCAGGATACCATGACGTGGGTGAGCCAAGGGGTGTACGGGCGAGGAGACGAAGTATTGGCGTGATCTAACAGGAGATATTGATCCTCTCGACAAGGAAATGGGGTGTAGAGAGTTCCGGATGGTGATGATGTATGGAGGTGCTGATGTAGAGATTGATTTCGGCATCACGAAGAGGCTCAGTCTACGCATTGAAAGCAATTTTATGGAAAAGCGTAAGCGAAAAGACAAAAGGAAATGGAGAGAGGGAAATAAAGTGGTCTAGGCTGCACCGACAGCAAAAGGCCTTTGGTATTAAGCCATGTGTTAAGCATGGCGTGGAAGAAGTGGGTAGAGTGAAGTTCCAAAGTAACGTGAACTAAAAGAATATCTTTTCCCTCCGCGCATGACGTCGCCGCTGCGAAGGGTTGACCAGTTGGTCAGTCCAACTTTTGTGACGACATTCTACAAAATCAAATTCATAAGAATCGCGTATCAAATCGGTAGGTTATTATATTGATATCAATTCAGCGTATACACAGCCCCCATTCAAGCTAATTCATCATCGTCATCTTCCCCCATATACCGTCTCTCCGCCAATTCCCGGATTTTATCTACCAACACGCCTCGACCGTATCGCTCTGCAACCTTGACGGCGGCTTCAACCATCTTGCCGTTGCAGTCCTTCATCATATGAACCAATTCCAAGGCCTTCATACCACGCTCTTCTCCCTCCCGGCATTCAACAGCCAGCATCTGCAAGAGAATCTTATCCAACTCAAGCTCTTTGCGAGCCAACTCGGCACGCTGAGTCGGAGTAGCATTAGTAGATCCTAGGAGGTCCTGGAAGAGCGAAAGCATGATCTTGCCGCGGACAAAGGCTTCTTCAAATTTCGCAGCATCATTCTGCGCAGTTCCATCCTCATCTTCCCCCGGTGTTTTGCCTGGTGTGTCAGATATCGGGATCCGAAAGTCAAATTCACTAAGCAATGGACGAGGAAAATATGGGTATTTATCTCCTCCTTTCAAAATGATACAATGGAACTTGTCCTGAGCAACAGCGACAGGCCAATACGTTTCCTCTTTGCGACCGCTAGCGAGCCGCTCCAGTTGTTTAGTATCGAGAAGTGGAACCCAGCGAGCTTGGCCAGGGGTACGCCAGTGTTGCAGAAGGAGGAGGACACCTTCGGAATCATAAATACAAGGGTCCTGCATCGAAGTCAGTATTCATCAAGTTTGGGGTTGCGCCTTTAGATCTACTCACCCCCGTATCTGAGAAAAAAACGCTCTGCAGTTCCGCGCCTTCAGGGAGGGCTACGATGTCCTCATTTTGGCAGATTTCATCCCTCTTGACATTCTCGACCGAATACCGCAACGTTGATGTGCGGCCATCGCTCCCTACTGGCCCGTTCCCAATAGTCATGACATAGTCCCTCCAAGCGGCGCATGTCACCGCCGGGCTCTTCTGCCTATATACCTTGAACGGAGTTCCGAATAATGTATACACGCGGACATAGTCTTTTGTCGTCACAGCAACGATGTACGAATCACTTAGCGCCAGCGCTGTCACTGAGTCAGCAACGGGATGGAATGAGATCAACTATGTTTCTACCTCTGATGGACTCCCCCCTAGGCAGCTGAGTCCGCCAGTCTGCTCGCGTAGTCCATGTTTCATGGGGGCGATAGAATATTGTGGCAGGACTGCCATCAGAAGGGCTGTTAGAGAACAGAGTCCCGTGTTCGTCTAGGTCTAGTGAGCAAAGCATCACCAATAAGCATAGGTTCTTTTTTGACTTACTCAGACACGCGCGATCATAGAGGTACGGGTCCGTAAAGTGAAGGTCCCGATGGAGTTCTCGGTCATAAAACTCCACCGTCACCGTATTATGGGTCTCTTGGTCAACGCTCCAAACACAGCCCGTCAGATTCAAGCCTAGCCAGTCGTCAGTATATTACCGAATATTAGAAAAAGATATTCGAAATACATACATAGATAGCGTCTGTTACCTCGCCAGGGTGTACTTCCAGGCTGAAGAGGAGGATGTGTTTTAGGTTTCACATAAGATGTCAAGTGCCGCTTCTCAGCATGACCATCAATCTCATCCAGATGTTGATTCGTTCGCTTGCCAAACGCATTAATGCCTTCGGCGTATCCGGCACCATCATCGTCATCGACAAAATCCTCCATCCCCTGGTCGGAGCCGAGGATGTCATCAAGAGAGCCAGGAGTACCTGCTCTCCGCTCGAACGACTCCTCCGGTCTATTCGTCAACGGTCGCCTCACATTATCAGATAGCTCCGCTAGAGGTCCAGGGAAAATAGGTGCAGCCTGAAGCGGTTTTTGGAGCAGTTGCTGGTGTTCGCTCGGCACAATCCCGTCGTATATGAATAACTCTCCATCTGACGTCGTGAACGATAGTGAGTTCGTAGTAGGGTGCCAAGCGAGATTAATCACATTTGAGAAGTCGTATCGCTGTAGGATTTTCTGTGTCTTAGTTTCCCATAGCAGAACCTGACTATCAGCACCAGCAGTTGCCAGAAGTGCGCCATTCGGAGACCAGCTGATTGCTGTAACATCGCCATTATGACCGCCAGAAAAGACCTTCTCCTTCTTCCACTCGCTTGCGGAGAAAATTGCAATATTCCTGGTGGCATCTGCAGCCGCAAATGCCGTTCCATCCGGATGCCATACCACCCTCGATGTCGCTTCATTCTCCGGCTCGAGCCTCCGAATAACCCCATCAAGCTTTTGTACAAGCTCCGGTTCATCGGAGAGTATTGAATATATGTACAGTATACCGTCAGTGCACGAGACCGCGATGTACCGCCCGTTCGGATCGAAGGTAACATGTTTCGTTCCCTTGGCCTGTTCCCGGAGATACTTGACTTTAGTCATATCCTCAATGTTGACGATTTTCACCGTGAGCTCACTGCATAAATCAGCCATCTAGGTCTCCAGAAGCAAGTGCGCATAGACTACTAACTCGCTTGCCACTGCAGCCCATTCGCCATCCTTCGAAACCGCTATATCTCGTACGGGCAAGGCGCATCGAACAAGCAGAGTCTCCATTCGACCCGATTCGATTTCGTACTGCCAAACTGTACCATCCTCCGCTCCCATGATGAAATACTTGTCCTGAGAATCGAGTTAGTGCCTTAACATTCCCACGATAAGAGTCCACGCAACTTACGGTAGCACCGATGCCCAGGTGTCCATCAACACCTTCGTCAATGGTATTCGGTTCGCCATCTTGCCCAACGGTGTAAATTCGAATCGCAGAGTTAGAACCACCAGTGATAACGCGATGGCCGTTCGGGGTATACGCCAAAACTGTGGTTCCGGGGGTATCTATATTTGCTCGTAAATCAGTTACTCTGCATATGCTCGACGTCAACCAGACATAAGGGAGAAGGCTTACGGGCTGGTCTGCCCCTCGGACGAATGGCTTCCGAGGCCATCGTCAAGTTGAGAACTGGAGACAGGACAGGTATGAGGATTAAGTTACCGGAGATCGCATATAGTACACCCAAGTAGGATCAATTCAAAACATCGGCCCAATCGAGCGTGAGCTGGCGGAGACTTGTCTGGCGCGCAGTGACGCGTCCGCGCGCGCGATCAAGATTACTGGCCTAATCGGGTAATACCAAGGGCTTAGGGCACGAAACTAGGGCCCCATACAGCCCATACATTAACGGGTCGCAGATTTATTCCAACAGGGAAAGGAAGAGTCAAAATAATTGAAAACCTTTAAGAATTGTTAATGTCAACCGCTTCACGTTTATAGCTTAGTAGTATAGTTCCTATAGAAGTGCTAGACTATAATGACAAACGCTTCATACAAAGCCTGAGTCTCATTCAGATTTGTCTTGCCGACCTCGGAGGTTGAGTGGTGGTGCCAATCGAAGATGCGTAGAGAGCCGCCATCGGATGCACGATCATCAAAGTTGGATAGGAATGTAAGAGGCATGCTTCTTCCTTCCCTTAGGATGCCCACGACGTAGATAAATATTGAGCCAAAACTGACCCAGGGAAATATGTATCCCCCACCACTCCGCTATTGCTTGACGTCTCACAATGCAATTCTCTAGTACTATCAAACACGCGCTACTATCCGTACTCTGATGTCTTTCTCAGGCAAGTAAGCGCCACTAGATTGCCTATGCCTTGGAATTGCAATCTGACTGCTTTCCATCGGTTCAATATCCCACATGCAGATCATTGCAGCAGCGAAGGCCAGGAGCTGTCTCTCAGCGAACGCTCGCCCTTTGCATCCAGACATGCCGCCACCAAAAGGGTTAATTGTGTGCATATTTGCATTCTTCTTCCCCGTTACCGGGTCGGTTATGATGAACCTTAGGGGATCAAACTGGTCAGGATTCGAAAAATATCGAGAGTCATTCTGAAGTACCCCATGATGGAGTATAACACTCTCGCCTTTTCTAACTTGGTATGTACGGGGCGCTGCAATATCACTGAGTGTGGCGTCCTCTTCGATTGTCAGGTCGGAGGTGAGTTCGCGAACTGACATGTCGGCCGAATCCAAACGGAGCGTTTCATAGAAGCTGGCCTTCAGTAAGGCACAAGATTTGAGTAACCCTTCAAGGTCGATAGAGATTCTGGGCGGTTCTTGGAAAGGAAAGCCGGTCTCCTCTCTACTTGGCCTATGAGCCTGCACGTAAGGAGAGATTTCTTTTCGGATCTCTTCTAAGAGGGTGGGATCGGCATAGAGGCGAACAAGGTGCCAAAAGGCGATATTAGAGGAGTTTACATTCATAGCCCATAACAAAGACAAATGTCCGACTGCACTGGATCTTGGTGTGAGCCCTAAGCTCTTAGATGTCCGGATGCGTCGTTTCAACGGTTCTGATACATCATCAAGGTCACGGAAGTTGACACCAGGATCTACACCGTCATCCCATTGGAGAAATGCTTGATGGTAAGCAGCAAGAGAGTTTAATAGCCGATCACGGGCAGCATACGCCGCAGACACACCCGGAATTGGTACCCAACGGGGTATACCAATCATTAAAAGAGGGAGCCGGGTGTCCAGTATCCAGACATCATCAAGTAAATTAGGAAAGACTTCCAAAACCGCTTGACCCATGAGGGTAGTGGTTGTAATATTACCGATGAACCCTCTGACAAGAGCAAACAGATTTACCTCGCAAGCAGGCTTGTTGCGGTTGTCGTCGACAACATCAACATCGCTTCCACGCTCCCATAGCGTTTGGTCGACCACACTTCGGCAGAAGGTCACAAAATTTGGAATTTCGCGCTTCAGAAGCTGGACTGTGGTTGTGGAGATATCCGTTATGAATGGTTCCCGCATGAGCAGATTGGGAAGCTTATGGTGGAATGTATGATGGTCAACAGCACCCAGGTTTCGAAGTGAGCCCAGGTCATCGCCGAAGGCCTTTAGCGCACGGTTGATAAGAGTGACTGATGATGTGACCCTTGATAGCATGACAGACTCAATCATGGATGGCGACACGATGGTATTGTACGTTGTGCCGCCCATATAGATGCCGAACATGGAAGCATTCATATAATCTCTATGGTACTAGTGAGATTCTACATTGCTAACTTCGGGGGGTAAATGTGGACACTGACCTGGCTTTTTCAGTGAAGCTTACATGATTCCACATAAAAGAAGCACTATGACCCAACCAAGGGAGCCAATATGGCACCGTCCTTACTGACTGCGGCTTTTCTGTCTTACTAGCGACTCGACTCCGAAATCCGCTGGTTATACGCGTGGCAATACAGCAAAATACCAGGACGGCTGTCAACAATGGCCAGACCAGTCCCGATGAGCTATTCCAAACAGATTGTATCAGGCCATCTGGGGCGATTTCATACTTTCCCATTTCCTCCTAGTGGAAGGAACAAAAGGTCCAGAAAAAGCAAGACGGATAGAAAAGAAAAGAGGGCGATGGTATAAGCAATCAGCAGGCCACTTGGGGCCAAGGAATAAAAAGGAAACAAATATTTCCAAAGTGACCCTGCTGCGAAGCAAATAGATATTTTAAAAACTGTTATTGGGCCACATGCAAATGAGTGGACAATAATGAGTGTGACAAGAGGAAGGGCTGTTTCAAAAGATAGACTCCAGCAGAGGTTTGTTGGTATGATATCTGTGAATCTATGATACAGTAACATTACGGCTTATTCAGCTCCCCAACAAGCAACGTCTTCATTGATGCAGCAAAGAAAGCAAAGTAATACTATCGACAATAAGTTCCGCAGAAATCGCCTTAATGCCCACTTTGAAGTATCTTTTGAAGCATCGCACTCTCCGCCTCGTACTTACTGATCTTGTTCTGCGAGTTATATACCTTTTGCAAAAGCCACTGAACCCTAGCGGTCAGCTCTCGAGGCTGTTTAGGGAGTGACCCAAGCAAACGCAACTCCTCTTCATATTTCCCGATACTTTTATTCTCTTTACTAATTAGATGTGACAAGATCTCAAGGTCCAGTCGACTGCTAAGAGTCCTATTCTGGGTCATCTTTCTGAAAACAGCTCGATAAACCGGCTTGCCAGGCTTAACCGTCTCAGGGCAGCCGTTGACAGAACCAATGGAAATGAGTTCTGCCTGTTCAAGGGCTTGAAGAGCAGCTTCGCCATTTTCCTTGAAGAGGTCTGAGAGGAGGACTTGGTCGTATGGTAGACTGCCGTCTTTAGCGTTTGCCAGCATCCTAATGAGGTGCCAGACCTGCTCATGGCTCCACTGTGCCCCGACATCGGTACTCAAGATAAACATCTTGAGAATTTCAGATGTGGACTGCTCTATAATACGATTGACAGCCCCTTTCACATACGTTAGCTATACGTAGTACCAATGAGGAGCGGCTAACGTACCTCTAGGGGTTTCTCCCGCTTCAATACGATGTGCCATGAATTCGAGATCAGTAACCCGGCCTCCCAATATTTCAATGCAAATGTCCAGGTCTTCTAGATCTTCATCGTTTTTAGGTGACTTATCTCCCGTTCTTGCATCATCAGCCAAATGGTTAAGTACAAATCTCCTGCCGACTTCGGGAGAGCAATCGCCCAAGGAAATTGTTCGCAAAACTGAGTTTGATAGAACTTTGCTGAGAGGTTTGGCAAATGAAACATCAGTCGTTAGGAATATGACATGTGCGATATTGCCGTTTGTCAACCCAGCGGCCCATTCGGTGATCTTTTCATGCACAACATTGTCCTCGGTATTGTTATGCAGAAAGTTATCAATGACCACCACCGGCCGGAGTTCGGGGTGAGCCTCTAAATACTCTTCATCTGTGAGATGTGCATCCTTGTCGCTCTTTTTCCTATTGTCTAAAGTGACTTTCTTCAAAGCAGTGGCAGTGTTCTGCCAGATGTTGCTTAGCTGTGCATCCAACGTTTCAGAGAACCCTGCTTTGGTACCAATCATGCCCTGGGCAGCTAGATCGATGAAACTGCTTATGCTGTTCATCCACGAGAAAACTGGCCGATAGCCTACCTGGCTAGCTGCTCGCGCAATCTTTGCCGTATCTCCTCTGGCATCTTGTATCTGCTTGCAGTCGATGACCACCTTGTATTTGTAGTTTTTGAGGGCTTGATCTAGCACAAGCTCTCGTTTTCCAGAGCCACGGGGGCCATGGATGACGATAAAAGTCTCCACGTCTTCCATCAACCAAGATTGCAGCTGAGAAATATCTTCTTGGCGATCCTCCCAAATGGCCGTGAGTCCACGGGGATCAGATGCCTGATACCCCAAACCCATGATGTTGGCTCTACTGACCTGCTTACGGATCCACCGCAGCACACTGTTTTCCTCGATCTGGAGTGTTGCTTTTATCTTCATTTTGATAAAGAAGGTACGAATCGGGTCGAAGATAGCCACGGTGATAGCCGCGATGAGCGCAGCGAGGGTGGGGATCACTATTCTTGGATGGCTCAAAATCCAATCCTTAATCATGGATAGCTTGATTTTCCGTTCGTAATTAATCTTCAATCTCGTGTAAGGTTTCCCGCCTCCTTCTTGCTCTGGGACATTGAATCCGTGCATACAGTTTTTGGCTGTAACTGCGTACTTCGAGCGAGCGAATTCTACGTAGGCGTACCTTGGCGTAATCTTCGATTCCGACGATTGCTTCTCAATATCCTTTAATTTCCCATAGCTGCGGAAGAGTGAGTACAAAGTCTCCGTAGTGAGGTCCGTTGCTGAATTGTCTGTACTGCCTGGCAGGAACTCAACCCTAAGTCGCGGGCTTGGTATGCGGTACAAATCCTCTACCCATGGTCTCCCAAGGACACGAGCAAGCTTGACCTGCTGAAAAGGGTTGAACCAAGGCCGAATAGGGTGTTCTTTTAAATTATGTTTGATAGCCGTCTCTATATCAGTGTCTTTTACCCCTTCCTTGCGAGTGTATTTTACAAACGCACCGCCTTCCCTGAATCGCGGAATGACTTCTCTAATGTCGACGTCCAATTCTTTCGGAAAGACACGACGGATTATGCGTAAAGGTTCGGATGCTGCGAGATGTGGTCTATCGATTCGTTTCAAGGCCTCTTCGTACGATCGACTTGCGCGGAGTGGCCCTTCTAATATCCAATGCAGTTTTGGGGGGAAGATGTCTGATAAACTTGGACATTAGCCTGTCATTTATCAGAATATCTTCATGCACAGTATCCATACTATTTACAAAGAATAACCCTTCATTCTCTCTCAATTCAATGTGCCCTGTCTCGAGGTACGATGCACTGCTGACGCAAGCGGCAGATGGTTTTACTACAAGCAGTGTTTGCGATTTCCTCCAACGTAAGGGTGTCTGGTAGAGAAGGGGTATCCCTCCTAGAAGCGATCTTCTCATCGTAACCACAACTGTCACCGCGATCAAGGCAGTTGAGCCATTGTTGTGAGGAAGTTGAGGTTTAATGAACGACCAAGTTTGCGGTTCTTGAATATGACGTCACGTCAGTGCACGCATCACAAATACACCTTGTTTCTGGTATTGTCATTTTCTGTAATGGAGGTAATCGTGAAATTTACAGCGTTGATCCAATTCATTCATCCAACCAATCCCACTACTACAACTTCACGGCATCGCGCCTACGTCTCATATTACTACTACAGCAAACAATTTGCACAAAATGGGTTGGTGGTGGAGCTCATCTTCTCCTTCAAAGAATGAACTGCAAACTATCCCGTCGTCCAACACACAACCAGCACCAGAGAACCCCGAGACACCTCCGTCGCAACCGCGGACACTGACTCGCGAAGAACAAGCAGATGCGGAGTTCAAGCAACTGCTAGCGAGCTTGGAGGGAGACATTAACAGAGGGTCTCGGCCATTACAAGAGCCACCCTCCACTTCAGAATCACCAGAATCCACACCATCAACCCCGTCATCCATTGCGCCCGAATCTCTCTACCCCGATTCAATGTCCTGTCGTTCTGCATTCGACTACGCATTCTTCTGTCAGTCATTTGGTGGTCAGTTTGTCAATGTATACCGGTATGGAGAGCTCCGGTCGTGCAGTGAACACTGGGATAATTTCTGGCTTTGCATGAAAACCAGAACGTGGTCGGATGGGGCTCGCAAGAAGGCAATCAGAGACCACTATCGGAAGAAGGCGATCAAATACAAGACAGGACCCAGTAGTGAGGATGTTTGGAACCTCCGGACAGAGCCAATTCGGAATGCTTTTCAAGGGGATTTTGCTGCGCTAGAGAAGGAATTGCAGGCTGAGGAGGAAGCACAGAAGGCCGCTGCCGCCGCTTAGAGGTGCCAATGTTTGTTGCGTTTACCTGCAGCCTTTCATTGTATTGATGTATGTGTAATTGAATTCCGGATACCTGTTCCTGCTAGTCAAGGGACTCTGTACAGTACTCTTTGTTTTCATGTTATGTTGAGCAGCAGACATAGACCCGGACGATGGAAGATTCCCTTCGAGGACTTGAAAATTCATTCTAAATCATACTGTGTTTTGCCAATGAAAGTGAAGTTAATGGGTAGCATCTTTATCGGTAAGACGCCCATTCGTTAGAGCCAATATAAAGGCAAAACAAGTCAGAGGAAAAAGTGACATAATTGAGCCACAGATCCACACATGGTCCCTCAATCGACTGTTGCCTAATGGACTCACGAATATACCACGCCCTACGTTCATTCTTATTCCCTAGTGCTCATCGCATTAAGTCACGTCAACAACAGCAGACTGATCCACCCGCGCAGATCAAGCTAGCAACCATTCACGAAAGTATAGACCACGGAAGCAAGTCCGCTGGGGTGCGCTGGTGCAACTCCTTGACCGTCCCAGAAAGGAGTACTATCTAAACTATTCTTGACCTTATTTGTTCTCTTATGATCGACATAGTGCTACGCATAATCTATCAAGAAGGGACTTTTCGCCTGTAAACATATCAATTTCCAGTAACATTATCATAGAAATTCCACTATCTTGTGGAGAAGTAGATATATACAATCAATCATGGAAAAGTTGTTGAATTGCAAACGCTCCGACACCTTTTTTGCACACCAGTTTATGATAAAGGATTCTGCAACAAAAACGCAAACACCACCGCAGGTGGGGGGCATTAAGGGAAACCAGAAGCCCAGTAAGAAAAGAAAACGAAAAGAAAAAAACAAAAAAGCCAGTGTATCAACGCAACGGTGGTCGTAGCTGTTGATAAGAGTCGCCGTGGCACATATTCCTGCCCAACATATATTCTGCGTGTTTAATAGATATCTTCAATAGCCACTTGATAAACCATAGTAATGTTAGTCATAAAACATAGCCCTGTGACCGGAACCAGTCCGGTTCCAGAGTCTGGAGATCCCAGATAAATCATGCAGAAACAGCTTGTTCCATAGACTGTCGAACCGCATCAATAGCAGGCCTACGGACAATGCCACCAGTGACAGGAAGCTGAGAGCTGATTTCCATAAGATAAGCGTCAACTTCGCGAGCACACTGACGACCCTCATTAATACCCCAGACAATGAGAGACTGTCCACGACGACAATCACCAGCAGCAAAAACTCCAGGGACGTTAGAGGAATATTGGCCCGGAGGCGTCTTGACATTCTTGCGAGCATCGCGCTCAATTTCATCACCTAGAAGACGGTCTTCAGGTCCCAGGAATCCCATGGACAGCAAGACAAGATCTGCAGGGAAGAACTGCTCACTGCCCTCAACCGTCTTCATATCCCAGCCACCAGAGGCGCTCTTGGTCCACTCAACACGAACAGTGTTAATACCTTTAACATGGCCAGTTCCGTCGTCAACAAAATCCGTAGACATAACACAGTACTCGCGGGGATCCTTGCCCATGTGAGTCTTGACTTCAGAGTGACCATAATCAACACGGTAAATGCGCGGCCATTGGGGCCATGGATTGTCGCGGGCACGTTCTGGAGGTGGTTGAGGAAGTAATTCGAAGTTAGTGACGGACTTGGCCCCGTGGCGAACAGAGGTGCCAATGCAATCATTTCCAGTGTCACCACCGCCAATGACAACAACATGCTTGTCCTTGGCAGAGATGTATGCGCCATCAGCAAGGTTAGAGTCAAGGAGTGACTTGGTGTTACGGTGCAAAAATTGCATTGCAAAATGGACACCTTCCAGCTCGCGGCCAGGAACTTTGAGATCACGAGCCACAGTGGCACCGGTGGCAATGATAACAGCATCATGCATCTCGCGCAAGGAGTTCAAAGAAACCTCATTATCAGGGCCAACAGAGGTGTTAGGCACAAACTTGACCCCCTCGGCAGCCATCAGATCGACGCGGCGTTGCACGACCCTTTTGTCAAGCTTCATATTGGGAATACCATACATAAGTAGACCACCAATACGGTCGGCACGCTCGTATACGGTAACGTTATGACCAGCACGGTTGAGCTGATCTGCAGCTGCGAGACCGGCCGGGCCAGAGCCAATGATAGCAACGGTCTTACTAGTACGAGACTTAGGAATACGAGGTACCATCCAGCCCATCTCGAACCCGCGGTCAATGATGGCACATTCGATAGATTTGATGCCAACAGGGTCTTCGTTGATTCCCAGGACACAAGCACCTTCACAAGGGGCGGGGCAGACACGACCAGTGAATTCCGGGAAGTTGTTGGTCATAAGCAAGCGATTAAGGGCATCTTGCCACTGATTCTGGAAAACGAGCTCGTTCCACTTAGGGATGATGTTAGAAATTGGACAGCCAGTGTCAGACTGGCAGAAAGGAACACCGCAGTCCATACAACGAGCAGACTGGTACTTAAGCTCATCCTCCGTGAGACGGCTATTGAGTTCGGCCCAATCACGAGTACGAGTACCGGGGTTCCGGTACTTCTCACTACGTCTGTTATACTTCATGAAGCCCCTTGTCTTATCAAGGACGAGTGCCGACCGCTTCTTCTCTGTCTTTGAATCGCTCACGCTATCCTCAATGTCAAGCATTTCGGCCCTCTTCGCATCTCCTGATTTGGGCTTCTCAGCATTGGAGGGTGTGCCAGAAAGCTGAGGTACAGTGAGCGCGGCTCCCCTAGCAGCCTCAGCTTTAGCAGCTTCCTCCTCCATAACCCGTTTGTAATCGGTTGGCAGAACCTTGACAAAGTGGGGAAGAGCACGGGTAAAGTCTAACAGAATGCGGGCAGCCAGTTCCGAGCCAGTGTAGTGGTGATGGTCTTCAATGAGCCCACGGACAAACGCAATCTCAGCAGGATCCTCCAAGCCGGATACCTCCACCATCTCCATGTTGACCTTTGAGTGGAAGTCCTGGTCCATATCTAGGACGTAAGCGATACCACCGGACATACCGGCAGCAAAGTTACGGCCAATTGATCCAAGAATGAGAACACGACCCCCAGTCATATACTCACAACCGTGTTCCCCAACACCCTCAACGACTGCAGTAGCACCAGAGTTCCGAACAGCGAAACGCTCAGCGGCCACACCACGGAAGAAGCAGGTACCCCTGGTAGCACCGTAGAGACAAGTGTTACCAACGATGATATTCTCCTCTGCCTTAAAAGCAGCACCGCGAGGAGGGTAAATGATGAGGCGACCTCCCGATAGACCCTTGCCAACATAGTCATTGGCGTCACCCTCAAGCTCAAGAGTGATACCGGGAGCAAGGTAAGCACCGAATGACTGACCAGCAGAGCCCTTGATATTGGCGTGGATCGTATCCTGTGGAAGACCCTCGCCACCAAAGCGGCGGCTAACCTGGTAAGAGAGCGTAGCGCCCAGAGCACGATCTGTGTTGACTATATCACACTCGATCCTGCATGGAAGGCCCTTCTCAAGTGCAAGCTCAGACTCTGCAATCAGCTTGTTGTCGAGGCGAGTGTGCAGGCGATGATCCTGCTTGCGGACATTGTATGTAGCAACGCCAGGGCGCAACGAGTGAGCAGGAGTAAGAATGAGCGAAAGATCAATCTTCTCCTGCTTAGCGTTTCGGATGTCATCTCTAGTTTTCAACAGTTCAGCCCGTCCAACCATTTCATTGACGGTACGAATACCCAATTTGGCCATGATAGCACGCATTTCATTAGCGACGTAGTAAAAAAAGTTGATAACATGCTCCGGAGTGCCTGAAAACTTTTTCCTCAGGTCAGGGTCCTGAGTAGCAATACCGACAGGGCAAGTATTCAGATGGCATTTTCTAAATAAAATTGTCAGCGAGGGAGAACTAACCGTCATTACCTTGACTTGACTATACGAACCTCATCATAATGCAACCCATGGCGATCAAAGGTGTTGTAGCAAAGCCGAATTCTTCAGCTCCAAGGAGACAGGCGATAGCAAGATCGCGGCCTGTGCGGAGTTGACCATCAGTCTGCACAACGACGCGACCACGTAGGTCATTCAGAACAAGAGTTTGATGAGTCTCTGCGAGACCCAGTTCCCACGGAAGACCAGCATATTTGATGCCAGTCCAGCGAGAAGCACCAGTACCACCATCATGACCAGAAATCAAAATGTGGTCAGCCTTGGCCTTCGCAACTCCGGAGGCAACAATACCAACACCAACTTCTGATACGAGCTTAACAGAAACACGCGCGCGAGGATTGGAACATTTAAGATCGTAGATGAGCTGCTTGAGGTCCTCAATTGAATAGATGTCATGGTGAGGGGGTGGCGAGATCAGGCCGACACCAGGAGTGGAATAGCGGGTGTGAGCTATAGGGCCAACGACCTTGTGGCCTGGAAGCTCGCCACCTTCGCCGGGTTTAGCGCCCTGGGCCATTTTGATTTGTAGTTCATCAGCATCGGCCAGGTAGTGAGACGTCACACCGAAACGGCCCGATGCGATCTGTTTGATGGCAGACCGCATCGTGTCCCCGCTCTCCATTCGTTTGCTTCGCTCGGGATCTTCACCACCTTCTCCAGTATTAGACTTGCCACCCAGCCGGTTCATGGCAATAGCTAGGGTAGAGTGGGATTCCATGGAGATAGAGCCATAGGACATGGCACCTGTTACGAATCGACGGACGATCTCAGTCCAAGGCTCAACCTGATCAATGGGGATAGGAGTCCGCTGCTCGAAGTCAAAATCAAGCATACCACGGAGGGTACAGTTTTTGATTTGCTCGTGCTCAGCTTTGGCGTAGGCTTCATAAGATTTGTCGTTCTTTGTGCGCACTGCATCTTGCATATTGGCAATGCTAACTGGATCGTTCACATGCTCTTCACCCCCATCACGCCAGTGATATTCGCCAGACTCGGGGAGCCCAGGGATTTCAACAACGGAACGTGATGGGTAGCCACGCTCATGGAAAGCAAACGCATCCTGAGCGATCAGCTCAAACGTCAAGCCACGGATGCGGCTCGCGGTTCCCGTAAAGCACCGGTCGATGACACTATCGTCAATACCAAGCGCCTCGAAAATCTGTGCGCCCTTGTACGACTGCAACGTAGAGATACCCATCTTGCTCATGACTTTTAGGATACCACCATTACACGAGGCCTTGTAATTTTCGATGACCTTTTCGTCAGGTAGTTGCTTGCGGATCAGCTTCTCGCGGTTCATCTTAAGGATACACTCCATAGCCAGGTATGGGTTGATGGCATCAGCACCATACCCAACCAGAACACACATATGGTGAACCTCTCGAGCCTCGGCAGTCTCCACGACTAGGGCTGCAAGAGACCTCCACTTGTTGCGAACAAGGTGATGGTGTACAAGACCAGTGGCTAAGAGAGCAGACACAGGGACCCTGTCTCCCGAAGTAGAACGATCAGAAAGGACAAGGACCTTGTCTCCGTCTTGAATTGCCTCAGTAGCAGCGTCACAAATAGCATCAAGTGCCTCAAGGTATCCTGGAACGCCTTTCTTCTTCTCAAAGGTAATGTCAATAATTCTCACAGTCCAGTCTTTGTGCGCTCTGTTGATATTCTTTAAGGCATTGAACTCAGGGATGCTCAAGATTGGGGAGGGAAGGAGGAGGCGATGGCATTGCGAGGCATCCATCTCCAGAAGGTTGCCCTGAGGCCCAACGTAACACTCGAGAGACATAACCACAGCCTCTCGAATAGGATCTATAGGCGGATTTGTGACTTGTGCGAAAAGTTGGCGGAAATATTCATATAGAAGACGGGGCTGTTGGGCAATGCAAGCCAACGGGGCATCATTACCCATCGAGCCCAATGCTTCCTTTGAGTCAGCGGCCATGGGACCAAGAAGCAAGCTGACCTGTTCAAATGAGTATCCAAAAGCTTTGAGGCGGGGATCATTCTGAATGGTAGTGTTATCAATTGCGTAGCTAAGGTCAACATTGTGTTGAAGCAACTTCTCATTAATAGCGGGAAGCTTCAAAAGCTCCTTTTCCAGCCATGCGGCAAAGTCTTGGCGATGAGAAACGGTATATTTGAGCTCCGAGTCATCAATGATTCGGCCGGCCACTGTGTCAACCAGGAGCATCTTTCCAGGTTGAAGGCGACCTTTCTGGACCACACGCTCAGGGTCAATGTCGACGGCACCAACTTCGGACGCACAAATGATACGGTCGTCATCCATGACATAGAAACGGCAGGGGCGCAAACCATTACGGTCAAGGTTCGCACCACAGTACCGTCCATCGGAGAACGTGAAGAGAGCAGGGCCGTCCCAAGGCTCCATCTGACAGGCAGCCCACTCATAAAAAGCAGCCTTTGCTGGATCTATGGCTGGATTATCCTGCCAAGCTTCAGGAATCATGAGCATGACTGCCTCTGGCAAGGAGAGAACACCGTTAACCATCAACAGCTCCAAAACATTATCAAATGCAGCAGAGTCGGAGCCACCATCCTCGACGATAGGATACAGCGAATCAAGCTCCTCGCCAAATATGTCTGACTTGAGCACACCTTCCCTAGCCCGCATCCAGTTCTTGTTACCTCGCAGAGTATTGATTTCACCGTTGTGTGCAGCCCACCGTAAAGGTTGGGCACGGTCCCAGGATGGGAATGTGTTGGTAGAGAAACGAGAATGGACAAGAGCAAAGTGACCTTCATAGTCCACATTGACCAGATCGTGGTAGTACTGATAGACTTGAACAGGGGCAAGTTGACCCTTGTAGACAATATTCCTGTTGCTGAGGGAGCACAGGTAGAACCAATTGGCGAGGCCGAGAACATGAGTAGCACGTTTCCTAAGAACATATAACTGACGCTCAAAAGTCCTCTCATCGAATAATTCTGCATCGGTAAGGTCAGGCTTGTTGCTGTCACCGTAAGCCGACTTCAGCACCACGAAAGGCTGCATGATAATAGGCTCTCGGGATAAAGCAGCAGGGCCCAGGATAGTAGAGTCATGAGGAACCTCACGCCACCCTAGTACTCGTAGCCCTAGGCCTGTTGCAAGTTCCTCAAATGTAGCCGTAGAGTCCTTGAGAGTCTCTTGATCGGGTTTGAAGAAGAGATTGCCGACAGCGTACTGGCCGAGAGGGGGTAGATCAACTCCGACCTCGCGAGCAAAGTTCTTGATGAAAAATTTATGGGGAATGCTTGTCATTACACCAGCACCATCACCATCCCGAGCATCTGAGCCGACAGCTCCTCGATGCGTCATGTTGCAGAGGAGATTGCGAGCTGAACAGAGTAAAATTCCATATCAGTAGGCAGTATGTTGTGTAAGATTCTTCAGTTGGGCCCTTACCATCGCTGACGATCTTATGACTAGGCTGGCCCTTGATATGGCTACAAAAGCGCCGAGGGTCAGTGTTAGTGACGGTCACCCAGGGTATTTCCGCGTCTTGAGCCAGTCCCTTGAGTACTTACGCAGTGAAGCCTACACCACAAGCATCCTTCTCATATTCGGGATCATAAAGACCTTGCCTCTCGGGCAATGTGTTAGCCCAACCATATCCCTGCTTTGGTTGGTACTCCGAATACTCGATGGGCTTCTGCTTGTCAATTATATTTTGGCCATAGATTTCCTCCAAGTTCAAACCCATTCTTCCGCCGGCGACCGACAGAGAACGGAATGACAAAACTAGGAAGTTTATAGAAAGACCTGTAAAGAAAATCGCCGCGGACCAATTCGGGGCGGGGTGGTACTTCGCTGCGGTAGTATAGGTTAAATGGGGAGGATCTAGAAATATGTCGTCACAATATGTTCGGGTCAACAACGGAAGATAAGAGCTTTTCTGTGACCCAACGTTTAGCTTGAAGATGGACGAAAGTAAAGGCAAAAACAGGGAAGGAGGAAAGAATAGAAGAAGAAAACGGAAGGAAGGAGGGGGGGAGCGGGGGGGATACTACTAAGTAGGCAAGGACAGAAGATGGGAGACCAGAGCGGGAGAACGGGAGGCAGAGGTCCGGGGAATTCACCTCGACCGTCCGATACGGTCAAAGTACAGTATGTATTTTATCGGGAATGGACGGACGTTACAAAGAAGACAGGGTTCCAAGTGGAAGGCAAGTGTAGGGGTGAACTAACAGGATAGGGGAAATACCCAGTTGTGGGGATTATAGTCGTGGCAAATCGTAGCTGTTTCTTCCACCGGAGGAACGTAGCTTTAGTGTGAATAAGTAAGGTAGTATGGTAGAAAAAGCGACGGGCGCAAGTAAAAGTTAGTTAATCTTTGGGGTACTGATGATGGCAAGTGAAACAATTTCTGCTCCTCTTGGCTAAAAATTAAATAATAATAACAAGTAACTATAAAAAATTTGGAGAGGAATGGGGAATGGTTAGGGAAAGGACAAGGCAGGCATTTCTATCTAGTTCTATTGTTTCTACTGGCATTACACTGTTGGATACTTCTTTTTGTTCAATTCTGCTTCGGGCGAGACCAATTTTTATGTAGCATTCACGGGAAAAGAGCACTTTCGGCGCCTTCCATCCTTGGTTGAAAAGGCCGCCACGACGTGGGAGGCATGTCTATATATGCCAGGTATGTTGAGTGAAGTACCTAGGGTGTTGCGAATGTCTGCGCAGGAAATATCGATTTTTTAGCTCTTCTAATATACAACATGCTATGTCCGACAACTTCATTTTTTTTATTTTCTTCCCGCCATTTCCCTACATTAAGTACTAGAGAGAAAGTGTCTGCATCCTCAGAGTCCCAGGTATTATGGCAAAGGTAAAGTAGACTTAGTACTACTTAGGTATGCAATGCAATCCATGAACCGAGGACGCTAGGGGAGAGATAAGACACTCGTGGCCAATCAGGACCCTGGTATTTCAACCTTTTAACCAAGAAGATTAGGTTTCCACTACGTCAAGATCCAACTTGGTGGAGCTTTGGCCCAATTTAAAAATTATAGGAATGTGCTGCGTTGGCGCTAGTGGGAAATGATTTACGCTGCCTAGTTAGTAGTTACACTGGCCAGGTAATTTTCCCATTCGATCCACTCGGTGCAGGAACGACGAACGCTTCGAGGAATTTTTCCATCAATATAATAATGTTCCTTCCTGAGTCTATGAACGGAACTGCCCCTTGAGCCGAATTTTCCATATGCAACCCCAAATTGTCTATAACTTGGTGTTTTGTGAGAATACCTTGTAAATAAATACGTGGAACTTTTTTTTATGTAGATGAGTTGTAAGTAGGGTAAAGACTAATGAGGATCTTGAAAATCAGTTGGATAATGGATCAATACCTAAGTAGTAATAGTGTAGGATCACCATGCTGATTCTGGGTGCCGTGATTGGAGAACAGTGAATGAACACTACCTCCCAATTGTATTTTTCGGCTTAAATGAAGAATCCAAGCAGTTGCACACCACTCGGCTAATAATCTTAATAAAGTCAAAGACTTGGCTTCGTACTTCAATAGAATTTCTTGATAATACCAGGACATAAGTCTTGTTCATTTTTGAGGTGTGCTGATGGTCCTCAAAGGAAGTGGTGTCGCCGTAAGAACGCTACGGCTACTTTGCTCAGCAGGGAAAGGGGCAACAGAGAGATAGGAAGGGTTTGGGGGGTCGGGAAATCCAGAAGAGCGAAAGAATGGGGCCTATACTACTTCTCCGTACCTACTTCCACATGATTTCTCTTTTTGCAGCACTTTTAAAGGTTGGCCTCATAGTGATGACCCGACTGGATGGATGATACCAAAGTGGGGCAGTGCAGGCTTGGGGTGCTTATCCTACCAGGACTTTACCCCAAACAGCTGTTGAAATGAGCTATGCTACTTGGTAGAAGTACTCCGAATCTTTTCGCGTAACCGACCTTCTTCCCAAAGAGACCTAGGAATTGCTAATGAATATATGATTTTGAGAAGGAAACAAGAAACAGGAGATATGTAAGCATACTACTACTTACTATATGGAAGACTGCTTGGCAAGGTTGTGTGATTTGCATTAGATCGCCAATCAGATGAAGCTATCAAAGCAATTAGAGATACTCTCTCAGATGGGCCATATTTAATTGCCTTGGTAGCCAGGAATATCAACCAGTAGGAACTATAACCTCTTATGGTGTGTTAATTTATGCCCTAGAGATACTATGACATTCCATTCGAAGACATCCATTTGGGCATACAACTACTGAAAACATGTACAGATCAATGAATGGCTTCTCCCTTTGACTGTGCCATACCGAAAGTACTGTACATATTTACTTGGCCCTCACGCTAAAACTTAACATACCCCACACTGCTTCACCATGCACTACTACTAGTATGTTTATGATTATGTACATTACAGTTGCCTTCACCAGTACAAGCGCATACCGCAGCACGTATTATTGGCAACCGTTGTAGGTGGTGGGTAAAATTACTGGCACGGAGCAATACCATATGCTGTCCGCCCAGATGCACTTCTAGCATCAGCCAACGCAACTTCCGACAACGGCCAAGCTGGGCGCTTTTCCTCCCCTCCTACATATCGACCCGTTTCCCAGAAGCGTCCCGCATCCTCTCCTCGCCGCTAGTTAATTGAAGACCGTTTACTGGATGCTCCACACAACGGCACATCCTCTCTTTGGCCGATTTCGGGGCTCCGCGGCTGCAATTCGCGTCTCACAGATACATTCGGATTGGCCGGTGGGAGTTTCTCCCAGGTCATTCCCTCAGGTCATCAATCTCCTTATCAGTTGCTAATCTTTCAGCGCTTACCCGGTGCAATACCTGCATTTCTGTAATCTTTAGAACAATTTTTTACCCTCCCCCATGATCTCAAGATTTCCTGGGGAAAATCCACCCCCATGGCACTCGTTGACTGGCCCCGGCCAATAAGCACGGCCGCGACCTCCTTCGGATTTACGCTCCCCTGTACGTATTTCCTAATCCCGAGACGCTCCGGATAAGACCCAATTCCTGATATTTGTGATGGTAATAAATAATACAATCCATAAATCAATCGATTCTCCGGCTCTGGTATATCCACCCACGACTGGATAGATTGATTTTGACCACCACCAATCCGGTATCGATTTCCACTAATGCCTCTTATCGCTTTCATTTCTTCTGAAAGGTTAGCTCCAGAACGCGGCACACTCTACGCTCTCAGGGCGAGACTGGCCCCGATGGTGAAGTTTCTTACGACCGAGGGAGAGCCGGTGAATGTCTAAATATCAATCCCTTCCTGCTAGGGTGTTCACTTTGCGTCAGTTCCAATTCCGACCCACCAGACGCATCTCTGGAGGGGATGATTATCCTTATTTTGCATCACGGCCGATCCAGTGGATCTGGCGCTGGGAAATAAATTACCTACCATTAATGGTAATGAACGAAGGTTGAGAGTGACTCAGAGTGACTCCGTACAGAAGGATCGCGGCCATGCAGATGATTTCTGGGGGTAGGTCGGCAAAAATCTTCGACGAACTGCAGTCTGTCACATTGTGTACCCGCGAAAAGCCGCCCCCGACCTCCATCATTGCGCTCCTCTGTCAATATTACAGGCATCACATGATCGGGCGGAGATGCCAAAGTTAGAGACACCGATTTTTCCCGATGCTTCCTGCTCAGTCTTGTCCGCTTTGGGTTCACCGAACGTCGGCCAGTCGATAGAGCGGAAGGCTGCAACCCCTCGGGAGAATGCGGAATACGTTGTTGGAACGGCTGAACACAGGGGTGTCTTACTCCGTACTCTAATGTCTTATTTAGTGCTGCAGATGATTTAATTTTTTTTTCCTTAAGAGTCTAAACGACAAGTTACTTAGTGCAGGACGGAGTACGGAGTACTCCGTACCGCTATTGCGGCGTACTTTCTCGTTGAAGCGACGCTATAACTTGTCTAGGATTCTTGCGCCTTGCGTCGGTAATGAGTATAGAGACCTCCAGTTGAAATCGAGCGCAAAGTATATTGCCTGATTCCCTTCAGTACCTGGCTACTTTATGTATTACCCTACATAAAGTTTCGCATGAGGGATGACACCGTTATGGTCTGATTCTGTGACTTGCTTAACATGGTGTGAGGTAGTATCTCGCTATGTTCTTCTCCCATGGAAATCCTTGACGGAATGCTCAATATTCGGGAGGGGATTAAAAGAAAAAGCAGAGAGAGAGAGAAAGAGAGTGACTCTTTCCCCACAGGCCCTCGGGATCGCTACTGCTTGCTTTTGTAGTTGCCATTGTGACTTGTAGCTCTGACTATGTCTCTAGAATGTCGGCACGCTTGGAGTATCGTGGCTATTTACAATTTTTTTTGATACGCATTAAAGGCAACGTTCGCATTGGCATTGTTCTCTGGGTGCCTCCGTATCAAGCCCCACTGCCTATCAGGTTTGAGGAACCGCTCTACTCTAGTCTCTGAAGCATCGATAAAATCATTCCTTGGAACTCCGTACTCGCGTGTAGATCATGCTACGAGACCCCAGTTATGACTATGATGCTTGGGGATGCTCTGGTCAACCGAGTTTTCTGCCAATCGTGATTTGATGGTGACAGTATGTACATTATATAACCAAAGGTAGTAAACACCATACATTAATTAGTACATACATCTTATTGTATAAGTTCGAAGATTTCAAGCGAAGAATGTATGCATTGCATATTGTCAAAGGTAACGCACGAAGAGGAGATACCATACAGAAGCAAGCGGTACTCTAAACCAACAAGATATCTACTTCAGGTTGGACTTTCCTATGTGAACCAAGACATTTTATGTAAATTATGATCTACCAGTAGACTTGCCGCGTTGCCGCGGAGTTTAAATCTTTTTTTTGGAACTCCTCTGATTACTAGTATTGTCGCGACTTCTACCTCCCCACTTGCAGATTAGTTGTGAGTTACCATAAACAATTTTAAGTTGGCACCTGATTTTTCCCCACCTTTATGAATCTTATTTCTTTTATCTTTAATTTGCATGGCTTGAGTTTTGGGTCCATCTGATTTGAGCAAAATAGGCCAAGGTGGTTCTCGAAAAATAGCGCGGGCAGGGATTAGCTCTGATATCTACTACGAGCTTCATGCTTTAGACCCAGGTTGCAATTGCAAGTTGGCTGAGATGATCTAAGTTTCTAAGTTGGATAACAACAACGGATCTCTAAACTCAGTTGTTATACTGTCTCTGTTGTCTTCCAATCTGATCAAGCTGTGACCGCGCGTGATGCTCTCCCTTCCGCTCATCACACCCCGCGATGTATGTGATGCCCTTGCAAGGAAACCCTGCCTAACCTTGAAGACGACAGAAGGCATTGTTAACACTCTGTATGCACTTAGTCTCATGAACTCTGGTTCGGAGTCTCCCAGCCCTACCGTTCCTCATCCCAACACCATCAAACACATGGAGAAACGCAAGGAAACCCCCGCCGCAGTGGTAACAATATTACGAACGGACGTGCCTTGAACGCCTCTGCCGCCTCCGGAAATACTTTATCCTCATTGCTCCTCGAAGAACGTGCGCTCCGTGCCCGCAAAAACAACATCGCCTCATTTGGTTACTCGTGGATCAAACCTGCAGGATGCGCTAAGACCATGCTCGGGATGAAAGAGGAAGAGGCGGAGAGGGAGGAAGCGCTAGCTGCTGCTGCTGCTGAGATGGCCGCGGCCGCGGCCGCGGCCGAAGCCGGGACTGATGGGGTGGACGAGTTCGGTGCACAGACTAGCGATGGGCAAGATAACACAGGCATGGAAAGGGATTTGGACGATGATATTCCCGACGCAGATGCAGAGGGCCTAGTGGAGGAAGGGGAGGAAGGTTTGGAAGAGGATGGCGATGTTGATGAGGAGGGATACATGGAACGGGACCTGGATGATGATATTCCTGAAGCGTTCCCCGATGGTGATGACGAGGCATTCGGGGAAGAAACCGATAATGATTTTGATGATCAGCCAAATCTGGATGATGACATTCCCAGTGCTGATGACATGGACGATGAAATAGAGGACATGAGTGAGCAAGTCATGGGCCATGATCTGGACGATGATATTCCTGAGGCTGCAGAGCACCAATCCGTACAAGAAGATGAATGGCAACATACCGATACAGATGCTGAATATGACGAAGAGGATGAAGCCAGTTTTTCCCATGATCCATTTACACAAAATCTCCGAGCTAGTACAACTAGCAGTCGTGGTCTGCCGCCAGCACCGGTTCGGACTCGAGAGACAGAGGCCCAACGTCGGTTCCTCCAGCGTTGGAGTGGTGGCGGAGATGCCTTCGATACGAGCAGCATGATGATTGATGAAGATGATCTACGTGCATCTGTAACTAGTCAGGGGAGTCGACGAAGCTTTTTCAACAGGTTCCCTAGACGGCGAGCTGGAGGGCCTAGGGATAGTTTCGACTAAACCAAATTATTTGGATTATCTTTCAGGGTTGTATGGCGCACTGTCTGCATGTATGGGTCCCAGGGTGGAGGTTTGGTAATCAACACAGGAACGCCTTTGGAGTCTCTGGTGTCTTGGTTCGGCTTTCTATTGATAGACTACACGATAGACTCGCTTTTCTATGTTGTCAGTGTGGACAGTTCCCCAGAGTCTCTCGTATATGTTCAGAATTGACTATTTGTTTTATGTATATCGGCTGTCTCTTTACCCTTGTCTCGTTTGGACTGATCCTTATGTGAATTTGACGAATCATGTGCACCTAATCAAGGACTTGCAGTGTGACGTGTAGATCACTCACTCGCTTGGTCAGACTAAATATATGAAGACTTTAATACTATAGCGCACATGCATTTTATATTCTGTTATTACTGTATGTATAATCCTCGGGGTAAAAGGACGGTTATCAAATGTAAAGAGGATGAAAACAGTTGAAATGGTACTCTTCGAATATTAGTCATTGGATCAGCCATTATTTACACAAGGTAGTACATTAGAAAGGAATCGTCAGACTAGACCAGACATATCAGCCACAACTCCACCCATGCATCATCATCATAAAGGCAACAAATAGGGGTTGGCGGTGGCCTCAGTACAAGAGATATTACAGGAGACTGAGCGTGAAGGGACAGTTCGAATGGAATGTCGAAATATCTGACAGTCGCACATCATCAAAGGCCGCAATGAAAGGGTCGACAAAAAAAAAATAGATAAAATCCAGAGGCCATGCTCGTTTGTTAGTCATCAAATTATCAGCGAGGATATTAGCAGATAGTTGGGCTCGGATGCTTTTGTGGCTCATGTCGGGAAGGGAAGAGCGTGACTCAAAGAAAGTACTAGAGTAACAGGGTACTAGTCGACCTAGTAGAGTTATACCCAGACTAATCAGGTCATCCACACATAAGCGAAGAGAAGGAAAACAGCCAGGAAGAAAGCCAGCCATACACGCCAGCCGACGCCAGTCCGTTCCGCCATCCGCAGCATGCGATTCATGTTTCCACGTATACGAAGACGAGTATTATCAAAGGAATCATTAAGTTCCGTTATAGTCGAAGTATCCCGGATTTCTTCGCCAATAGCAAGTGTAAGCTAGTCTCAACATCAGCACCCATACGTACACAACCATTCTGCTGAGGGGAACAGAGAGCGTACATCTTTTAACATCTTGACTTTTGCACTGATGCCCTCTACCTCGGCGTCATTCTGCGACTCAAGATGGGACAGAACGGCATCGGAGTAGTGGCCCCTGTTTCGGCATTAGCACTCTGCACGGGCAGGATCAATAGTTCGTTGCTGGGGCCTACTTCGCATTTGGCGTCGCAGTTCTATAGCCCCCTCCGACTACCGAACCCCCATTTACGGACACATCACTGGGGTATCCTCCATAACCATATCCACCCACTCGGCCAGGAGACTTACTGGCGGGTCGGGAATCGCCACCATATGAATCGAAGAGGGAGGATGATGCACGCGGATCACGCTGGTGAAGGTTCGAGCGTGGAAACCTGAGGTTTTATGCAGGGAAACCATTAGCCAAGGAAACCGAGGGCAGTTTGGGATCAATATACCGTGAAGCCATAGCTGACGATAAGTAGGTTCGACTCTTTTACGGAAATTCAAGGAAGCTGTACCATAAATTGATTATTTGCCAGATGCTAGTTCACAGGCATCGCGTAGAACAATGTCAGCAGAACTTTTGTAATTGAAGCCTCTATCCCGTGGCTTAATGCTCCGAAGCGACCTGCGGTCTGGTTGCGGCAATCAATAGAATCTCAGGACAAGTACTCCATATAAAGACCGCACTTTTTCCTGGGTCCGAACGGGGGTGACGGCGGGTTACCGTAAACGGAATAGCTTTCCCTATTCTGGAAAGGTGCCTTCTGACTACTTCTTCCAGATATAACAGGTATAGGATGTTAACTCTGCTGAGTACCAAGGATGCATTCCCGTATATTGGGTATCTTTAACCTATTTCAATCGAATGTATCCACCGTAGTATTCGACTGGTGGGATAGAGTAGCGTTGAGAAGTATATGATTGCGGTATTTATATGAAGCTCAAGTCTTCCTTAGCGGAGAACCCACGCAATATCACTTTACCAAGAGTACATAGTAGTATATTATTAGGATTGTAGTAGCTAATGGGAAATTGAAATTGCTAGAGTAGGGCCAAGCGGCCAAGCAATTGATTCAGATCAGAAAAGGGTTATCGCAGAGATAGCAGTAATTATCGAATGTTTGTTACGCCCAGTCCCGCCAAGGGCGGCGGTTTTTTTGCTTTCTTCCTTTTTCTTTTTTCTCCCACTTCGCCTCCTCTCTTTTCCTTTTTCTTTAAAAAAAAAAGAACGAACGAACGAGGGAGGCGGACAAAAGAACATGGTTGACATGACAAGTATCTGAATCAAGAAACAAAAAACAATGAACCTGCGCCAATCACTAACCTCCATTCCCAAGATGTTTTATGAACCATATCATGATCTAGTTCAGTCGCGCATGCTGTCGTCATTGTCATCAGGCGCAAAGTCTTCATCATCTTCGTCATCGTCACCCTCATCATCCTTCAGCTTTTCCGCGGCCTTCTGGAAGTCGATGGACTTTCCGCGAGTCCGTCGCCCACCATCAATGATGTTGTCGGCAGAGATTGGCTCGAGGTTGTCGCCATCCTCCTCATCTTCTTCTGCAGGGGAGGGTTAACGTTTAAATGGGACAGCGGTTTCTTGAAAGCTAATGTAGGCAAAGTGGACTAGGCCTTGAGCGGGGAGGAAATGGGGATTTCAAGCTTTACCTTCCATCTAGGAAAGAAAAATTACAGTCAACTTCCATGTCTCCCGATTTAGGTGTCGCAAGCCTCGTAAACTTACAATGTCTTCATTTTCACTCTCATCACTTTCACCTTCATCCATGCTCACATCCATAACGGTAGGATCCTGTGCAGCCTTGCCCTTCCCCTTATCGCTGGCAGCGGGTTCATTGCTCAGGGTGGTGACTTGGTTGTTATCACCCATGGTGGAGAGTGCAATTTTGTTCGCTCACAGAGGCTAATGGAATGGGTTGGAATAAGACTGGAGGGGGGGGGTTTATAATGGAATCCCGGAGGAAGAAGATAAACTGCTAAGACAGGGAAGGAAGAAAATGAGGCGAGCTTTAAATATTTAGAGCAAAGATTTGTACGAGAGAAACGCAACGCGCTCTAGAGTCGCAAGGGGAGAGAGTCACCTTAACCCACTTAGGGCCAGCGACCGCTGATTGGCTACAATGCCTGGAGATCAGCGGCGCTACTCCCGTGACGGTCTTTTCCCTTCTGGGTATGTCACAATAAACAAGCTACTAAATTTGTACGCTCCCTTGCCGGAGTTGAACCTGAGATTATACTCCGTAGGCTATCCTAAGTTGAAGGGAAGTGGATATGCAATGAGATTCAGGTATCAAATACGTATCCAAGTCAATTTGTCTTCTCATCCACGTTCGTATCAAGAAAGCCATATAGATGCGTAATAGTTAGTAAGAATAGATTAGCATAACGTACCCCGTAAGCGAGTCGGCCACCTGCGTATCCCATATAAAATGGCAACTTTTATAATCACAATATCTCGACAACTAAAGAGTATAGCTATCTGAAATCTAATATTTAAACTAATAAACCATTATAGACATATATGCTAGACAGAGGAGATATTGTATTCAATAGGTAATATAAATTACAATGTATTTTTCGTAATTTATAGACCATAGCGTTTAGATTCTTGAAAAGGATTTTTAAAATTTTTTTAAAAATACATAATGTATTTATATAGCCAATATATGTATATTGATTTCGGATATCATATTACTCCTACAGCTTGTTGTTGAGATATTGTGATTATAAAAGTTGCCATTTTATATGGGATACGCAGGTGGCCGACTCGCTTACGGGATACGTTACGAGATAACGTAATCGGTAAGCGAGCGACGCATGTAAGCCAGCGACGCAGCTCTATATTCCATACAAATCTACTCTTTTTAACACTTGAGTATCTCAGCAACCAAACGTTATAATAATATAAAATTTAAACAGGGTATATAATAGTATCTAATCTGTAACATATAAAACAGAGAATTTTATATAAGTAATATTTTTTTCGGTATTGAATATATTATATTACAACTGTATTTTTGATCTTTTTGATTTATAGAATAAGGATAAAAGGAAAAAGCATTAAAATGATTAGCGTTAACCTTGCTTGATCTACATTACATTATATATCAAACATTCTGTCTCTGCTGTCTCTGGTTGCTGAGATATTCAAGTGTCAAAAAGGGTCGATTTGTATGGAATACAGAGCTGCGTCGCTGGCTTACATGCGTCGCTCGCTTACCGATTACGTTACGGAGGCATAGTACGTAGTACTCCATATTAGTAGTTATCATCAGCAGAAATACGTCTGGATCACGTACTTCATGAGCAACGAGGGTCAGCAAGTAGGCTGTTGACCAGCCGAACTGTAGGATTCTGAATTGGGGATAGAGTCAAGGAGCGTGAAGTTGGTCGCGGAGCCTCATTAGGCACATTAGGAGCATTCCAAGGTGTTTATTTAAGATCAAAATCTCTACAACGTATATAGGAGACTTCACAAGGCTATATACCAGTACATGTGTACCATTGTATAAGTCCAAAAGCTTTTTGGAGATCCAGACCCGTCGAAAGATTAGTCAGCCTTTTGATGGCCGCATTCGGTGAGCGATGACTTCATGCGAAACCTTCCGATTAAAATGATGTATTGCAGTGGGAATATCCTGCACATGGCGTTACAAGGAACGAGTGAACCCATATGGATTACTCCACAGAGTAATTAATCCATAGAATCCTAAGAAACAAGTCATAATGACTAACGGTGGGAGGATAATCTACCTAGGTGGTAGTCTAGCTATTGAATAGTGTACAAAGCAGACAGCTCTTGTATGAAGAGTTCTTTCTCATGATAAAAAAAAAAAAGAAAACAAAAAGAAGAGAGGGAAAGGGAAAGAAGGAAAATAAAAACAAAGAACAAGCCAGTGTTGAGCTCTTACGTCATCTACAAAAGTAACCCCACCAGAAAAAAAAAGGGATTAAAAAAAAGTAAAAGAGAAAGAATAAATGATAGTTACCATAGTGATCACTCAAATACAAAAGAAGAAGGGAAGAGAAAAAAAAGACGGGGAAGAGAAGATCCAATTCACTTCAAGATCTACTACCCTAGGGATACGGACTATTAGTAGGTAGTAGAACCATCATGAATATGCTAGTAAGTAGGGAGTAGAATCACTCTTCCCAAGGCTATGGAAATGGCGAGAACCCCACTGGTGAATTCTCGAAGGAAAGCACTGATCAAATTCCTCGCCCAACCAGTGTGGGCGAAAACCATCGAAGCCCATGGATGGCCGTCGAAGCTATGACTTGCTAGAAGTTTCGCTGGAGCAGTAACTCACCGCCCACCACTATATCAACTGTAGCGCTCGCACAACCTTTGCCCTCCCCCTCCTTTTCTCACACATTAAATTTCTTCTCACTATCTTTCTTATTCTCATACCTGCTCTGTACATTACCATTGATTTGATTCCCCCTTTTCTCCGTCACGAATTTTTCCTTCTCTCATCCCCTTGACGAATTACCCCTCTTACAATCTTCACAATGGCCCCCGCTGTCGGTATTGATTTGGGTACCACCTACTCTTGCGTGGGTGTGTTCCGTGATGACCGCATTGAGATTATTGCCAATGACCAGGGTAACCGTACCACTCCTTCCTTTGTGGCTTTCACCGATACCGAGCGTCTCATCGGTGATGCCGCCAAGAACCAAGTCGCCATGAACCCTCACAACACCGTTTTCGATGCTAAGCGTTTGATCGGTCGTCGTTTCGCCGACGCTGAGGTTCAGTCTGATATGAAGCACTGGCCCTTCAAGGTTGTCGACAAGGGTGGCAAGCCCATCATCCAGGTTGAGTTCAAGGGCGAGGAGAAACAGTTCACTCCTGAGGAAGTTTCTTCTATGGTCCTGACCAAGATGCGTGAGACCGCTGAGGCCTACCTTGGTGGCACTGTCAACAACGCCGTCATCACTGTCCCCGCTTACTTCAACGACTCTCAGCGTCAGGCTACCAAGGATGCTGGTCTCATTGCCGGCCTGAACGTCCTCCGTATCATCAACGAGCCTACTGCCGCCGCTATTGCCTATGGTCTCGACAAGAAGACTGAGGGCGAGCGCAACGTCCTGATCTTCGACTTGGGTGGTGGTACTTTCGATGTTTCCCTCCTTACCATCGAGGAAGGTATCTTCGAGGTCAAGGCCACCGCTGGTGATACTCACCTTGGTGGTGAGGACTTTGATAACCGCCTCGTCAACCATTTCGTTGCAGACTTCAAAAGAAAAAATAAAAAAGGTGAGCCTCTCAATTCTTCCCTCACTTCTCTCTTATTTTACCCTATCATGCTGCATCAAGAGGATAGTTGAATACCTTACAAACAAAAGAGTGCACCTTGAGAGAAGCAAATGCTAACTTGGATACAATAGATCTCACCACCAACGCCCGTGCCCTTCGTCGTCTCCGCACTGCCTGCGAGCGTGCCAAGCGTACTCTCTCTTCTGCTGCCCAGACTTCCATTGAGATCGACTCTCTCTTCGAGGGTATTGACTTCTACACCTCCATCACCCGTGCTCGTTTCGAGGAACTGTGCCAGGATCTCTTCCGTGGCACCATGGAGCCCGTCGAGCGTGTGCTCCGTGATGCTAAGATCGATAAGTCCTCTGTCCACGAGATCGTCCTGGTCGGTGGTTCTACCCGTATCCCCAAGATCCAGCGCCTCGTCTCCGACTTCTTCAACAAGGACCCCAACAAGTCCATTAACCCCGACGAGGCCGTTGCCTACGGTGCTGCCGTCCAGGCTGCCATCCTGTCCGGTGATACTTCATCCAAGTCCACCAACGAGATCCTGCTCCTCGACGTTGCCCCTCTGTCCCTCGGTATCGAGACCGCTGGTGGTGTCATGACTGCCCTCATTAAGCGTAACACCACCATTCCTACCAAGAAGTCTGAGACCTTCTCCACCTACTCCGACAACCAGCCCGGTGTGCTGATCCAGGTCTTCGAGGGTGAGCGTGCTCGTACCAAGGACAACAACCTGCTCGGCAAATTCGAGCTTACTGGCATCCCCCCTGCTCCCCGTGGTGTTCCTCAGATCGAGGTCACCTTCGATCTCGATGCCAACGGTATTATGAACGTTTCTGCCATCGAGAAGGGTACTGGAAAGACCAACAAGATTACCATCACTAACGACAAGGGTCGTCTCTCCAAGGAGGACATTGAGCGCATGCTTGCCGACGCCGAGAAGTTCAAGGCTGAGGATGAGGCTGAAGCTTCTCGTATCCAGGCCAAGAATGGCCTCGAGTCCTACGCCTATTCCCTCAAGAACACCATTAATGAGGGCAAGCTCACCATCTCTGACTCTGATAAAGAGAAGGTCACCTCCAAGGTTGATGAGATTATCAGCTGGCTCGACAACAACCAGACTGCCACCAAGGAGGAGTACGAATCTCAGCAGAAGGACCTCGAAAGGTATGTGATATGAATCTTTCCGGCATTTTTCTCTTATTTTGATGCTAACTGTGGCCTAGTGTTGCCAACCCCATCATCTCCGCTGCCTATGGTGGTGCTGCCGGTGGTGCTCCTGGCGCTGCCCCCGGTGGCTCTACTCGCACTGCTGACGAGGTCGAGGAGAAGCCTGAGGAGCTTGACTAAATGTCTGCTGAATAGGCGATCAATTCTAATGGCTTTGTCTTTTAATACTCTGGTGTTTCCTTTTTTTAACGAATTTATGGGATTTCCTTTTTTTAAATTTTGTGCATAACTGCATAGATCCGAGTTTGTTTTTGACGCATGATGATCTGCAGAACTTGGGAGGGAAAAAGTTCCTTGCGAACAATCAAGTCTGGTTTTCTTCATATTATCGGTTTAATTTAATGTAACCGACCCTGTCACCTAAACGAGCAGACCACCTAAGTGATGAAGTACCTATGTATGGGAATCACATACACAAAATACTTTCAGGGTTTCCTAAATAGCACCACCAATGGATATATGGCTTTAAAAGTTGAATAGCTAGCTATCTAGTAATAATAACTAGTTAGGTTAACTGCATTAACTTAGTAAAAGTTATAATATCTAAAACTATATATATCTTGACATCCAAAACCCTCCCGATATTTTAGACTAAAATTAATATGACTATACTATATTTAAAGTAACCCTACAATTTCTTTAGATTTAAAGATAGTATTCATTATATCCCCTGGCCCGTAAACAATCCAGCTCATCGTATTGCTTGATTCCGTCATCCACAACCGAGTGTAGTGATTGAAACCACGTTCGTCAGGTCTTCACCGCCTGCGACTTAAAGCGGTCCCATTATAGTACTTGAAGCGGTGGTTTACTCGCAAAGTATATAACCGAGCCTTAGGGGGGAAATTCATGACGAAAAACATGAAAAGGACTCCATACTCCAATCCACACATTACTATAGTACTGCGAGTCTCATCACTCTCAAGCGCCAAGAATAACATCATCTTCCCATTGTTCATAATCTCTCAAAGTCCCCTGCCCACCATCTCCGTAACCTTCTTCCACCCAGCTGCAAAACCTCCCCATAACCGATTTCCTGAGTCCGTTCAGGAAATTTCTCACACTGCTCCCGACGGATTCTGAGAAAGGCAGCAGAGACACCGATTGTAAGGGCGAAAATGGGATCTCCGACCCTGTTCATTCGGCCAAGGTGGCAGCATTAGAAGGTTGATCTCGCACAATTTCGAAAGAGAAGACATCCGGCCATGAATGGTGTGAATTATATCCTGACAACAATGTATACGCAACGTACCTGGATATTAGATAGACCGGCATCACAGGTTAGGCTCCCGATAGACAGTATATATTTCAGTTTGTCGGATCAAGAAAGATAATGGGTGGAATGGGAGGTTCGAAGTCGCGATATCACGAAGTTGAGTTGAGTGTAATCACGTGATACGGACACCATCTATGGCCAAGGGGGGCTCCAGCCAGCTTACTCAAGATATAAAAACAATCAAAGGAAAGCTCGACTAATACGGTGCTAGTCGTTTTGTGATCCAGAAGTCGCATTTGTACTCGACTTGACCTATATTAATATGGCAAGGGATCAATAAAGTGGAGTTCATATATTTGACCAGGAGCCTTCCCCATAACCCAATGGCTTTAAATAGCATTAAAAAATAGAGGAAAGGAAACGAGAGGAAAGAGTCTATCAAATACAAATGGCCTAACAGTATGTTCTATTATGGTACTGATAGCCGCACGAAGGGGAAAGGAAATCAAAGCCTGCTATTATGTGACATCTCGTGGTGTTCTCTTTTATACGACCTGACCAAACGCGGGGATCAACGTCTGAGCCAGCCAGAAGCTGAAAACAAGCTTGGGCCCGGTCATTAGCAGCTTGGGTGTCAAGCCCTTGAAGAAGCTGGTAGCGCCCTCGTTCTTAAGCATGTTCGACACGATGCGGAATCCGGACTCCGGGTTCTCGAAGTTGCGGTTCTGGATACGGGTCTTGATCACATCCAGGGGAGCCGACACGATCAAAGAGGCGCTGGCACCACAGACTGAAGCCACGAAGTTCTGAGACCAAGAAGCCGAGTTGTAGTCCTTCAGACTGTAAATATACTCCTTAGCGAAGGCAGAGCCGCCAAACAGCTGTATTGTAGATTAGCATTTGCAATCATAGCCAATCATGTGGTTGCTGGTGATGAGCATACTGCGAAGGATCCAGGTGCATTGCGAGCGGCAGTCCAGCCAGCCCCGCGATAAAGTCCCATGCCTTCATCGGAGATAATCTTGAAAAGACCACGACCACGGAAGGCCTCGGGGTTTGTCTGACGCTTAATCTTCAGGACGTCCAAAGGCAGGAGGACGATTTCACCAATACCAATTAAACTAATTGCAATGTTAGCAACGTCAAATTTTGGTTAGAATTTTCTATGGGTAAAACTGACCTTCCGGCAGTAGCGTGCATGATGGCCTTGCCAGTCCCCTTTCCGAACGCATTATCAAATTCAGCACCGTAATGCTTAGCAAGGTAGTCTCTTGCAAAAGGCTGGCCACCGTACTTGTAAATTCGTTGCATAACCTCAAGATGTCTGTCAGCCAAAAGTGACGCGTCTATGCCTTTCCTATTCCACACACCTTATAGCCAGCAGCATAACCAAGGCCAGGGAAAAGGGAGGTGAACTTGCGGCCAACGGAGGCGTTGGCATATTCTTTGAAAACGACCTCGTTCATACGCTCGATAGACGTGATCTGATTCCGGATACAGTCAGTCATATGCGAAAGACAAGTTTTTTTCCTCCGTAGGGGAATAAAAATCGGCACTTACCCGGGTCTGATTGCTCATCAATCGCTTCGCAGTCGTATCAACCTTTATATTGTATTAGCATGAACCCAGCAACCCAAAGTCCATTGGGGAATAGAATAATTGGAGGTTAGGCCGTACAGGATGAAACACCAAGAGCTCCGCAATTCCAGCAGTTCCTTACAGAGTACCTTAGCAACTGAACATTTCAAGAGCTCAAGAACACAAGCTTACCCGAACCCAGAAGTCGAGCAGTCGCGGATTCCCTTTTCACATCTTTGGAGGCAGACCCAGCACCTGCCTGAACAATGGCGGGAGACATCTTTTTTTAATATACTGTTTCTTATCAGGTGGTGGACAAACGTAGTCTATGCGGATTAAAATTTTCTTTGGATTTCAAAGCGAAGAGGTCGGTATAAAGCAATTAGGACACCACAGATAAGTGACAGAAACACAACGGAAGCAGTGCAGGTAAAGAAAAGAAAGGGCCGGAAAAGGTAGGAAGGAGGGGGCAAAATCAAAGAGCTCCAGGAACGAGATGAGAAGATAGCCATCGCCTGGTTTTGCGCCGACTCGGACTTTGCTAAAGGGTTTCGGGTGGTAACCAGCGCTAGTCCTAGATAGGATATGACCACCGGCATTCATACCGGAGCAGTGGATTAGGTAATTCTATGTCTAAACTGCGTTATGTAACGGGATATACTGTACATGTAGTTACAGGAAGTTTACTAGCTTTTGATTTGACGAGTATCTGTAGAATTCGCAATAATGTCACCAAGAAATCGTTACTACTTAGCTGCTGCGATCAGCAGACTAGCTCAGAATTTAAAGAAGCATGCTACTTGGCATAACACGACATGAAGATGGAGGGAATCCCCATCACTGCTTGTCAAACGTATCATCACGAAAAGATCACATAAAAAGTAATTGCATTCAAACCATAATAGCCGGAAAGTCTTTGCCAATAGGGATCATGAAGAGAATACGGAACACCTAATATAACGCCTACACTCATGAAAGTATCACCGCAAGGCCGAACCAGCTCGTTTGGCTCATTCCGGAGTGGCTGGTCACACGTCCGGCTCCAAGAAAAACACATACTGACGTTGGGACAGTTACATAGCTTGAAAGAGCGGCCAGTCAGGGCTTAAAGATCGCCGAAGGTGTTCTCCCCCGAATATCTGGATATCATGTCAATATTGGCCGACGTGAAGTCGTTGAGGGATAAAACATACGTGATGTACAGAAAGCCATCTTCATCCTTGTGTTCTTCGTAGATACTGCTCATGAGTGCAGCCGTTGGTGGTAGTACCTCGTCGACGAAGATGAAGATAGCCTTCTCGGGAGACAGCTTGATGCGCTTGCGAATAACATAGACGAACTGTCCGACGGTGAGGTCTGCGGGAACTAGATACTTCTTCTTGTCGATGGTGGCGATGTCTGATTTCTCGACCTTTTCACAGATTACCTAGGAGTAAAGCTCGAGTTAGCACACCGAAGAAGCGGTGAACAGACATTTCACTCCTTAGGGGAAGAGAAACCATAGAGGGGAGTGTTATCTCCATGATAAACATATTTGGATGGGGACATGCGTACAGGAATGCGATCTGCGTATTTCTGACGGATACGCTCGGCTTCTGCCTTGCGCTTCTCGAAGGGGTGCTCGTCCTTAAACTTGGAGCGCATATCGATAAATCAAATCAGTCAATGAATACAACTAGTCTAGAGTAACAATATGAATACTAGGAAGATCAACAAGATAAATAGAGATGGTGTGAGGTGCAGAGCGATGCAAAGAGGTGAGCAGTAGTAAGTAGGAGGGAGAAGATGATGATGACAAAAGGGAGAGCAAGCCCCGCGTCATGTAGTTCCACGGCTGATAAGGCCTCCAGGCAAGAGCGGATCATGGGGTGGAGGCGGTGAGCGGCCCTACACGTGAGTCACTGTCATGTGCCTCTTGTCATTCATTCATTAAAGATCATCGGGGATATTGTTCAGAGGACTTAAGATGTCAACTTTATGGAGGCCAAGGCTGCAACCACACGTAATATATTCCATGTAATGGATATCACATGGCCAATAATCCCCATGCTACCCTTAGGTCCACAAAGTACTATGGAGTAGTACTTCGTACTCTACATTGAATGAATAGCTAATAGTTGTGGGTGTCAGCCTCCACATGATCAGCGACTAGACTAGACTCTGTTCCTGTAATCGGCAGTTTTTATCACAGTCATACTCAAGGTGTAAGTATACATACCTATTCTCTTCTGACTCTTACTGTGACTTATATTTCTCTGGAGTTTGACTCAACAGTCCCAACTTTATTATTCCTGATATCCAATCCACCATGTGCAAACAATACAAACAGCTTATTCAGCATCATCTAAATAAGCAGAAACGGACGGCTGTGGCAAACAGTGCAAATTGCGTCTATCCGGCCAGGTGGTCCCATATAGCTCTAGCCTAGGCAAAGTAACCTAAGAGTTGAGCTACTACATCCTTGAGTTAGGTGGAGCCATTGAGGAACGCGTGCGCCCACTGATACCGTTCCGACACCACCTGATCCTTCCACAGATCAGCCAATTCTGAATTTCGTTATAACCATGGCTTTGTCCCAGTCATACATGCCTCTTCGGAGGTCACTCTGCCATTTCTCATCGCGGACTAGTCGCACTTCTCGCAGCTTTCAGGGTGCATTTCGCAGGTACTCATCAGAACAGCAACACCGGGAACCAAAACCGTTTACTGTGTGGAGGCCATACTTGCGGCTGGCCATAGGCGTCCCATTTATCGCTGCTTTAGTATATTCCATGGTAAGTACATCTTTCAAAGCTAAATAGTAGGTCTAACTTAGGATACAGATGACAGGTGAAGTGACCGAACTCGACTCTCCGTCAATCGTGGAGCTCGATGAAACTTTAAAGAAACAGGCGACAATTAGCGAAACCTCCCCCATGCGTTTACGAATGGAAAAATTGATTAAAGAGCATCAAAAGAAAATTGTGGATGAGTTAAGCAGGATTGATGGCACACAATTCAAAACTGACACCTGGACGCGTCCCAATGGCGGAGGCGGCATATCCTGCGTACTCCAAGATGGAAATGTTTTCGAGAAAGCTGGTGTCAATGTATCGATTGTGTATGGTGAACTGCCTCGGGCTGCTATTGAAAAAATGAGGGCCGACCACAAGTCATTTGTTGGCGCAGACGTGAATTCGTTGGAGTTTTTCGCTGCGGGCCTTTCTCTAGTCTTGCACCCCCACAATCCCATGGCACCGACAGTCCATCTGAACTACCGCTACTTCGAGACATCAGACCCTAAAGATCCAATCAATGGAGATAAGAATTGGTGGTTTGGCGGTGGTACGGACCTAACCCCTTGCTACCTGTTCCCTGAAGACGTCAAGCATTTTCACCAAACCATCAAAGATGCCTGCGATAGGCATGATGCAACATATTACCCTAGGTTCAAGTCCTGGTGTGATAAGTATTTCTACCTTCCTCATCGCCGGGAGACTCGTGGTGTTGGTGGTATCTTCTTTGATGATCTCGATGCGAGCTTTTTAGAATCATCTGCGACCTCATCACAGAATCCTCAGGAGACTTTATTCTCGTTCGTCTCTGACGGACTCGCTTCTTTCCTTCCGTCCTATGTTCCTATTATTGAACGCCGAAAGGATATGCCGTTTACACCTGCTCAGAAAGAATGGCAACAACTTCGACGTGGGCGCTACGTGGAATTCAATCTCGTTTATGACCGCGGCACCAGCTTTGGTCTGCGTACTCCTAACGCTCGGATTGAAAGTATTTTGATGAGTCTTCCTCGTACTGCGAGTTGGGCTTACATGGATCCGGTGTCAGGAACTCGGACCGAGTCTTCTGCAGAGGAAGAGAACATGGGCGAGAACAAGGAGCGTGAGAAGGAATTAATGGATGTACTGAGACATCCCCGGCAATGGGTGTAGATTCCCTTGTAATGTAAGCATATGCCTAAACATGATATCATGTCTTCACTTCACCTGTACATTATGTTTGCGGAAATTATTTGAAAATTTCCATTATCGCATCTTCATATATATACTTGTGAGTTATGTATAGAGGACTTAACCCCTCCGATATTGTGACAATGAAATGCGAACATAGCCTTGAAGATACATAAAGTAGATGTATGCTCTATTGTCATCTAAGTCAAAAGACTGGGAGTATGCCGCCTTTGCGAATGCTAGTAATAAGATGTGAATAAGGTGAAGTGTGACGACAATGCAATCTAGGGGGTGGGGTGGCATATATAAATGGAAAGGGGGGAAAGACAGGGAAATGGACATAAAGAGAAGAATGGAAAGAGAACGTAAAACCTGTTCATGAAAGCCTGTGTTCCACTTAGGATATACCGGTCATTCTATCGACCAGCGACTAAGCTCCGTTGTCTCGCTAACCACCCCTTCTGAGCATCGGCTAGATTCGATCCGTGACGATACCTCGATACAGGAACATTATTGTTCTGTAGACGACTCTGCATTTCATACCAGGCGGAGCTCATAAGGGCGAGCTCTCGCGTCTGAGCATCAATGATTTTCTGAAGTTCGATCTGTGTAGATTATGGTGAGTGAGTAAAGTAAAAGGAGGAAGAAAGGAGGAAGCGTCCATGAAAAAAAGAAATCATGAAGCAGTATTAAGGCGCAGACTAAAGAGGTAGTGCTGTAGGCTTACCTCACGCTCCTTTGGTATGCTGTCACCCGCGTCTTCTTCAAAGTGTTTAAGTCGCTCCTGGAGGAACTTAATGTGTTCGTTTTGGTCATGAATGTACTGCAAGTTATATTTCTGTGTCAGTTTTCGGTGTGCATTCATGATATCATGAGGACATGAGCATTTGCTTTCACCAACCTCAGCGCGTTGTGCCAGCCTCTCTAGGTTCCGCTCAATCAGCTCAACCACTTGTTTTGTGAGTTCCACGCCCGACTTTTGGGAAGCCTCAGAGGCATCACCACTGTCTTGTGCCGCGATCTCTGCTAGCAGCTTTTTCATTTCCTCCATTGTCTCCTGATCCTCCACGCGACTCTCAGCAATCGTGGCCTGTCTGTTATCAAGCATTGTCCGCAGCTCATCTCGTTCAGCACATGTTTCCCTAACCAATGTCAGGCTGGCGTCAAGTTCAACTTGGAGAGTATGTATCTTTTGATTGTCTCCCTCCGATTCGCCCCGCAGCTTGGCTAACTCCGCCGAATTGTTCTCTTTAATCTCGTTAATCATGTCAAGCTTCTCCTTGTTTGCAAGTAGAACTATCGGAAGGTAAGCAAAATTCCAATGAAACTTGTCGAAGATTTAAGTGTCCACTCACTGGCTGCTCGCGCATCGGCAAGCGCTCTGCCGGTCTTGTCAAAAGAATCCTGTACTTCTGCAAGTTTCTTGAGCACCGAGGTGTACTGATCATATAGCTTCCAATACTCGTCACTGGAAAACATGTTAGCGCTAGTAGCTGGGGGATCAGGGTCGCCATACCCCTGAGTAGAGTTCTCTCGTGCACTCTGCAGAGTCTCGATAAAAGCATCAGAGAATCTTTCATGCTGGGAACTGGCCTGGAACTCATTATCAGTCAAATTTGTCTCTAGCATCCTTAGCATTCTGCTTCTACGGTATAGCCTACAGTTGTTGACGAGCCTTTCAATAGGTCGATCTCTTTCTTAAGCTCATCGTTTTCAGATTTCCTATTACGCAGAGTCAGCTCACGCCGGGAGGATAAGGTGGGGGGTTTCCTAACAATTGGGACTCCTTAACACCAATGTCCTCAAAGTCCTTTTGTAGAGTACCCTGCATCTTCGGCGTCTCACTGCCTGGGGTGAGAGCTGGACTACCAGGAGAGCCTTCAAGTTCCCGGATTCGCTCCCGTAGCTCGCTTATCAGAGCATCATCTCTTTCACGTTGTTCTTCAGCACTGCTAAGTCGCTCCGTCAGAGCATGGTTGTTGAATTCAAGCTGCTTTTTCAGACTCTGCATCTCGCTGCATTCCTGCTCAATGCGTGGTAGAACCCGCCTATATTCCTCAAGTTCTACATCGCGCTCTGATGTCCACCTCTGCTGTGAATCCGATTCTTTTAGCTGCTGCTGGAGGTCTTTAATTTGGTTCTTGAGCATCTGGTTTTCCTTCTCAAAATCCTGGCTGGCTTGTAGTTTTGAACGATATTTCTCTGCTGCATTAGCTTTGCGAGCAAGCTGGTCTCTTTCTGTTTTCAGCTCATCATAGTCGTCCTGCAACCTCTGGAACCGTTCGTTTTTCACACGTAAGGATTCTACCGTCATTCGCAGGCTATCAACTTCATCTTGGGTCGCAGCGAGACGAGCCTCCTGAGATGCGATGATGTCTTCCTGCTGGCGGGACTTAGTCTCTAGGGCTTTCGTGTTGATGCCGAAGTCGCCTTTCCCGGACTTTAGGTTTCCTAGCCGATCCTCTGTGGTCGCAAGACGGCTCTGCAGGGTATCGTTATTTTCTTGGAGACGTGCCAGACGGTTATGTAGGTCCTCCAATGCCTTCTCCAGCTCCTTCTTTTCATGAGTTAATCGATCATTCTCCGCCAGTACTTTCCCCACTCGTTCCTCGAATTGCAGTTCCAGATCGACAGGATGCTCCCGTTTGGATATATCCTCCTTAATCTCATCCACGGGATCAAGGGGTTCGTGCTGGCCATTCTCGGCTTCCTCAAAGATATCTTTCAGGCATTCTTGAGTTGGAGTGCTCAGTGTTTGCAGAGTCTCCACGTACGACGGCGCGTTGGGCGAACGGATAGCGGCGATCAATATGAGCTTCAGGAGCTTATTGGTCTCCTTGATCGAGTTCTTTTCAGCGACTACTTCCACATTTGGGGCTGGATCCAATCCAGAGGGGATCCCATCGGGTTGTTGGCGAATATAATTGACCAGTGTTTTGAGGATGTGTTTCAAATTCTGGAGTTTGGTCAACCAGTGGTCTGACGGGTCGCGCTGCGGGAGTTCATCGAGAAAATATTGGGGATCGATGTCCTGTAAGATCTCCCAAATTATAGCCCCATCCGTCAATTCATCGGTCGTTCGAATAGTTTTCCCAAGGGCGAAACTGTTGATCCACTCCAACAGTGCCTGTGTGACCGTGTGTTCGGAAGCCATGTTGGGTTAAGACGCTGTGTTGAGGAAAAGATGATTCAGGGGAACAAACAGCAGAAATTCAAAGAGATGGGCAATAGGTCTGCACGTAGAATCGCATCCTTCTGAAGCCAAGAGGGGCGAATTGGTCGATGAGATACCGACAAAGACCTTGGAAGGGCTCTTGCACAGCTTTCGGGGGATTCTAAGTGTGATCCACGCTACGCGCATAAACAGATTTATTTACGTAGTAATCCGCGGGGGCTCGGAGGTCTGCAACTACGTAACTACTTTTCCAACTCCCTTTCACACTAGGAATTTACCACTGCAGTTGTTAAGAAAATTGTACAGAATAAGATCAATTTTAATATTCATATTCATAATTCCTTTCTCTTTCCTCCCACCGCCTTTCTCTCCTAACAATAGGGACCCTGGAGAGGCAGGAAAACCCCATCATGATAGATAGGATCATGACTTATACGAGTATCAATAATGACACGCAAAGCAACGGCAACAATTTGAAACGCTATTAGGATATCTGAAAACTGAACACCGACGCTACAATTCCCTGGACGTTACAATCAATCCAAAGCCATTATTCGTTAAAGGCCCGGTCCATACTTGCTCCTTTAGCTCCAGCGTTAGTGACTAGTTCCGAGACCAGCACGGGGCCGTTGGAATGCGCAGGGAGACATCATCTTCGAGCACCAGCTCTGCGATCACTACTGGATGGAAACCGGTAGGTCTTTTTCAATTGTCGGGTTATACTTCGCAGATTGGACCGAGATTTGCTGAACCGCCGATTCGGGCGCGTCAGCGGAGAACCCGCTAAGAGATCATTAGAAGCTGCAGCCGAGAGTGAGATCAGAAAAAGAAGAAAAAAAATTACTTGATTAACTCTGAGAAAAGGAATGGGTTAGTACTTTGTGTATAACAAATCCATCTTTCGTAAAAGGAGAACCATGGATACTTACGATACTTATGGGTGATTCGTCCACCCTAGGAATGGAAAGATCAGTATGGGGAGTCTGTACAGGATCAACTAAGGTCCTCAACATACAGCACTGATAACAGAATTCATCGCGTCCTCTAGGACAGATGAAGGGGTGTCCTTAGGATATGTGACCACAATAGGATTGGCGAAAACCAATGACAAGCATCCGAAAAAGAGAGCAGATAGGAGCTTCATGTTGATGTTATCGATAAGCCTTGAAATGGAATACCGGTGTCTCCAGTGGGTACAATACTCGATAGTGTAGTCAATACTGACTGATCATAGATACAGCCTCAAGTCGAAGCAGCAACTGCGTCATCTGATGACGGCTGACTCAGCAGCCACAGGACAAGCCGAAACTTAGCGCTTTCCCTTTCCTTGAAACAATCTTCAGTGAGTCCGATAATCACTTCATCCGATTCATCTCCTTTCAGCCACTTTCTTTTCCCCCTACTCCTGCTTCTACCTTTACTCCTATTCCTCCACCCCCGGCTTCACCTTCGCCTTCCTTTACCATCGATCCTCTCCCCTTTCTGTCTCCACCCCCTCCCCCCTCCCCTCAACCTCCAATTTCACCTTGCGTTCCTCTTCTTTCCCTTTCGCGGGTCGCCTTGAGATTTTCAATTCCCATCCGCGGCTAGTTTTGCTAAGCAGCATAATCTTCCCGAACGGTTATATTGTCGGAAAACCCCCCCGGTAATCCAGATAATCCCCCCACAGCTCCTTCGTACCACCCAGGGTCCTTTGCTGGTCGTTGCTTACTGGAAGGGTCAGTCGGCGTGGGGTATCGTATGAGATAGACTTGCATACGGACTTGGGATTGGGAAATCGTCGAGGGTTCTTTTCTTTTTCCTGTTTTGGGCGGAGGTCTTGCATCCTCGTGTTGTTTTCTCAAATCTGACGAAGATAGCTACAAGCATTCTACAAGTTCCGACATTCCTTTCCATCTCTTGCTCTTTCAGGAGGACCGTTCTCAGAAACCCAAGGAGGGACGAATAAGACACTTATATACGATAAATCTGAAGAGAAACAAGGAAAAGGTCCTGTTAAAGAAAAGAAAAGAAGAGGGGGGAAGAAGAAGATCAGAGAGAGAAGCCTCCCCAATCTAAGGAGAACAAGAGGGAGAGAAAGAAAGAAAGAAAACAAACCAAACCCAAAAATTTACAAAGAAAAAGAAAAGAAAAGAATCATTAGCCTTGAGTGTTCCAATTGACATTCTTGGATTGTTCAGTTTTCACCTACACCCTCATTTCAAACCCTTATACTCCCCATCGTTATCACCGTCCACCTGTATATCTGCCAACATGTCGTCAGGACTGGCCTCTGATGAAGTCGCTGAGGATTACAAGAACTCATTGGAAGATCTAACAACGAATGACAGGTTCCAGATCAGCAATTTAACGGTTATAGCCAAGGAGAATACTGAGCATGCCATGGCCATCTCCCGAGTGCTGGAGAACCATATCCGAACAGTAGGTGGCATACTCTTTCCCAGATTCTCGCGCTTGTTGGGGTCGTATGTGGCAAGGCGCACTGCCGACAGTAGTCTTTCTGGACGAACTTCTAATCTTCGTTTCTGTAGACACCGCCGGCCCAGAAGTTACCCGCCTTGTATGTAGTCGACTCAATTGTCAAGAATGTAGGGACGCCCTACACGCTTTTCCTGGGTCGCAATATGTACCAGACATTCATGAACGCATATACTTTAGTCGACTCGCAAACTCGCAGGAAACTGGACGAGATGCTCAAAACATGGAAGGAGCCGGTCCCCGGTTCTCTGGACACGAGGCCAGTCTTCCCCCCTGAAATCACTCGCAGCATCGAGAGCGCCCTTATCAAGGCGAGGACAGCCGCTCTTCAGCAGCAGCAGGCGAGGAGCCAACAGGAAGTTCTTTCTCGTGGCCGGGTGGGAACCCCCCCAGGCTGGGGCAACAACAACCCTACCCCTCAGAACTCTTCTCGTTATCCACCATCTACGAATTCGACGCCACCTATGCTATACCACAGGAACGGGTCCGGTCATGGATTGCCAGTAAGCGCTCACCGGCTCCAATGGTGCCATAGTATTGTCCTGAAATATCTAACACACACAACAGGCGGACCCGCGATCAACCCCAACGCCTCAGCAACAGCCGCAACAGCAACAACGGCAGCAACAGGATATAGACCTCTCAGCTTTGAATCGGGATATAGAGGCCTTGATCACAGCTGCCCGAAGTGATTTTGCAAACAATCCTCTCGACCCTTCCATACAGCAGCGGTTAAAGGCTCTCCTAGACCTTCAGGGTATTCTGCAGCGCCAGGAGCTTACCCAGGAGCAATTGAAGCTTGTGCGCGATCAGGTGTCTGCGCTAGCTCCAAAGTCCTCTATTGCAGTTCCTTCAACTGTTTCCTCTGCTATTCCAATTGTGTCAGCGCCACCCATGCCAATTCCGCCTGTCCAGACCATCTCCCAGCCTCTCCAGCAGCTTTTGAACACAGGGACACTTGCTGAGCTCATCAAAACTACTGCTGCATGCCAGCAGCCTACGCCACCGCCCCGGGTTCAGAGCATCATGCCTCAAGCACCGAGCAGTGCGACGCCGCAGCCCACTATGCCCTCAAACCCACTAATTGCAGCTCTTAGAGCACGGGGCCTCTTACCTCCTGCTTCTGCACCCCCAGCGACGTCCACTACGCCAACCTCAAACCTCACCTCGGTATTTCCATTCATTGTGCCAGGCCAGGTGCGGTATACCCCCCCTGTGCCGACGCCCCAAGCAGGTGATACTTCAAATGTGCAAATCAATGTTCAAATGAACACAGCCTCTATCAAAATGTAGGCTATGCCGATGTTCTTGTTATTCCAACACCGCTAACTTGAGCGACAGACCACGAATTGCATTGATAGCTACTCTTTACGAATCAAAGCCCAATCGTTGTGGCACTTGTGGACGTCGGTTCTTTGCGACGGAGGATGGGAAAGAAAAGAAGGCGCGTCACCTAGATTGGCACTTCCGAACTAATCAGCGGATGACGGAGGCCGCCAGACGGGCCCAGAACCGCAGCTGGTACGTTGACGAACGGGTAAGTTTTCTCTCGCTCCTTTACATCTGTTGTGTCCGAGACTTTGTTCAACTAACCTTAAGTAGGATTGGATCAAATCCCGGGAGGTAGGCGATGATGAAGGTCTCGTGGATACGGAGGCGTCTGGTGAGGGTGCAACTGGAGGTGATGGTGGTTCCGCAAAGAATGGGCCACCGAAGCAATGGATACGCGCTCCTAACGATGCCACATTACGGAACACCCCCTGTCCCATTTGCCAAGAAAAATTCGAGTCGACATGGTCTGAGGATGTCCAAGACTGGATATGGCAAGATGCCATCAAGGTTGGGAATCGCGTGTACCATGGTAGTTGCTATGCAGAGGTGACCAAAGATGGATCCACGCCAGCTCATCGAGGGCCTCCTTCGGGACGGACTGGGACTCCAGACTCTATATTGGGTAAACGCAAGGCGGAGGTGAGTTTGCCTTAGTGTGAAATGGAGGATGAACGAAGGTTCAAGAATTCACGAGGCTAACATATATGGGGTCAGGGAACCGACTCTCCAGGCCAAAATGTCCGGGTCAAGATAGAGCCAATGTGAGGTGAGGGTTTTCGTCTGGATTGTTGAGGAGAACTAGTTAGTACTTTCTAACTTCGTTCGAGTAGAGATGCATGCATCTAGCCAATGGGTTTCTTTCTTTTTTCATTTTGCATCGGGATTAAGCCCCCCGCCCGGGGGTTTGTGATTCATCGTCGGAGATATGCACTTCAGCAATTGGAACCATTTGTATATATATAGTAGCCAATATCGACTGGTATCTACATTTCCCTGCATTCTCATCCTTCGTTGCAGCCAGAAAAATAAATTCTTTTCCCTCCCATCCGACGGAGGAGGGGCAGCTGCGGGGGAAAACGCGGGAATTTCTTTTATGATAAATTTAAAATAAATTCATACTTGTACCCCACTTGTTTCTTCAATAAATTAGTACTCCACTCTAAGTAGACCCTCTTCGCGGTACTACAGTTGCATTGCGTTACAAACTCAACCGAACCCCCCACCACCCAAAATACAAATACAAATACTCTCTTCTGCCATCTAGTATCACTTTTCGCCCACATCTTTCCTTTCTCGGTACTATAAATCTATATCCATCTATCCTTGGACCGGCAGCATGGCTCCGCATAACGTCCGGTGGGGCATTATGGGTAAGAGAAAACTGACAAAGAACAATGATCGATGATAAGCTAATAATACTCTTCTGTAGCCACCGGCTGGATAGCAAGTGGTAAGTTCTTAGCGTCACGGTGTATATCCCAGCTAACGAGAATGTACAGTCTTCGTAGAGGACCTCTTAAAAGATCCTAATGCCCGGGGTGTCTCCGATGTCTCCCATACCATCGTCGCAGTTGCCTCATCGTCTTCCAAGTCCCGTGCAGAACAGTTTATCTCTGATACAGGCATTCCAGCTCCCTGTGCTACATATGGTTCTTACAAGGACCTTGTGGCCGACCCCAATATAGACGTAGTATACGTCGCAACTCCTCACTCACACCACTTCCAAAATGTTATGTTAGCCTTCGAGGCGGGGAAGCATGTTCTCTGTGAGAAGGCTTTCACCGTTAATGCAGCGCAAGCAAAACTTCTCTGTGAGACGGCCAAGGAGAAAAATCTCTTTCTAATGGAGGCCGTCTGGACTCGGTACTTCCCGCTCAGCGTGCAGGTTCGTGGGTTAATCCAGGATGGCACTATCGGCGAGGTACTGCGCGTGCTGGCCGACAATAGCTTTGGAGATGATGTGGAGGAAAAATGGGGTAGCAAGCATCGGATGGTCAACATGGATCTAGCCGGCGGTGCGTTGCTTGACTGTAAGTTGCCCCTGCCCTTGTCACACGCCTCTGTTCTCTGCCCTTTCCCTTAGGCTTGATATCTTTTTCTTACCACTTTCCGCATGGTAGGACACGTTCTGAGGCTAATACGAACCTACAGTGGGTATTTATTCCTTAACCTGGGTCTTCCAGACCTTGTATCACACACTTCCCCGCGAATTGCGCAAGCCTCCCTCGCAGATCTCCTCGCACATGTCCCTTTACCACCTCACTGGTGCTGACGAAGCAACCTCCATCCTCCTCACCTTCCCCACCAGCTCACCGACCAACCTACCTCACCCAGGTGAATCACAGGCTGTGGCCATGACGCATCTCAGGGTGTCGACCAATGTCGACGAGAAACCTGTCCAACCCTCAGTGCGCATCCAGGGCACCAAAGGTGAGATCCAGGTATTCGGTCCTGCGTTCCGGCCAGAACGCTACCGGGTTGTTCTAAAAGGCGAGAGTGAAGCCAAGGAGGTGGAGTGTCAATTCCCTGGTGACGGAAAGGGGATGTACTGGGAAGCGGACGAGGTCGCACGTTGCTTGCGGGATGGTAAGCTTGAGAGTGATGGTCTGCCATGGGAGGAGAGTATTGTTATAATGGAGGTCATGGATGAAGTTAGGCGTCAGGGTGGATTGACTTATCCTGAAAACATTGAATCTACTGTCTACCCTATATCGTTGTAAGTGGTGGATTGCATCGTGTGGATAGGAACAGAACATACACGCCTTGATCAGATAGGTATATTTATGTATATAACCAACGCAGGGCAGCGCTGTTAAGGTGGGAACCGTCTCTAAAGCAACTTATATTTTAGGTCTCGAGATTAGTTACTATACATAAGTCAAATCCCCACCGAGAGCCATCTAGGTATGGATATCCGAAAGACAAATACGTTCACATATCAAAAAGGGAGCTCTGCTGCAGACCAACTAAGGCGGCAGACCCTTCGTCAAAAGTTTATACCTATCGTGTTGTGTCGGCCGAACCGGGAGAGATGCAAGGGTCACAAGGATGCTTGTCCCACGGTGAAGGAGAAAAAGAAGAATTACGTTTATTTGTTCTGGTGGAAAACGCCGAGTAAACTCTTCCACACTTGACCGGGTTCCTGACTGGCATCAATTCCCCGCCAGATACCAGTCTTCTTATAATAATCCACGACAGGAGCGGTCTGGGCATGGTAAGTTCCGAGGCGCTTCTTGAGGGTCTCGGCATTATCATCGGACCGCTGGATGAGAGGTTCGCCGGTAATATCATCCTTCATCTCCTCCTTGGGAGGGTTGAAAACCTTATGGTAAGAGCGCCCAGAAGCCGGGTGGACCAGACGTCCAGTGATTCTTGCGACCAACAAGGCATCATCGATCTGCAGCTCAACGGCATGCTGGAGCTTCTGTTGGCGAGTAGTAAGCATGTCATCCAAGCGCTCGGCCTGAGCAACGGTGCGAGGGAAGCCGTCTAAAATGAAGCTGAGCAGATGATATTCAGTAGTTGTAGACGCGAGATTTCGAGTAGTGAAGATACGAACCCGTTCTTGCACTCAGTGTTGTTGTCGAGCTCGCTCTTAATCATGTTAACCATGATCTCGTCACTAACTAGACCACCCTGATCCATGATCTTCTTGGCCTCCTTGCCTAGCTCAGTCTTCTTGGCAACCTGGGACCGCAACATATCTCCGGTGGCCTGCTCCGATTAAACAAGTATAAGTCGTTGCACCTTTCAATTTATACCAACAATTGATCCGCCGGTCAGTCACTTACCAAGTGGCATACACAGTACTTATCCTTAAGCGCAGGTGCCTGAGTGCCCTTGCCTAGTTTGAAAACTGGTCAGAATCCCGAAGCATATGAACCCGAAAATATCACGGGATTGGATGGGGTCGGATTAAAAAAAGAAAAAAAAAAGATATAGAAGTTCATACCTGCACCGGGAGGTCCCATCAGAACCATGCGCATCTGTTCTGCAACAGACTTAGGCTTAGTTCCATTGCTGAGACGGCTCTCCAATTCCTCAACCCGGGACTCGAGCTTTCCAATGATATCCTTAAGACCGGAAACGGTCTCTTCCGTTATAGGAGCCATTGGCATTGATTCAAGCGGAGAGTGAAAGGGATAGTATTAGAAGTAGTGTTCTCCAAGGAAGCTTAGAGTGGAGTCGGGGTGGGAGAGAGGGTAGGGATTATAGGTAGAACGGAGCGCAAATGGCGGGTAAATGGAAAGGTCGGAGACTGTATGTTGGGGGTGAAAAGAGGTCAACCGGAGCGGAGTATCGCACCCGTGTCTCCGAGGTTTAAAGATCCGGCCCCCAAGTGCCGCACGTTGCGGTTACTGACCGGAATTCTCCCATTTCCAGTGATTTGGTAACGTGAGCCTTGTGGAATTGAATCATTTTACTAGTGTATAGGTACCAGATGCCATTCTACCTTCCTATAAGCCGTAGCGGTTAGTAAGAAGACACGCGTTCGTAGGAGCCTTAGGCAACAAGGCACAAATGTGGCTAATAAGACAGCCTCATCACTGTGGCTGAAGCAGAGCACCGGAGCTTCAGTGACACGCCCAACGGCAGCTGTACCTCCGTCATCATCGTTTACCTCCCTCAAATCATCTCCATTCTATCTTCCCGACTAGGGGCCTCTCTTCTTAGCTTCCCTTTTCTCACCATATCACGTATCTCTCAGACTTCATCTCACATCACGTCTCGTTGATATCTGGTTCCGTACCTTCTGTTTCCGCCATGCCTGCTACCACGGCGGACACACTCTCCCTCGTCACGCGAACCGTCACGGTTGCGCCATTAGTGCTTCTCTCGGTCGCAGATCATTATGGCCGCTCGGCTAAAGGAACTCGTAAGCGCGTGGTTGGAGTGTTACTGGGAGAGAATTCCGGCCAGACTGTTCGAGTATCAAACAGCTTTGCAGGTGCGTTTCGCTGCTGATCGTTGATCCTTTCCATCTGATCCCTGTCCACCTCGTTTTTAAGTATTGCTGACATTTTCGCCCCCAGTTCCCTTTGAGGAGGATGAAAAGGACCCGTCCGTGTGGTTCCTAGACCATAATTTTGTCGAGTCGATGAGAGACATGTTCAAAAAGATTAACGCTCGTGAGAGGCTCATCGGGTGGTATCACTCCGGCCCGAAATTACGGGCCTCTGACCTGGAAATCAATGAACTGTTCAAACGATACACGCCTAATCCTTTACTGGTGATTGTCGATGTCCAACCAAAGGAAGTTGGCGTGCCGACGGATGCCTACTTCGCAGTGGATGAGATCAAAGATGTGAGTGACTGCGCATTACATGGGAAATGGCATTTTTGTGTCCTCTGTGGAACATTTGCTTATCAAATGAATTCAAATTCTAGGATGGCACCACAACATCCAAGACCTTTGTTCATACTCCATCCATAATCGAAGCAGAAGAAGCTGAGGAGATCGGTGTTGAACACCTTCTTCGAGACATCAGGGACGTTGCTGTCGGTACCCTCTCTACGCGCATAACGTCGCAGCTGCAATCCTTGCAAGGCCTGCATTTACGCCTGCGGGATATTGGACAATATCTCCAGAAAGTGCTCGACCACGAGCTACCTGTCAATCATGCCATATTAGGCAACCTCCAAGATGTCTTCAATCTCCTCCCCAACCTGTCGACCCCACCAGCGACGCCACGCCTTAGTGGGTCAGAGCAACAGTCGGAGAACAGCGAGTTAGCACGAGCCATGAGTATAAAGACCAACGATCAGTTGATGGCTATCTACTTGAGTAGTTTAATCCGCGCTATCACCGCCTTCCACGATTTGATTGAGAACAAGATTCAAAACAGACAACAGCAAGAAGAAAATGAACTCAAGAGAGAACAGGAAGCCAATGCCGCTAAGGGTGAAAAGGAGGCAAAGAAAGTGAACGGAGCTGGGAACAGCGAGCAGAAGGAGGAGCAGGATGGATCCAAGGAGAAATCCAAGAGGAAGGGTCAATGAATTACTAGGGCTATCGAGTCAATGTGATATGATTTAGGACAATCCAGTCACCCATCGAAATGTATAGTACAGTAATTCTATCTAGTCTATGTTGGTCTTCTGCCTAGCTTACTGTCGGAGATACAGCGATAGATTTACATCGAAAGTGACTCTTGATATCTAACTTAGGCTTCTATATCGGCTCTCAATCTTGACCGTGTCCTATTTGGCGTCGAGTCCCATCATGGAAAGCCATGAAGGGGAGTTGGCTAGCCCATATGTGCGTCTTAGGCCATCAGACCTTTATTCAGGCTAGCTACCATCCAGTGAACACGAGCTTATCGCATAGCTATAGACTATCTACCTAGATTCAATTCAGGTCATTCTTGCATGAGGTCGATTCCATACTAAAGACCGTCAAATATGATATGACATAGCTCCATTGTTCGCTCGCCCAAGGTCTGACAAAGATTGTCATCCGGTTGCACGACACCCCGCAAAGCAAGATGGATGGTATATATCCGATCACATTGGAGATGGAAGCTAGAAAACCAAGTTGTTATACCCTCGGAGATCACGAGGATCGCTGAGATGCAAGTATAAAATGGCAAATATAGCTCATCATCCCCCCCAACCAGCGCACCAGCCTGCCAACTCCTCTGCACTGATCACAATTCGATTGCAGTCATTATTGGGGGCTCCAAAGAGTGTGGGGCAGCGCACCATTAACAAACAAGCAAGGAGATGCTTGCATACGGGAGGCGACCATTTTGCTGATCGTCGAGTCAAGCTCCCGCCGAATGGGGGACAATGCCTGCCAGATGCACATGAGGACTGCGGGATACCATCGCTGGATGGATCATCTTCAGCCAAGTCTGCACCTAAATCGCGGAATGCAGCAAGTGTAAACGTTGGACAGGTGCAATTCCACGCTTGTAGTCGGGCTTCGTAGCCCTTTTGGTCTGCATGTGGACGGGAGGACATCGACGTGGATGTCATAAATGGGGCTGTAGATAATGAAATGACGAAGAACATATCCTCGGGTAAGGGTGGCCTGCAATTTGGGGTGGGCGATGGCTCAGTAGCGTTGGGATTTTCCTTCCTGAAGCATCTCACTAAGCCTCGGTCCAAAATATCCAAGGCAAGTAAAAGCTCATTGGGGAAAAGACAGTGGAGTGTAATCATTAATGGCTTCAATTTCGATACATGGGCTGAGGTGACAGATAATGGAAGCTGGCTTTCGGCGCTGCAGCTGTTCTCAGGTTTGGTGGCACACTCCGAAAGCTGCGAGATCAAATGCTCAGCAAACTGTACGGTGGAAGATAGAGTATTATCTGGCGGGATTTGGGATTCCATGTGGCCTGGTTGAGATCTGATAATCTCGGTGGTCATACGACAGGTGTTAAATTGAAGGTTGATCGAATTTACCCGGAGGAGCACCAATACCCTACTACTACCACCATACCACTGAGAAATCTAACAAAAGTAACAAGAGCAACAACTAAATGCAATCTTATGTTGAATGTCAGCCCCTAGTTAGTTCTCTTCATAAACCGTCATAGTGCGAGCCTCTTTCCTCCCTTTCGCCGACATTCTTTTAGCGACGCTAATTTATTGTCCGAGGAAAGCTAAAGTGGCATTGGATGGTCCCTTAACTCCTGGAAATGGATTGTCCATTTCCTCTTCAAATTTGTCCCTGCTGGAGTTGCAAACAGGATGCCGAATAAGTTCTTCTGCCAGTCTATGGGCGCTGATTAGTCGTGAAAATTGTGTAATCGACCAAATACGAAAGGCTTTTTGACATTCAGGTTTGACAAGGATACGCAAATATGGGACGCGACCGTTGGTCTTTCCAGCAAGAAGCCGTTGACGTGGCGGTATGTGTGTTAAGCTTAACACTTATTGTGAGATGGTGGATTAAATCGTGTGGGATGAACTTGTGAAAATCTCTTGCTGGTCGTCTAGTTAAACATGCCTACTTATTCTCCAGCATCACAACTTGTGTCAGCTTTAAGAGTCTATCTTTGATCCTATATGGATGTTCCCTCATCCATCAATATATTTTCCCTGCCAAGTTCAAATTGAGAGCAATTTATAGGGCTTTGTGGCACCAATCTTGGAGAGTAGAGGGCAAGAATCTGTCACTATACTGCTGAGATAAAGCAAATCAGGTGTCAACACGGTCATTCCTGTATATATTATGTCTGTTCTATTTGCTATTAGGGTTGATAGCGTTGGTTGCTAACGTTTTCTTCTTTCTGATACTTTCGCAAGGATGCTTCCCAAAGGCTACTTATCATATCCACGAGAAATCCAGTACCAACATATTCGAATAGGAACGTACATTCTCCCGAGGGCTGCACAACTCTTAGCTAGGTGCAGAAAGTGGAGTATGACAGAACGAAATATATTTAATCCTAGAATGATATCCCAAGGCCCCTTTGATGACAAGCACTTGAATGTAAGGTAGTGATAGTAATCACAAGTTCCTTTGTTTTCAATTTTAATAGGACCATAGTTCATATTTCCCATTCAATGGCTAAGATTTTAGGACTTCCATAGTATACTCTATCTATAGTTCAAAAAGCAACAAGTCTAGTAGTACAACGAAAGTGAGGGGAGAATCCAAACAACATTATTGAGAAATTGATAACACGGTGTTATCGATCATCTCCCGCTTTGGACATTGCAAGCGATCTAGTGGGGTTCCCAAAATCATAACCGGCCGACTCCTGAGCGGTCTAGGTCCAACGTCCAACAGGGTAGGTTGCGATCTACTATTAACTAGCTTAATGCTGATAGTGTCAGCGAGGCAAAGGGTACGTGGCTGTTCTTTACCCCCACCAGTTGGAGCCCTAATTACGGATTTCAATGACTGGCTGCTGTATCTAGTGGGTATCGGCCTTGTAGTGGTCATATTCAAATCATGCTGACATCTGCAGGTGATCACAGCGTTGTGTACGGAGTAGTTGATGCCAATTTAGTAGTCCAATTTACGTCAAAGAAGGTAGGCAGTGGAACGAGCTGGATAACGTCTACTGGTATCTATCTGAAACCTCTTATATTTGATTGTCTGGATCTGGCTCCTTAGCCAAGACCCTTTTTTGTTGAACTACTGCGGTTTATACTGACTTGGACAAGAAACGGCAGTTCCATTCTAGGATGATGATGATAATCGTAACTACCTATACGGACGGTAAGTCTATAACAATGGAAAAGGATAATAATTTACAATAGGAATATTCAATCAAGTGTTTCCCCACAACATGTGTTTGATCTCATCAGGTGTGGATCTCATATCCCCTAGTCTACTCTTGGGCCTTTGACTCCTCATTAAACACTAATCACTGTAATTCAATCATATCTCATTTTCCCTTCCCCGCCGGGTTCGATGGTCTGATTTCGCCCAGTCGAGAACTTGACGAGACGGAAAGCACCCCGTCCCTTTTGGACGGAGTGATAGTGAGACAGAAAAGAAGGAAAAGGAAAAGGAAAAGGAAAAAGGGGATTTGAATAGGAGATTAGAATGCTTCTCATCTTTTCAGTTATAAGGTCCCTCCTAATGAGACCTTTTTTTTGGCATGTTCATAATTCTCTGCCTACACTATCCACTTGTAGAAGAGCTTGCTCTCCTTCCTTTTCAATCTGGTCAGGTCATACACACACTAAAACTACTCCGTATCCTGTTTCAAGTCCAATAACGGCAGGCCATCTGACCTTGTAAGAATTTAATATTTATTATCTAGTATTTACTTTTACTTCCTCGTGGCCCATTGTTTCGCCTTCAACAAAGGATATGAAGAAAAAGAGATCAAAACATAGCCCTTTCTGCCAGGATTAAACCAGCTCACCGTGCCTTATGTCTTACGTTGAAAGTGTTAAGTATGTTACCACTAGATTGCTTGTTCTTTAATAGATCGCGTCGATATAGTTAGGGCGATCGCCTCGATCCACAAGTGTACAGAAAATATACAGTACGTAATCGCCGAAGCAGCAGCGGAGGAACTAGAGGAATAGTGACGAGCAACAAGCACTATCTATGAGAACAGACTGTCGCTGAAAATAAATAGGTAAAAAAGGACAATAAGAAGGAGGGGAAACGACCATTAAGACCATAATACATACCAGAACCTTCAGCCCAAAATCTGGAAGGTGACAGCTGAGTTCCTCTTCTTAGAACCCCATCCAAATCCACACGGGGCTCCATCCTACTACCTCTTCTGGGCCAACCATATCGTTTAGAATATACAAAATATGGGAAAAGCTGGCGTTGCTCTTCCCCATAATTTCCCTAAGCCTCGCACTTCTTAGCAAATCTAGACCTTAGCTAACACGCAGATCCACCCTTTGTTGGGCAGCGGCGAATGCCAACCGTTTCCTACTCCATACAGAAGCACATCTTTCAGGCCTCAGCTCTGCCACGAAACGACGATCCAAAGCGTTTCATATTTTCAAGGAAAGCATCCCCTTGTCTCATTGTTGATTATCCCCTTCCGGCCTTGGACTCTGTTTAATACGTACTACAACTCCACCGGCCCGTCTACTTCGCAGACCACGAATCAAGAGAACTCTCTACACTTAGCTTTTGATGGAGTTCATTGAGATGATTGGATAAGTTGAGAAACAACGAGGGAAAGTGGAGGTGGGCTTCGGAGGTACCTAAAGAGCGCTGTGCTGTTTATAGCAACAATGACGATCACCATAAAGAAGACAACAACCTCATATAAAGGATGAGTCATTGTTTATCTTCTTGAGAATGATTGATATGGTTCGGTAATTGAAAACGGGACAGAGCACAAAGGTACTACTACACTACGTAGGTACATACCCAGGGAGTAGTAGTCCTCAGTACCTAGGAAGTGAAGCTCGGGGCCCAAAGAGAAAATTTTTATATAAGAGAAAATTAAACACATAATAAATAATAATAATCAAAGGGAAAGGTGGCAATAAATGGAAAAAGTTGCCATGATATTGGCAAAAAAAGAAAATGGCTTTCCGGCCTTTCTCCTTCCAAGAAAAGA